CGCTTGCAAATATCGTAATCGTTCAGTAACTCTAGGCCACGCTTGGACTTGCGTAGCTTTCTTTCTTCTATATTGAACTTCTCAGTCCAAAAGGTAGTGAATGGTTGTCCTCCTTCCTTGAAATCGCACATGCTCACTTGGCGCACAATTTTATAGCTGTCACCAACTTGTTGTTCTATGTAGTGCCTTCGAAACCCGGGGCATCCGTTTATTCGAGATTTCCCGTCTTGTAAAATTAAAAACAACGGATCTATCAACAGGTGAGGAGGTTATCTCCCTACAAGCCATTCACGCACAAACCTTGGGAAGATGAATTGGTGGCTTTCCGTTGCCAGCCGAGGCAATCAAAATAAGGCAAGATAGAGGCAAGAAGGGGGTGCATAGCTATAGATGGTAATAAAAGTGTTAATGCAGGCTGAGACGCATAGAAAGTGAAACTGTTCACTAGCGAGGCAGCACAGTGCAATTAAATACGCCATCATGCAACATACAGCTTGGGCTAGTGATATTGTCTATAATGTAGCACTTCCCATTGACGTCGGGGATGAGGATTATAGTGTCCCAATAAAACAGATTCAAGTAATACAAAAGACTCCCGCAAAGTGAGCTAGCAAGAGTAGTCTACATTCCATTCTCTGTACGTGGGAGGCCAGAACAAGTCGGCAACTAGAAGACTTTACGAGCGGGGGCGGACCTACCATTCGAAAGCAATGCTAAATGGAAAAGCTTATACAAGTAACCTACATATGTATCTTAACGGAACGGCTGTATAATTTAATAATCGGATATCAGCTATTCTAGTCTTTTTCGGTACGTTGATTAATAAAAGACAATAAAACAAACTAGGCGTTTGCTGTTGGCTCCACGATCTAGACCTACCCCAACTTGGCTTTAATGAAGATGAAATTTGTTTGATGGTCTACACTATCCACCAGCTTCTATTAGCCTATTCGGGTCATCATAATAAGAAGTATCATGCAGGAACTCGAGTAGACAGGGGCTCTTGGGCCTGATAGTAAATTTACTACTATTAGGCTGTCATGACAATTAAGACCACATGAAGGGAAATTGTTTGCCAACAGCAGAGAAAATCGAGGAAATGCACTCAGCGTATAGAGATCCCGAACAACAAAAGTGCGTGGATCATCGATTGTAAAGCTGCTGCATTTGCCGATAAATTATCCCTGTTATAAAATCGTTTTGCGCCCCAGTATAGAGAGCTCTTCCGAGAGTTACCTTACTCTATCTCCTGTTTGTCAGAAATGAACTCCTGTTGATCTAGATTTACTGGGCTGAGCTACGCCTTTCCTAAAGGGGCCGAAAGTTGTACCCAGGTACAACTTTCGGCCCCTTTAGGAAAGGCGTTGTCCAGCTTAGCACTTTATCTGCACTAATGGAATCTCCCGGCTGGGCATAATTCGAGGCCCACTTGACTGTTGATGGCGGGCATCTATTTTTAGTGGGAGGAATACCGGCGCTAACAGCGGGCCAACTACACCTTATTACAGGAACCACGCTAAAGAGGTACGAGATTCTATTTGTGATGGTAAGATATTGACAGGCAAAGACATTCAACGATATTATCTGGCTCATAGATCCAATCGTTGCCTCTAATTCTTGTTTAGCACCTGCGTGTAGCTCCTTAAACCGGGAGTATATAAAATTTATTCGGATTTGCAATACGGTACCTGAAGGAGGGCAAATAGGGGGATATCAAACTACTAGAAGCATAATGGGATTGATCTGGCTAGACGATAGTATATTCGAATATATGCAATAAGCTTAATATCCGAATTGCCTAGAGAAGTGCCTGATATTATCTAGTCGGCCGTCGTCTATTCCATCTGCAGGCCTTTGATAATAAAGTTCCAAACCGCTTACTGAATATGCCCCGCGGTTTCACTTGACGCCCAGGTGGGATCGAACAACTCAGCCTTTGCCTATATAAAGGCTGGTTTGGGAATCATGTTCACCATTGTTTTTCTAAGTAAATCTCGGACAACTACCAACACTAAGATCTACAATTTCCAAAAAATTCAATCTCGAAATATGCCTTTGAATGCTGTTCGCAATTTATCTTCTACTGCCGGACGAGGCATACTCAAACGCATTGGCAAGGTGGACATAGAGGATGTCCGTAGAATGAACGGCGTTGAAGGGGACAAATGGGTCACGTCTGTCAACAAAGTGCGGGACGATATAGAAGCTCAGGTAAGAAACCGGCTTTTTAATTGTTTCGAAGCGTAAGAAATACTAACATTCATACATGATGATAGTATGACGGTGTGAAGGAGTATGAGATTCAGTATGCACCTAACCCTGTTGTGCTTTTCATGTTAGAGTTAACATCACTTTCCAGGGGTGCGAGAGCCCACAAATCCTCCAAGGATCCGACGGACCCAGATGACGTCATAACCATTGCCTTTTACAGCCAGAACGGTACACGGCAGCTCAGCGGCCACGTTCATGTTGATGGGACATATAACATAGCTGAAAGTCGTGCAGGAAAGGGAAAAGGCAAAGGACAGGGAAAGAAGTAGCTCGTTAGGATGTGCCGAAGACGACATTGGGGTCATAGGCATATATCATTCCTAGTCCACAATCTGCTTTGAATAAGTGGTATTTCCTCTATTTGAATTTGGCATTTTTTCATTACTTGTCCCCCCAGTGATTGGTGGAAAACAATGTGCAGATGAACTGATTAGAGAGGGCCTATGTATTCTATTAAAGTTAGGAATATCCTGGCGAATCATCGCTAATTACTTAGTCACATACCCAGCAGTGGCATTAGTTACTGGCTAAACCATATGTGTGACCTTTAACCTTGATCACATTATACAAAAAACAAATCTTTTGACAGTTTGTATATTCCCCCACAGTAGCACTAACGTTGATGAATGTTTTCACCCATGTTGCAGAAGTGGAGGTTTTGATATTCCTTTCGAGAAGTTCTAGATCGAAGATTGAGATATAATTAGTCGTATACACTTCCCAAACAGGAGCGGATGACTACCAGTCATCCCAATCCGATGGTGACTAAATGTCGGCTGCCAAGAACACCATGATAGGGGAAGTGAGGATAAGTCTGGCAAATAAGGCGAAACAAAAAGTATGAACTTCTTAGCGCCTGGTTTTACCTTTGTTATAGTACTCTGCTTAATAGTTTGATATTTATAGGCGCAATAACGACCTAACAGACTCCATCGAATAATTGAGCCGGAGAGCGATTATTTTCAAGTGATAGATCGGTTATACCAACTTGGTGATGTTACCGAACTAAGTGGGTCCGGGTGGAACGAACGCTCTGGTTGGATAAACCTAGGAAATGACGCATGTTATTTCATCCGCGGCGCGTTCCGTAGCAGACTTTCGTGTTTATTAAAGGCAGCAAGCACAGCACATCCACCCCAAGTCGGATAATATTTAATAATGACATTCCTTCTCAGACGAACTTTGTCAAGTCACTTGCGGATAGGCACTATCTACAACGTGTCAAATCTTCAAGCCGCTTTTACTTTGCACCCTAGAATGACAATGTCCTCACAGCAGATAGCTACCGGTTAGTTCAAGAAATTATCAGCGAATTCCTGGGTAGAAGATCATTGCTGAACTCTCCAGAAAAAGGACGATCGTTTCCCACGAGTGGATTTAAAGCTATTGAGTCTAATCTGTTAATTGAAGAGGAAGAATTGCCTGATTACCGAGCTGATCGATTCTATCCTGTTCATCTGGGTGACATTTTCCAGAAACGCTACCAAGTAGTTGCAAAACTTGGTTTTGGCACTTCATCAACCACTTGGTTAGCTCGGGATTTGAAGTAAGTATATACGGCTCATAGTACTATAATACTGATTTGATAAATGCAGAGACCGTCTCTATGTTGCTCTGAAGGTGTGTGTAAGTACGTCATTAGTCCATCGTGAACTTCCGTTTTACAATCATATCGGCGTCTGTATGGCAAGCAGTACACATCGTGGTCGAAGTAACATCCGAAGACTGATGGACTCGTTCGAAATTGTCGGTGAACATGGCAAGCATACGACCCTTGTCTTTGAGGCTGCACAGATGAGCCTGCGTGATATGAAGTTGGTCTTTCGGCCCGAAGGGTTCGACGAAGATTTTGTTCGCGGTGCCATTATTGAGCTTCTTGAAGCTTTAGATTTCCTTCACACCCAGGGAGAAGTTGTTCATACCGGTAATTTTTCACCTGTTTTCTATTGGCCTAATCTACCTCTTGTCCTTTCGCTAATTGACCCCAGATATACACCCAGGCAATATGCTTCTAGGTCTTTATGATAATGATTTGATGCAAAAGCTTGAAGAAAAAGAATTCACGTCTCCCGTACCTCGCAAGGCAGTGTCATCTACTCGGACAATTTATCTTTCGCGCTTGATGCGCCCCAAGGAAGGTCCAATGTTATTATCTGATTTCGGTGAAGCTAGAATTGGCCCAGGGCCACACGGTGGTGATATAATGCCACTGGAGTACCGGGCTCCGGAGACATTGCTTTATATAGGGTGGAGCTATCCGGTCGATATCTGGAGTGTTGGCTTGACGGTAAGTCTCGACACTAGTATTTATATTATAGTCTTCTTTTGCAACTCAGATGTTAACAATATTTGAAGGCATGGGACCTTCTTGAGTCAAAAAGACTCTTCACGGCGCGTGATGAAGATGGCGATCTATACGACGCTGCTCATCTTTCCCAGCTTATTGCCACGTTGGGCCCACCACCACCCGAATTTCTAGCTAGGAATCCGCGAAGAAGAGCTGACTTTTGGGACGAACAAGGTATGCCACTTACCCAACAAAATTGGTAGATTATATGTGTAAACTATTCGCTCTAGTTAATTATTCTCCGTTGGTTTTATTAATACTGTTGGTATAGGGAACTGGCTGGGTCTTGCACCTATCCCGAAGTTGCGGACAATGGAAGCTCTTGAGACTCGATTGCAGGATAAGTCAGGATTTCTTCGATTCATTCGAAGAGCTCTGACCTGGATGCCAGAGAAGAGAGCGACAGCAAAGGAACTCTTGCAAGACCCTTGGTTGACGGCTGGAGAGCATAAGGCATAGGTTGATATCAAGCAAGCAACCCACGTATATGTGTATATACCTGTCACAAGTTTTATCACATACCAGAGTCATACTCCAAACTCATTCCGTTCATTCTCAGGATAGCAAGAAGCCATCAATTAGGTTAAGCTCGAGTAGATTGGAGCTAGTTAAAAGATAATAATACCATGTCATTGGGATTTCGGCTAGTACTCCATGCAGAAGAGCGGTAACGGCGGGGAAGAGTTGAAGTCCTCACGCCCATCCTCGGCTGAACCATACCATTAATTAAGATGCAATCTCATGTCTAAGCATCCATCGATATGCAAGATGAAGACTGTCAGTCAGATATACCTCTCCTCATTCTATCCTATACTGACTAAAGTAAAAGTTTGATGTTCTGAGGGTGATGTGGAGTCCACTCGTTAGATACATCACGTGCTTCTCTGCCCAACCATGAGCCAGAAAATATTGGCCAACATCAAAAAGTCTTGTGCCCGCCCCTCCATGCCCCTCACACTATTAACCATAATCATAATGAATACTAGTCCTCGGGTAATCGCCACAATTTATTAAAGGTTTGTTTTATTGGGACTCTCTTGTACCTTATTAACATATTTCTATACAGTGAACCTTTACGTGATATTCTTAAGACCATCGTATACACCAAAATGAGACGTCCTTTGAGTGCCGATGCCGAGAAGATTCGAGGGGAGATCAAGGAGATGATACGGGAAACAGCCACTGAAAAACAGACCTATTCAAAAAAGGTGGACCGCCTCCGAAGCGATGATGGAAGAATAATGTATGCTGGAGATGCCCTGTCGAAAAAAGTTGTTGAATTACGTGACCTTCTGTCCATTGGCACGGTATGCGTCTCTCTCGAAGTTACTATTCATGTAGGTTGCTTATGGGGTATTAGGAATTTGGATGGACAGTCTGGCATTTTCCGACCGCAGAGGATCTTATCAATGAGAATAACTCAATGTATCTTGTTCCTCTCTCCAGCGATTCAACCATAACACCAGGAGGGCCATTGACTGAAGGTTATCTTATACACATCACCGATAAACAAACACTTAGCTCCTGCGCGACAATCATCATTTACATGAGGTGATACTTTTTTTAATTCCAGTTCATTCGAAACGTTTTATTTGTTTTGGAAGGACAAGCATGGTAAAAGATAGAATTAGTTGGGTTATGCAACTATTACTATCGATTGGGAAGAAGAGACATGATTCCCGCGCCGATTAAGCCCATTCAAAGCATCCGGCCGTGTCTCTGTACATCCTGGGCCTAATCGATACTGCTCTTTCCATCCCTGCGTTGAGTTCGCGTCATGATGTTCATGTTCGAAGGAATGATTTGTGCCAGTTTTAGGAGTTCGCCCGCAAGCCGTGTCTATCTGGGTGATATGAGGATGACTACTTTGGCCAGAAGTTGACAAGTATGTTTGTTGGTCGAATGTAACTTGGTTTGACTCGGAGTTCTGTTGGCTGGTTTGGTCTGAAACGGATATCGGTGTATAGTATAGATAAGGTCGCGGATTGAATTGACCAGGTATAGTATCAACCTGGGGAGGTATACCCTGGCTATTTGATCTAGATAATGCCATATGTGGGTGCTGGAGAAACAAATGATGAATAGTAGTAGCAGGAATAGTATCTGACTGCTGATAGAAGGGATTGTCTAGGACCTCAGACGTTGGCGTGTAATGTAGGTAAGGTCGTGGATCAAACTCCCTTGGGGTCACATCCATTTGATCAGGTTCAAACTGATTATTTGACTGGGGTACAATATGTGGTTCCTGGATGGGACGCTGAGTAGGAAGAATATCAGACTGCTGGGTGAAAGGATGGCTTGGCGTGTAATGTAGGTATGGTCGTGGGTTAAATCCGCTTGGAGACATATCCATTTGATCGGGTTCATACTGGTTATCTGACTGTGGTACTATACGCGGTTCATGGATAGAATGCTGAGCAGGAAGAATATCAGACTGCTGGGTGAAAGGATAGCTTGGCGTGTAATGTAAATATGGTCGCGGATTAAATCCGCCTGGAGACACATCCATTTGAGGTTCAAACTGATTATTCGATTGGGACACTATAGGCGGCTCCTGAATGGGATGCTGAGCAGGAAGAGTATCAGACTGCTGGGTGAGAGGATGGTTTGGCGTGTAATGTAGGTAAGGTCGTGGGTTAACATTTCTTGACTCCGTTTCCGTCTCACTCCGCTCTGAGCAGTTATTAGAGCCGGGCAGTGTATTATGCTCCGGCTGGGGAAGCAAGGGTTGGACTTCATTTGGCTGCTGGTCTGATACGCTATGCTCTGTCTGAGTCGCAATATATGCGGGTTCACTTACTTCTCCGGAGATGAGGGTCGTGTACGTTGCAGTGTCTTGCGCGTTTCCATGAGATACTTCCATGCCTCTAGTTGTGCTTCCTATATACGTAACGTGTCCTGGAGGTTGCAGCGGCATGGAATAGACTCCGGAATCCCTGCTGCTGCTATTGTTGGTACCCTTAGTATGAGGTGGAATTTGACTGCGGCGCTTTGGCTCTTTATACAATAAAAAGTCTTCGCGCATTAGCGACTTGCGAATACATTCCCATAGGTAATTGAAAATGTCGGATGCTAGATCATTCACGGCGTCGTATTTAGGGTCCGGATATAGGCCACGATCTCTTAGGCGTTGTACCTTCGGTGCCCGCTTTTCCCCACTTAAAGGGATCTTTCTTAAGCTAATATATCTTAGAAAATGGGATATATATGCATTTGTCATATGGATACGTACCAGTCATTACTCATGTCCAGAGGCAATCGGAATAAGAACCCAAGATATTCCCTCCTAGTATTGTGTTGACTGCAACCACCGACTGTATTACTTTCCTCATCTGACTCGTCTTCATCTTGGGCCCCTACTCCTTGAAGTTCTTTGCAGAGCAATTCTAGTCTCCTGCCAATTTTGCCCCAGGTATCACAATGCAAGCTAACCTGTTCACGACTATCATTGACAATCCCTGAATTTACAAGGAGTGCCACAGTTCTGTTGACACTCGCCACCTGCTTTTTTTTACCACCAGTCGCCTTAAGGAGACGATAAAATATAACCATGAGGAACCTTGCACGCCAAGTATCCTTTTCCCCACGATCTCCTAGTTCCGAGAGGTATTTGTATGACCCAGCAATGGGAATTCTCGTATCAAGTGTAATAGAATCGCTTTCGTTAAAAAAGCTAGCGGGGTTTGATTTCCATTTTGAGAGTGATTCGACGAGTGTTTTAGATACGCTTGTATCGGGGGGCGCCACAGGATTTGTAGGTTTACGACGGTCACTCTTGCATATTGCAGCCTTCGGTACAGCTGGCACTTGTTTCCAGAGAACATTTAAATTGCTTAGAAACTTCTGTATATCAGTATAATAGTCAATGTACAAGGGTAGAGATCACCTTACTTCGTTATCAGCAAGGAGGTCCCGTATGTCGTGACGCCCACAACAATCTGCAGTAATACATTCAGCTTGGAGTTTTGCAAGAACAAGTTTACTTTCAGTTAATCCCATTTTGGACAAAGCTCGATACTAGGCAACGCATGAAATAAATGCTGTTAATAGATATGGATTATAACATGAGGTCTTCTTACCCCGCATATCCACTTGTCGCTCCTTGGTTAACGACTGGGCGTTGATCCGAACTCAATTTACGCTCTTACTATTCTCCGTTCCGGCATAATCCTCGACTCCCGGCAGAAATGTAGCTAAGACGCTAATAACAAAATCAGTTAATATAACATCTATCTATCTCTTGAATATAAATAATATATGTCTCAAATTGCCTGAATTGTTCTTCGTGGATAACAATGTATGGGATATAAGGACCAATATATGTCAGAGCCTATGAGAGCCTAAGGCATAGACCACGTGACCTGACCACAACACCAAGGAATCTCTTAAAGTAGATTTAGACCATAAGACAATCAATCATATACACGTGAGCTACACCAGCTCCATCAATATATATGTACCTATTCCGCCAATGTGAGATCCTCCTAGAAAGAACTGTAGTAGGATCAAGCTTATATTTACACTAGGATGGATGGATGGATGGATGGATGATTTCATTTACCCTGACCCCTCGCAAATTTTAAAGCGATATGCAGGCTACCACAACTATATATATCCTTGTATGTACATGTAGACTGTGCCACTTCCTGAAAACGAGCTTAGAGCCTCGTTGCGGCCTATCGTGGCCTAGCTGCCGTTCTCGCTGTTAGGCTGCCCTCTAGGCGCGCGACTTCGGAACCGTTGTGATGCCTCTGCAAAGTCCAACACTGCTTCGATTGTACTGGCTCGTGAGGCAGTATCTACTTGCCTTTCCTTACCTTCACTGCCCCCTAGCAGTACCGACACGTTATTAAACGCGTCCCTGACTTTCATCCGGAGCTCTTGCCGGGGTACCTTTAACAGTGGGCAGTCTACCAAGACATGGACTACTGTTTCTTGTGCGCCACATGCGCACTGGTCGTCCTCCCGAAACCCGAAGGTCTTCCCATAGGTAGCTAGCCAGAAGTGGCCCGCCCGCATTTGTATCAGCAGGTAAGCCCGATTCCGTCGTGGTGAACCGTACAGCCGTCTTGTATACGCCGCAGGTAGTGTACTGTCGATCTTGCGAAGATGACTCCCTTTCTTGGATGTCTTCCACTCCTGCTCCCACTGGCAACGGATATGGTTGCGAATAGTGGTCTTCTCTCTTGATAAGAGGGGTCGAAACGGGTGTGTCTTGCCTGGAATTGCCGCTTCCTTGGCCAATTGATCTGCTGCGTCGTTTCCCGGGTCGTCACAGTGCCCTGGTATCCACTGAAGGCGGAGTGTGATCCCTCTTGCTCTGGCTTCTGTGGCTGCCTGAAGGACAGCGTAGGTGATCCGTTGTCCTGGCTTGTTTCCTGGGTTATGAACCGCTTGCAGAGCAGATTTGCTGTCGCAAAGGATCGTTGCCGATAGCGCATATCTACTTGTTGTTCTCCGGGTTCGATGGGCAAGTTTAACTACTAAGCTGATCGCATGGAATATGCCGATCAGTTCGGCGGCGTGGACCGACCACTGGTCCATGGGCCCGACTTGGGTCTGCCGGAATTCAGTGATTTCTAGGTTTTCATTCAGTGTCACGGCTGCGGCGCCCAGGTGGCCCTGGCGTCCGGAGGCGTCCGAGTAGACTGTGATATCGGGGATAGCCCGTACGGCAGACGCTCTCTCCCTGGCCGCCTCTCGGTCTCGCTCGACTTCGATCTCTTCAAATGCTGGAGGCCTCCAAGGTGGGAGCGGTCTTGGGTCAATTGTTTCTAGTCTGTCCAGCCTTTCTAACTTCATCGTCTTCAAGGCTTCTGCTAGGGGAAATCGAGCAGCTGTGCAAGTGTTGTTCTTACGTTTCTGTGCTCGCGACAGTGTAATCCACACAGGGTGGCCCTGTGGGAGGGTATGCAGTCTTGCTATGGTGTTTTGTGCCCGGAGGCGGAGACGGAGGTGTGTCGGCAGTAAGTATGCTTCTACCTCCAGTGTTGAAGTTGCTACTGTTTTGAAGGAGGACAGAATGCGGATAAGTGCAGCTCGTTGGACTGTCCCCAGTAGTCGCAAGTGTGCTTTGTCTCGGAGAGGGTCATGCCAGACAGTCGACGCGTAGTCCAACACTGGGGTCACGCATGCCTGGTATACCTGTCTTATCTGCTCTGGACGCAGCTGTCTCAGTCCGCCAAGGGCAATGTTCACTTTGGTTGCCCGTTTGACTGCTTGCTGCACGTTCTCCTTCCAACGCAGCTCTTGGTCGAAAACCACCCCCAGCAGCTTTGCCGCAGGTGGCGGTTCGATTACCTTGCCATCCATGATAATGCGTCCCTTCACTTGTTCACATTTCTTCCTTGTAAGATGGATTAGCTCCGTTTTCTCGGCGGCGAAACAGGATCCCGTTCTTCGAGCCCATGCCTCTATGCGTGGAATGTCTTCAGTTTGAATCTTAGCTAGGTTTGCTTCCGCTGATGGTCCTACTCGCCACCGGAAGTAGTCGTCGATAAAGGCTGAGGCACCGCCGTAAAAGTCGACTGGTTGGTCTACCAAATCAGAGTTGAAGAACGCGAACAGGATCGGGGATAGCGGTGACCCTTGCGCTAGTCCAGCGTTTTCCAGGGATGCCACCTCAGTTTCGAAGTCATCGAATCCGATGCTGGCGGAACGTTCGCTCATGAAGCTAGCGATCCACGCTATAGCGACAGCCGGTATGCGCTTGGCTTGCAGGCGGGCTTCTAGACTGGTTTTGTTGACCCCGTTAAAGGCGCCTTTCAGGTCGAAGGCCACGAGGGTGATCACTTTCTGTTTGTACCACGCCCGGTCTATTGCATTGCCTAGGACCAGGAGGGCTTGTTCGGTGGTTCGAACAAGTAGAGATCGATTTTGAGCCCCGGTGTGCCAATTGGGCGCTCAAGGAGTCTCACCTACAATACTGGTATCAAAATCTTAAGCTAGCTACGGAGCAGAGTATGCGACCACTTGCTCATCGCAGTGAAGAAACAGTGAATAAGTTGCAGGAAGTTGGATTTACAGAAATCCGCCATCATCAAATTAGACTGCCTCTCAGCCCGTGGCATCAGGATGACCAAGAGCGGCTGGTTGGCCGTTGGTACGGTTTGGCGTTTTTACAGAGCATGGAGTCCCTAAGTCTTGCACCTTTCAGCCGCATCCTAGGCTGGTCGCCCGATAGGATTCATCAACTCCTCTTCAATGCAAAGTCTGAGGCATTTAATAACCAGACACAAGGATTTCACATTTTAAACATATACCAGGCACGAAAACCTACCTCTAAATAAAGGAATCTTTTCGGTGATTATTTAGTAGTAGTAGTAGTAGAAGTCGTCCTCATTATCCTGTCCTAGCGTGCCTATATTACATGGTCGCCATGTAGGGTTGAGCCGTCCAGCGGCTCCGTAGAACACTGCCTGCAGTGGCTGCGGGAGTAGTGAGATAACAGTATATAGCAGATAAAACAAAAGAACACAAGATAGTTCTACATCTAGAGCTTAACCCCTAAAGCCCACCCTCAGTCTCTCTGCACCTCTACCGGCTTCCGTATCACCGGCTATGCCGTACAGCCTTATAGCCATGTTCCACCGCCGTTGATGGTTTACGCCTCATCTTTATATGACTCAGTGATTTAGTCGACCTGAACTAGTCCACTATTTCGCTCGTGTTTTATCTTCACCAAGTTCAGTATCCTATTTGTTATTGCCTTGTTCTTGCGTCGAGCCAGTTGCCACTGGATCCACCATTTGGAACTGTGATAATAAGCCTGTTTTGAGCATAAACTCTGCTACTGGCAGAGCTGCCTTCGACTCCCGAGGGAGCTGGTTGAATGATAGGGTCCCCGGGACCTTTCTCCGCCAGAGATCCCGCCACATGTCCGTGCGGAGTTGCCCTAAAAGAGGACATTCTGTCATGATGTGTTGGGGGTTCTGGTTACCTAGCCCGCACCCACATCTAGCATCTTGGCAGACATTGATGCTGGTAAGGTATTGGTTCAGCCCTATACGCCCCGTGCGCAGCTGTATGAGGACTGAGGAGGCTGCTCTCCGTAGCCCCTTCCAGTACCGCAGGACCTGCGGACCAGGCGCCAGAATAAGACGTTTTGTTGGTCACTTGTCTTCTACCTCTTCCCACAAGATCGCAATAATTAATCTAAGCTAGCTGTAATCTAGAACACCTAGCAGCTCTACCACGAAATATGATGGTTCAAGAAAGCTCAGACAGGGTTCTTTGGATTGATTTCGATCGTGCCCAAACCTTCTCGTATGACTCAATCACAATTCGCCAACGGCAATGGCTGGAAGAGGAAGATGAATTGGTGGACTATTTTGTTGATGCTCTTGTATGGATGAATAAGACTTCATTATTGCTTTTACAGGCTAACTGACCTATGACTAGGCGGCAGACTACAAGGAAGGTAAGATTCATCGTACATGGGAGTGTTATTATGAGTACATACAATCCCACCATGCTCCTGCTCGACAGACTAAGGCTTAGCTAGCTAAATTGACAATAGTAGTATTTACGAATTCTCTTGAGTGTTTAATCGCAAACCCGCCAGGTACACTCCCGCAAAATCATTCATGACATAAGACACTACGGCAAGGAATTGGCTATATTGGTCTCAAAAGAGAAAACATGTGTTGGATAGAATATCCGCATAGGATTCTGACAATATTAAGTTTCGACTCTGGGGCATGTATTCTGAAGAAGTAGCAGGAATAGGTCGCCTTATTCCTAGTACTGTAAAAGGGAAGTAGAAGGCCTAGTGGCCGTCTGTTTGCCGCCTGTTTACTCTGATGAAGTCCAAAGTTTGGGCGTAAATGCCATTGTGGCTATGCAAGGCGGCCAGGAACGCCTGCTTTTTAAAGCGCAAAGGTGTTATCCAATAGACAGGGTAGAAGGGAAGCAAAGTGGGTAATAAGGTTCGCTTTTGGGTAAGTTTTCGCGAGATCGCGCGTTCTCGGGTGAGCATCGGCCAGCCGCTCACCCCATCTATTGTGCACTCACCCAAGCTCACCCTAGGTCGCGCGACCGTAAAGCGGCTCACCCGCTAGCTCACCCGGGCGGCAGCCACCCGACTTCTGGCCGCGTTTAAGCCACACGCCGGGAGGTTAGTAGTTGGGTGGGTGACCACCAGCGAATCCCTCCTGTTGTATGTTTTTCTTTTTTGGAATATTTTCGTGGAATCATCGTAATTGAGCGAGTTTACGCAAAAGAAAAAGGTAAATGGGGGTGGAGGGTGGTAGCCATATCTATACAACCGGCATCCACACATAGTACTCGCGTATTGATTCCTTTCGTGGAATATGTCCCAATCTATCACTTTAATGTTGTAATACACAAACTTTGTTTTTCATTTTGAGTTCTTGAAATTCTATATTCCATAAATCTAACCTAGTAGACAAGCTATATTTCATGGCAAAGGTATAAACTTCCACTGTTTATTACCTGTCGTTCTAAAACCCACCCTACCCTTTGGAGCGGACTGTAAACTATGCCCTAATTTCTAAAGCATCCTGGCCGTTAACACCTTAGTGTATATTGCTATCAAACACTTCAATATCAAAGATATTCATGCAGATAGAAAGTGTATCGGTGCTTTTCTTTTTGTTATAACCTAGACACTGCATACGAGCTCCTCCGTATCTGTGAGTTATGTTACTGACGGTTCCATGAGATCCTCTGCTTTGCACCTCGGACACACTTGGACGGGGTTGCCTCCACAATATGTCGGTGCTTCTGCCGGTGCATATCACGAAGCTAGAAACGCGAAAACAGCTGTCAAACGGTGGTCTCTGATTGGCCAAATCAGAATGGCCGAGGGTCCATCCACTTGAGCTGACACCTGGCAGCCTCAATGTGTTTGATTTTGGTGGGGTTTAGCGCCGTCTCTATAAATTGGGGCGGAGCAATCAATCCATTTAAATCCCTGCCATCTTCTGGCGACTTTCCGAGTCCTCCGCCATAGAAAGATGGGGGGATATCATGAACCTAGTGCGAGCGAATTACTGGTGACAACGCCACTCATAATTCTAGGCCTTGTCTTACTACCTCTGGTGTGGCTGGGGCTCATCCTCTGGAACCTTGGTCAGATTGTATCTCGTTCAAAGAATGCGAGGAATGCTGTATCAGACATCGGAGCATCACTAAATCTTGTTTGGGCACTGCCCGTATGCATCGCGAACAATGTATGGCTGCTGCTAGTGAAGCTCTTACGAGTCTTTTACGCGTACCGAAAGAAGTCCGCGCCGAGTTTTATCGCGCGGCGCTATTATACTGGGCTTTTCGCGACAGAGGCGCGCATCTCAGTGGATCCGTACCTTCTCCCACGGGAAGAGCAATATGAATACACCCCAATCTCGGGCGAACACAAGATCAGACTTTTGGTCATTCAACCGGGCGCGTTCGATGATTATATCTGTGGGGACCTCGTCGAGGTCAATCTCTTGCTGGGGCCGACGTTCGATGCGCTGTCATACACCTGGGCAGATGAAAAAGGCGATGCAACGCGATCGGGCAAAATCTACTGCGTGCCTGATTTCAGCGTCATTGAGATCACGAAGAACTGCGAGATGGCGATCCGACGGCTGCGACATCCCAAGAAGAGACGGCGCGTGTGGATCGATGCTGTCTGCATTAACCAACAGAATGCTCAGGAGCGGACCTATCAAATCGCGCAAATGTCCAGGATCTTCACTTCGGCCCGTCGAGTGATTGCTTACACGGGCGAGGGAACGTGTCAGACAGACATGCTGTTTGACTGGCTCAATGGCCTCGAGGCATCGGAGCTGAACGTTCCTCTGATCGGAGGATTGGACGATCTTTCTCATCCTGTCGTCACGATCAAGGAACCTGCGGACATTCGGAGGTTGATAGCCCGGATTCGGGTCGGGGTCAACGAACGACTGATCTTGATGGGCATGTACGGGAAATTTTGCGTCTCCAGATTACTGCACCGATCAGAGAGAGTGAAAGACAAGATAAACATTGACGAACCGGAGCTTACTAAATTTGCATACGAGTATTGCTCTCGAAGATGGTTTAGCCGGGTCTGGATTTTACAGGAGGTAACCCTGCCCGCTCTCCATCGCACGAGAATTGTGTGTGGGAGCAGGACCACGACGGCCGAGAGAGCACTGCATGCCCTGGGACTACTGAAAGAGGCCGGGGCAGGTAGCATTCCTCGGATATTTGTCTTGGTCCGCAAGACAACCATTCTTCCGAGACGGTCTCATCTCTTGGATATCCTCATTGAGACAAAAGACCACGCGGCCACAGATCCCCGCGATAAGATTTTTGCAGTCCTCAGTCTGGCACACAGTTTAGATGGAGGTTCCTTCCCTGAACTCGAGGCCAATTACGAACTGCAAGCAGCCCAGGTATATACCAGATATTCGGCCTTCTTCATCCAGCATCATGGGCCGGGCTTCTTCCTTGCCTTGATCCGATCGCCCCAGAAGCTTCCTGGACTCCCATCCTGGGCAGCCGACTGGACGGTGCCCTGGCCAAACAGCAGAGCCGTATCTGTGAGAGATTTCCCCGCGGTTTCAAGGCGCACACACGAGGAGAATACTGGGAATATGTTTAGTCGGGAGAACGGCTACGAGGTCCTGACACTTGTTCGCCCACAGATCCTTCGAGGCTATTTCACACGAAACGGAGCCCTGACGGGTCTAGATGGGATAGATGTGGAAGAAGTGGGGGGTTTGCACGAAAATACCGTTCTCATTGAGATATACCCAGGCTTGGCTGCGCTCCTCAGGTGTGAGGATGATTATTATGTCCTCGTCCAAGTGTGCCCACACGCAGTGTTTCGGGACAGTCTACTCGAGCTTGTCGAGAGATGGAGTACTGTTGTGGTAGATGGAATTGGTCCCGAGGAATTACAGGATCAGGATTGCCATCGCTTTGGATATCTGGGCTCGGTAAAGCCTTTTAAGATCCGGTAGCGCCATAATAGTTGTGGATTCAAGGATCAGGTGCAGACCACCCGGTATATAATTAGTTCGTAGATCCTGTGTAATCCATGCACATCACTTGACTAGATGGTGTCGCCCATATATTGGGTGTCATTAAGAATACACTAGATTCCCTGCATTGGTGTCTTATACCCTAGTAGCCCCCGGTACCCAGAGTACATGGCAATATATCTGTGTCCATGTTATCTGTGCCATTTGTGATAGGCTAGCCCTTTCATAGACGTATGATGATTTTCTGTTAACAGGGGTCACCGATTGTCCATGCTATCCAGCTGACTTTACTTAGTTCATCGTGGCGCAGTAGGATGCATAGCCTCCGCCAAAGAGTGGGGTATCGCAACTTGGGCTCCGATGGAGATTTTCTTAAAATGAGAACTGATCCAGTTGTTTCTGCCAACCAACTGCTGGGCGTACTGAATCTGCAAGATGGCACCAGCACAAAATAAGGCTCGCTGGGATTACATGAAAGAGCTTCACATCAAATTTCTTGGCAACGCCTTACCTGTGCAATGGCCGGATGCTCACCGCAGCCTTTTCGAAGATATTCAGAAACTCGGGAATCAGAAATATTCGACCTTCAGCGAAGCCGTCTCTAATGACTCAATAGACAAACCCTGGAGACATCAAACAAAGCAGAGAGCAGCACGTCTGGTCCGGCGGAGTACGATGTCTAGGAATGATAGGAAGAACGAGGCGGGGTGGCGTTTTTCGATTGAACCAGAGGTCCTATATAGATTTACGGTTGAAGTAACCTGGTAAGCTATGATGAAATAAAAGTTTAGGGATATCCTACAACCGTGCTGACATACGTACGAGTCGTTTAGTCCCAGATGTCGCAGCAGGCTCTGGAAATCGGAGATAGAAGCCGCAGTGTCTTCGTCGCAGCCATTTGCTCAGTCATTAGAAGCTAGGCGTCGGCATCGTGAGCCATGTCAGTGTGTTGACCAGTGGGGTTACAACAGGTGAGCTGAAATGCACAATACGTGAGAATATATGGACAGCAGAGATCTGTGACTAGCTAACTTAGATACAGTGGATATGGGGACGGGGTGAACATGGTATTCTCAGATCGCGCAGAAGCAGCCATCAAACATGATCCACCTCTTCCCACACCAGGCCGGAGAAGAGGCCAAGTGTCGGAAGAGCCAGATAGAGTATATGGCCTGCGAGATACAGGTAGCTTGAGAAACGTATTGAACTCTATAAACAGGTTCACAGTGTCTGATGGAAATTTTCAAAGCCTCAGGGAGACTATTGAAGTCAGCCCTTTCGACGACGAAGGTGAGCAACTGCTGTTTCCCTTCTTGATCATGGAGGCCAAGTCCGGCAAAAACGGGGACACGGCAGCTATGGAGATGCAAACAGGCTTTTGTATTCGGCGCCTATTGAAACTACAGCATGAGCTAGGAAAGGCTGGTGAGTATAGATGTGGCACGTTTGAGCCACTGGTCTGGTTTTTATCGTGGTCTGGGGAGCAGTGGAATGTGGCAGGTTGCTTTGTCAAAGAGACGCAAAGCCATGTTGAATGGGTAAGAGTCCCGAAAGTCTCATCGTGCCCTCCAGCTCTCTAATATAGGTTTAGCTGATCGCTAAACTGTGGGGTGGTGATGTAACTAGCATGGATGGGTCGCTGCAGCTTCTTCTTATTATTGACTACATAGTTGATTGGGCTCGCGACGTCTATCGGGAGTCTTTGCTAGCCCAGCTCAGAAGCCTGTCAGTAGAGTGCGTCCCCGACTCTGACTCTGTTATATTATCCACTTTTGAGCGAGGCTCCACAGTGTCGACCTATCGTTCCGACGATCCCGCCGACTTTCTATCTCAGACCTTACCACAGTCAGTTGTATCCAGTGGAGACTTCTTGAATCTCGTTCATGCAGAGGGGGTTGTGAGAGACGCTTCCGTCATTGATTCTAGATTCATGGCTCTGTATATAACAGAGCGCGACGTGGAGCCATTTCGCCTTTCGTTTGCCTCTGAGGAAACGTACCAGGAGAGCATAGCGAAGATGTCTACGATCCTGAAAGACTCGTGGCGCTTGGTGCCAGATGCCCTGAATGGAATCGAGGAAGCTTGGACAGGGACTTCCAGACCGGCGACTTGTAGAGACGCGCCAGACCGAAGCCCCTTCTTTTTTGTCGGATTCACTTTCCGGATGTTCGTTGCATCAGACTGGCAGCCAGTACGCCAGCTTGTCTGTCTCGCCATCTCCAGCATGGCGGTAGAGAAGATTTGGGGGAGCGAAATGTTAAACGTCATTAACAGCGGCCCAATATACACAGATCGCGAGACAGAGAGATTTCTTAATTTCTTAAAAGGCTCATCTGTTATGGACACCCTAGCGGCCGCGATATCCATGCAGTGCCTCTCCAACACGTCGCGTAGACGCGGAGGGCCCATTGCATCCTCGCTCAGCTTCAAACGCGACGACTCAACTTCTGTTCTTGAGTTGGTGTCATTGGTCCTTAAATCACACACTATCGGACGACGTCTGTCGCCGGACCCCTATTTGCGCTGCTCGCATATGCAAAGCAAACAAAGTATATTTACGGATGGACCGAAAGTGTGGCCGCAACTAGAGCAGCTAATGCTCCACCCCAATGGCACAATCCTTGTCGACAGCGAGCAACAGAGCCCTAGTATTCCTCGTCGATGCCTTTACATCGTTGACGGCTCGTATGAATATGGCGATGCAGCATGTTTGGTGGAACGAATGTCTTATGAGGGCACTTATTATAGCACCGTTCCCTTATGTCCTAACCATGATCCAGCAGAGTACTTTCCCTACATGAATCGTCCATTAGACCATGCCAGATACTGGAGGATCGAAAAGTCCCCTGAAAGCTTCCAGCACTGGATTTCAGCACTGCAGGAGCATACTTCCATTTGTTCTACCCTTCATGGATCGTCGTCTTCCCCAATATTGCTTTTATCCTCTGATGAAGCCTCTAGTGACGACGATGAAGATGATGGCAACGAAACAAGACAAATTACCGTAGCGTGGAAAGAAGAGCATTAGATTGTCGTTGATGGAGCTTGCGAAATTTCGGCGTCTCTGATATTTCGGGCATCTGAATCAGTAGTAGTTATTTGTTTTGGTCATGAAAGGAAATACAAAGTTTAGGCTTGCTATTATACAGGTTCGTACTGACACAAGATTAGTAAAGCGGTTGGATATAGCTTGTCGCCAGATTCTATTTAGTTCGTCCCAGGTCGAAAGGCAGCGGCAATGCAAATTTGTGCTTGACCTTGGACCTCTTGGCCTGGAGGGCAATGAATCGTTGCCTTGATATTGCGGCCATTCACTTCCAGTTTGATACTATAATGAACTTCATAGTACACATCTCCCACATCGTTAATTCTCTCCTCTAGCATATTCCTCGTTCGAAGACTTTCAAGGGATGCTTCAACAAATCCCGCTATACGATGACCTGACAATCAAAATTAGTCAGGAACCGAAAGTGCTTGGCTTATTATTTTTCAGCGCAACTCACCAGAGTTCATCTTGTCATCTATGCGGTAATGTTGGTGGACCGGCCCGTCTGAGAAATATAAAGTCTCATAAGCAGTCATCTCCTCTCCTGGTTTGAATGCGCGATGCATGCAAATTTCAGTAGACTCCCCCTCGTCGAGAATTTGGTTCTATTCGAGCATCAGCGATGGGCCTGGTGCAACATTGTGTCTCCAGGGCGACTAAGGCTCAAGTCTACCTTCCGAATAACCCAGTAAAGGCAATTACTAATGTACCTCTTTTGAATTAGAGGGTGATCAAAGAAATGGACTTTTCTATGTCCCTTAAACCTCGCGTTGTATCGTTCACTGAGACATACTCCGAGATTCAGCCTAAGCTTCCGTCGTGGGCCGTCCTCCTTATTTAGCGCACGAAGGACGCCGCCCCGGGATACTGCGGTAGTCAAGTCTCTTGGATAAACCGTTAGCTTTGTGAATGGGAGAAACGTTGCAGAGGATAGGTTACATGTCCTGATGCAGATGAATTACTTTAAGTCTATCTCGGCCGAAAGAGTCGTTGAGGCGACGCTTCAGAGCCGGCGATCGAGAAAATCCACCAAGTAGGAGAATGGCCTACAGCTATTAGTAACCGCTACTATAATTTCAACAAGGTGTCTATAGGGACAGCAGCTGGCAGCAGGGGGCTTTACCGTGACCTCTTGGCCATCAAGTTGCTTCAGCTGTTCGGCGATCAGATCCACAGTTCCATCCAGGCTTCGCCTGAAGTAGTTATTCATTTGGTCCCTATTATACCGTCAGATAGTAGATATCCCTTGGACTCGCTGGTGGCTTACTTCGTAATGTAAAACATCCCAGTGCCAAAATTCCTCGCTGAGTCTTGCCTTAGCCCAAGAAGGCGCAGACTAATAGTCTCATCCTCCTCCCAGTCTCCCGGGTCGTAGTTTCGTTTTTGCTCCTGCTCGAACTTTCGAACTAGATCTTCTTGGATCACTGCTTCCTTGGACAACATGGGCTCCCTGCCCAGTTCAATAATGTGTGCTAGTCTTTCTCTAGACTCCTTAATAAAAGCTTGGTTGATATAGCTCGAACCGCAGTCCTTCCCTGTTGCCATTCTTAACGCATTGCCTAACATAAGTCCTAGAAGGGGGCGTTACCGGCTGGCATGGCTATTTCATCGAATCTGACGGGGTCCTTTTGCCGTACCGTGTAGCTGATCGCATCCTAAATGTACGTGGATTGTTAGTCACGCACCGCGGGCGGCAAAGCACAAGGATGGGGTAGTCTTACGACAGTACCACCTCCCGCATCGCAGACGACGAAGTTAGTCCCTTTCTACAGGTTGTGAGTATCACCAACAGAGGCGCAGCCACAACAGCCATACGCACCGTAATAACCCTTTGGATATTCTCGTGGCACAGTGCAAAGGTCACTGCAGCCTCAGGTTCATCAATGATAAACATTGAGAACTCCCTCCCGCTCATGTCCGTTTTATCCACTACCTCAAGCATAATTTCCTGCATTGTGAGCTGTGCATATGTTGACCACTTGGATGGCACGCATAGTGCTAGCTCGACCTCCCAAGTATTATTGAAACCCTCTTTTTCCCCCAGTTGACTACGAGCATGCTTGAAGACTTTCATAAGATAGTCCCGAATAGCGTCTCTGGCAGTTTTACCTACATTGCGGAGTGCCTTCCTCGGCTGTGCCAGCTGGTCATTGTCTAGGTCCCCCCCATCATCATCCAGCAACAGCTTCGGAAGTTGAACGATGTAATCTATCGACTCTGTATCATCATTTTCTGATAGAGTATGTAGCGTATATTGCACATCATGGCCCCACAGGAATTTCCCGTCACGATACCAGCTTTCACTGGGCACAAATGGGCTCCCTGGGTGAACGAATCGACGGGCCCGCGGCCAGTTCGCAATGGATCGGATACCTAATGGATGGACGACTGTGGGAGGGTTATTGGGATCGAAGGTGATATATGAGATGGAAGTCAAGGTCGTCCCATAGTCGAGGCATAGTATAAGTTTACTGGGAGGGACATTTTGCTCTAGCCGTGGAGAGTGTCGCAGATGAACGTCATCCTCGTCCGATACCCGGCTCGAGGAGGCACTCGTCGAGGAAGCTGGAGGGTCAAGCTTTCGCCGTACGCGTCTGGGTGGATTCGATCGCCGGGCCATAGCAAACTGAACCTGATGCTGTGTAATAATGAGCACATCACCACTAGACTTCAGGTAGGAATTTAAAGCGCTGCACACGAGGCAGAGTGCAAGGCTGCGACCGGTAGGCAGCAAGAGCCCCTGACTGAAATTGCTTCACTAGCTAGTCCGGTTGGGATTAGTATGCTGTATACTAGCAGGGGTTGTCGAAGCCTAGTATTGAACAGGCAGGTCGGGGGCTAAATTAGTCTTGGCCCTTGTTATCTGAGCGCGCATCACCAACACCCCCTACATTCAGTCTTCCTATTGTCCTTGACTGGATGAGCTATCCTGTTACTCAGTGAATTCGCACTTATACCTGTGGTTTTGCGGCGCCTGGTTCAAATTAGTGACACAATGGGGAGCCCTCCCGGTGGTCGTGGTGTGGGTGGGAGCCGATTTTACTACCTTCCCGATTACATCCCACCACCACACAATATCTCTTTAGGAATCACAGACGCCCATATCATTTCCGATGTGAAGCGGGAAAGGAAGCCTCCAGCGCGCTTTATACCTGGCGAGCGAGATATCCCGCCATTAGATGAATGGAAATCAAGGAAAAAAGCCCGCAAGTCAACGACGCCGGACGAACACAAAATAAAACAGAACGTACGTTGTCGTGGCAATTGCTAATTTCATCGATAAGTCGTGGAGAAAAGAGGGCAATCGTACTGACTATAATGCTCCTTGTCAGATCAGCGTTATTATCCCGCCTCCCAACCTCGGCAATGATTCCGATGACTCGCCGTTGACCGAGGTAGAGGACCTGTTGGGCGATATAGATGACCTGGCCTCTAACGCCACGGATGATGTTGAAGTAGCTCCTGCAAGGTTTCCCAAGGATCCCAAACTATATAATGCGGACGGAAATGGGAGACGCCAGCTTACGCAACAGGATGGGCGTGCTGGATGCCCAGGGGAAATGATCAATCTCCACCACAAGGCACAGCAGACGTCACCTTGCAGGAGCCATGAGACGGTATCGCAGCGAAAGGAAATAGACACTCTCCAGCGAGAAAACAACCGTCTTAGGGCGGAACTAGCCAATATCAGAGCATCGCAGTGCACGTCAACCAACGATCCCTTAATCACTATATCTTCCGCAGACGGATTACTTAGCCGGAACAACGAGATACAAAGGCTTCGCCGCCGCCTTTCAAACGCCCTTGAGCTTATTGAGCTTGCCCGTCCGCTCCCATCATACGACGACGCTTTTGCCACATCAACGGGCTTTATATACCAGGAAATGGATACATTGGGTAACTACGTGGTCTATACAGCAAATTCACTCTTTAAAATCCAAAGGCATGACATAGTGGATGAAACAATAGACCAGAATCTGACTCACCTCATCGAGAAAACCATTATCAGCAAAGCGATTCTATCCACAGAGCCCATATCAGCCTTTCGCGCCCTTACTTTTGGCTTTATTCAAGAACGTGTGTTTCACGCCCCGGAGATATGGAGAGAACTGCACTTCGACGGCATAATGTTCAGGCAGTACCAAAGTATTCTGGAAGAATGCAGTATGTGACAGCTTACCTTCAGCCACTTGGATCATAAGCAGTTAACTTGGCTCACCATCACTTAATTCAACTTTAGTATCACCTGAAACCCTAGAAAAACACCACCGTGCAACAGTTAATCTTACTCTATCGAGGAATCCAGAATTCAAGGAAGCATTTGTTTCGAAGTACGCTGATCAGATACAGTTTGAGTTCTTCAAAATGATGGCGCCTTTACTCAAGTCAGGAGACATGGGCGCTCACTTTAAGCGCCAAACGCGGACGTTATTCCGACATGCCCTTACCCTACGTGCGTGCTGCTATCCTCATATCGGAACGCGCTATCAACTGGTGCACTTCAAACCAGGTCATATATATGACCCACAGACCATGCGCGCGGAAGATGAGGCTGGAGCAACCGTACATGTTCCAGAGGACGGACGGCAGCGCCGCATTAAGTTGTGTGTTCATGGGCTGATGAAAGCCTATTCAATCCAAGAGAATAAGACTGGACTCGATTTGATCAAAGAACTCAGCCAGCCATTTTTAGTGGAAGGTGGCAAACATGGTCACATTATCAGCGATAAGGCAGCAGTTATTCTAGACGTATAATTGCTGAGAATATAAGCATTGTCTTACTATCACTATAATCTGGGCTGTAAGGCTCTCAGTAGGTCACGACTGAACTCCATTGGCATGACTAGTCGTCCGTACACATATGATGGTTCTTTATGTGCTTCATTATGTAGCCTAGCGGTACATACAGACCGACAAGGGCATAGTACCAAGACGAGTGCCTATAGTGGCAATAAAAGAAAATCCTAAATATACTCGGCCCGTGTTTTTTATGAGACAGGGGTGTGCTTTCAGGCCTCTGTCGGTAATCTGTTTCTGTAGAGTCAATCTTTATGAAACTGTTTATGACTGCAATACATTCTCTGCGATTGTATAAACGAATTTACCTAAGATTTAATCCGACGAAAGTAAAATATTCTAAGTCTTGAGATGGCGAACTTTACGCTTGCCCCGATACTGTCTACTCCGGAGACAAACATGACACTCTCGTACCTAATATGTGAGTATACCAATGCTAACCCACAAAAGCAATGACCTCTCTCTGAGTGAATGAATTTCGTAAAATATGTCCCAGTAAAGTCTAGAACTAGATACGTTGACAACCATCAATGCCCTTCGCGATTGACTGATAGTAGTGCTGGGTTCCTAATCTGGGTAGATCGTGATGACATGCAGCAAGCTTTCAAACACTCCACAAAAGCTGCCAAAGCGGCAAGGCGATAGGTGCTGGAGTGGTTCAGCACGGATATTTGTACGCTGTTGTAGAGTTTTTCTTTTCACCTGTTATTAAAAATGAAGATATTCGAGAAATATTACGCCAAAGCTTGGGGGTAGCCATCCATACTTCGATTTAAACGCGCAATATATTTTAGTAAAGAAGTTTACAAATGATACTAAACAGAGTTGAGTCCGATTCTTAATGCTTTAGTATCCTGTATCCCATTATTTCATTCTACTACCTTTGCGTATTACTTTCTTTATGACAAATATTTGATTTCTATCCAATCGAGTAGGTCAGATATTTACTTACAATAATCGTACTAGATAGATGTTATATTTGTTGGGCCATGGAATATGTTATTAAATTTGCCCTAATATAGACATCCAGCCTCCGAACGCGGCGTTGACCTCGGAGAATCTTAGTGCCTGCCTTGCGTCCTCTCATGGTTCATAACCTTCTGATGAAGATAAGAATCTCCAATTAGAAAGTATGTTATCGGTACTTTTCTATCTGTCATAAATCAAGACCCAGGAAGGTTATCAAGCTGTGGGGACAAAAATATTCATCCACTCGACAGTTCCCCCAATTTGAAGCCGTCCGCGGACTTGGCCGCGGCCAACTTCTGGTGTCCACCCTGGCCGCGGCCATCAGAGAGAGCGATATTTAATTCTGGGGTCTGGGGTAGAGTACAATGGCCCACTATACGCTATTTTATCAATCATGAGTGATAATCCAAGATTTGAGCATAGTGGCACTGTCGATGAGAAGGCTTTGGAAAACAATAATCCCAAGGTTCGTTTTGACCTCGAGTCGAATATACTTTCTTATGTCTCATTTCATGTTTCATGGAGCTGACTCAAGTACCCACTGCTTCAGGATAATGCATCCTTTACTGACATTGCCAACGCTACTACGTTCGAGACATACGGCCATGTTCAGAGAGACCTGAAGGCTCGACATGTAACCTTCATCGCACTCGGCGGGAATCTTGGCACAGGGCTGTTTCTGGGTATAGGACGGGCACTGAGGACGTCTGGACCGCTCTCACTCTTCCTTGGATATGCCATTGCCAGCTCTGCTGGCTTCATGATGATGATGGCGCTGGGAGAAATGGCCGCGTGGCTGCCGCTACCTGGTGCCATTCCCCAATTCTGCGCCCGCTATGTCGACGATGCCCTCGGTTTTGCTGTTCGCTGGAACACTTGGTTTACGGCAGTCATCACTCTTTGTGCTGAAATATCAGCAGTCTGCAGCATAATTCAATTCTGGTCGGGTGCTGAGCATGTTAGCGTTGCTGTGTGGATTGTGATTCTCATCGTTGCCCTGCTGGCACTCAATATACTGGCAGTCAAAGTATATGGAGAAGCTGAGTTTGCTTGTGCGGTGATCAAACTCTGTGGAATAATCGGTCTACTTATCACAGCTCTCGTGATTGATCTTGGAGGAGTCCCAACCCAGAATCGGCTCGGATTCCATTACTGGAAGACCGACGGCATCATGAAAGAGTATATTGCGTCAGGTAGCACTGGCCGGTTCTTGGGGCTTTTTTCCACACTAGTCAATGCTTCGTTTTCCCTGGGTGGTGTTGAAACCGTCGTAGTCGCCGCTGGAGAAGCCGAAAATCCGCGACGAAACATCCCCAGGGCCATTAGACGTGTCTTTTGGCGACTCTTGTTCTTTTTCGTCCTTGCCTCCTTCGCGCTTGGACTGATTTGTCCCAGTAACAATTCTAGGTTGCTGGGAGATAGTTCTTCCTCCAATGCTGAGTCTCCCTGGGTGATTGCAATCAACCTAGCGGGGATCAAGGCCCTGCCATCCATTGTTAACGTTGTGGTCCTCATCGCCGGCATTTCCTCCGGGAATTCATACGTCCTTTATGGGATCCAGATATCTGTATGCCTTAGCTTGCAACCAGCAGGCTCCTAGGATCTTCCTACGTTGTACCGAACAAGGGATCCCGATTTACGCCCTTCTGGTGACCATGTCAATCTCTTTCCTAACATTCATGTCAATGGGCTCCAGCTCAAACATTGTCTTCCAGTGGTTTCAGAATCTAACCACAGTTTCTACTTTGTATGGCCCCATTACCTCTCTGTGTGGCATGTTTAAATTAGAATACAGAATGTACTCACTAGTACAGGTACACCTGGATCTCCATCTGTATCGCATACATGCGCTTTCACGCCGCTCTCAAAGCACAACACATTGACCGATCAGACCTCCCATTTTCATTCCCGTTACAGCCTTACTCCACATACTTTACGTTGATATATCTATGCATTGTGGTCTTCTTCAACGGCTTCGATTCTATTGCCGGTGGCTTCAACCTCCCAGGGTTCATCACGTCATACATCGGCTTCCCCCTTTTCTTCGGTTTCTTCCTCTTCTGGAAGATCTTGAAGCGCACAAAATGGAAGCGGCCTGAAGAAGCCGATCTTTTTACCGGAAAGGCTGAGCTAGATGCAATAGAGTGGGCTCGGAAGATACCGAGGAACTTTGTGGAAAGAGTGTGGTTGGCTTTTATTTGATAGGTTTGCGGCTGTGTAGCTATGTTTATGGCGATTTGTTTCTGGTATGATTTCACATTCTTCGATATATGTATGTAACGAATTCACCAGTGAATGTCACTATCTATCTAGGTATTAGGACTGTCTTCTGGAGTTGAACTAGTACGCTTCGTGTCTCATAGTAGGTATAGTATAGTTTAAGCACCGTCTGCTTAACTCAGGATACTTCTCCGGGACGTCTAAGATATATGATCCGTAGAATGAAGAAGTCCTATGATCCATGCCGAGGGTAATACCATATCTTGGTGGTTAATTATCAACCAGCTGGAGTCAATCTCTGTCTCCCCGCGATAGAAAGCGACGGGATTTTGGAAGAGTAATCGGCAGATACACTGAACCGGGTGAATTAGCGAGGAGGGATTACAAGAGCTGTTTCGCTTATAACATACAACGAAAATAACGAATCCCGCACCTTGGTCTACACCATGATAGCTAGCTGTAAATATATCAATCTCGAGTTCACTAGTATAGTACCTGGCTATCCTAATTGCAGTCCCAATAGAACTCCGAAGGGGTATTGGGAAAGAACGATTTATGAAGGGCAAATAGAAGGCGAGCAAGCGGTTCAACAAGATTGACAACCAGGTGGAGAAGAGTGATATAGGAGGAAAATGACTGTGATAGTGCAACTTTGGGATTTTCGGTATCTTAATATGGCTTATCTTGAATTGAATAAAATGGAATGATGTGGGTGGAGGCGGCAAGGAATCGTATAGATCTGGCCGAGGCCATAGGTATGGAGAAACGCCCTCCGCGAACTGGCCCTTGACCGCGGCCAACTGAGCCGAGGAAGTGTGTCACTAAAGAGGAAATAGATGAGATTAATTCATAGCTTGCACATTCTGTCGGAATGACGAGTAAGAATAGACCTGGGCGTTTGACTGATATGGGGGAAGGAGACAAAGCTATCGGCATAGGATCTCTACAGAAGCGGCCTGCTGCCTCAGTATTTGTTTTAGTGCCGGACCCACCACTTCGCCGCGGGAAACCTGGTGATATCAAGCCCGTCTCTGCTATGACACTAGAACAGCTAAATGTTACGAGCAGCATGACCTGGGCAAAAGCTCAACCAACCGATCCCCGCAGGATTCAACGATCAGATCATCATGAGCATGGAGGAAGAATTCCTCTTTCCTCTTTTCCATTCCAGCAGACGACATCGACTTTGCCACCCACATAAAGATTCCCTATCAACTGCCGCCCCAGAGACAGGACGCCAAAAGAATATTTTCAGTCCGCTAAAGACTTTCTCCTTTGATCTGCCGGGGAATTTATAAGAGGCATCTCAGGAGGAGAGCTGCAACGAATGTCTATTGAGAGTTTATGCCACGCGAAGTAGTGGCGTAGACTCTGTCAAGGCAGCTAGTGTGTAGGGTTAAGAGCATTGACACACGTGCAATTATACATCTCCTATTTAACTTGTATAGCTTAGGTGGAGACAGAAACACGAAGGAGTTTCCCATGATGCCCTGCACTTTGACCAATCAGAATAGTGTTTTTACTTCCTATGAGGATGGCCAAAATTGTGTTCTTTACTCAAAGGTTGTCTGGTAAGCTGAGATATTGGAATTTCATCATAGGGTCAGGTGTCGAATGTTGATTATTGACAGCTTCTGGGGAAGAGGGTGGAATAATTATTTGTCTGGGCACGAGCAATTTTGGTGGCCAAGGCTTGGCTCTCTATGAGGTATTTACAGCAAAACAAAGAAGGCCGAGTTATAATTTTACGGAGCACAAAGCCTAGAATTAGAGAGGTGCTGGAGGTAAAATGACAAGATACAAGAGATAAAAAGAATAATCAAACGGAGATAGCCTATAATCAACAGATTAGGAGAAAAGAGTAGAGAACAAGAGAGGGATAAAGCGTCAACCCCGTCAAAAAGAGCAATATAAATTATTACGTCCGAAGATGACTGAAACATAATGCATGCGGTCAATGGAAAACCAAGTCCTAAGAAGGGGGAGAGTACGATCAATCAGGTGGATGGATCGATAGGGTGTATGTTTATAGCGCCTTCACAGCCCCTATTATATGGCCAAGGCGGTAGAGCTCCGAAGGTCTCAGACCCTAAACCCTAAATTTTGGCCCCTTCAGAGCTGCACCCCGAATTGAGCCGAAGATCCATACTGGTATTGTCTCTTGTCAGCTCGAGGTTCCTTATAATTGGCCACTATCCATCCCATTGATCAGTGCGGGAATCTCCGGGATGGGCCGGCCCACGACAGCTAGCCACTAAAGAGTCGATCGTGGACTGTGCATCAATCTAATTCCAATCAGAGACATATCCCAGAGTACCACAAGAATGGGCCTAGCCCCATACGGTGGCTATGAGTTCTATTGTTTCCGTTCGCCATGCCACAAAATTGTACCTCGCTCGAGCCCGACCACGAGAACTAAGATCATGATATCCTCCAGCATTCACGGTCAATTAACAACGTAGAATCTATTGCACTCCTAAGTTTAGTTTGGTTTGATAGGTAGCTACTTAATGGTTCAGATCACGAGCTGTCGAGGAGGAAAGTCTGGGAGGAATGCTTGCAGATCCTTCAACCTTGCACGGTAAGCGAGAAACTACTGAAAAGCTATCAAGAGTCGAACTTTCAAGCGGAATTGGAAAGCTAAGAATAACAATGCACACCACAGGAGATTTGAGTATAAAAGCCCTGGTGACAGTCATCCCGTTCCTCTCTCTTAAGACGAGCTCTCGTCATCACCTTTTTTCTGTCACCAAACATTTGTCTCCTAAAAAAAGTCAATCAACATGAAATCCACTTTTCTTCTCTCTCTCTTATACCTTTCCTACAGGGTGTCCTGGGCTCTACAGAAGTTTTAGGTGGTTCACCTGCTACGATCAACGACCTTCCCTATCTAGTCAGCATTTCGAAATCAGGCGCATATACCTGTGCTGGTGCTATTATCAGCGGAAACTGTGTTGTTACTTCTGCACAATGCGTATATGGCCTAGAGGCATCACCCACAAGCTTTTCCGTGAGGGCAGGCTCAAGCCAAACATCATCTGGAGGGTATGCAATTACGGTATCAAAGATTTCCCGGCATCCTCAATTCAAGCCAACCAGCAATGATTTCGACGTTACCGTGCTCCAATTATCTTCCTCTATCACATCCGGTCCGACTGTCAAGCTGGCTGAATTTGTCCAGTCTGGCCAGGAGCCAGCGGATGGGGCTGAATGTGTGGCTTCTGGCTGGGGTGACCTGGAAGGACAATTACAATCAGTTACACTGCCTATCGTGAACCGAGAGAAATGCAATGAGACTTATGCCGGCCAAATCACCGACCGTATGATATGTGGTGGCTCCGAAGCTGGTAAAGGTACCTGTCCAGGGGACCGTGGTGGCCCGGTTACTTGCGGTGGTAAACTTGCTGGAATCATCTCGCAGACTAATGGGTGCAACCTACTTGGTCTTCCGGACGTATTCACTGATGTTGCCAAATCTAGCATTCAATCTTGGATTAAGAGTCAGTAGTTACAAAGCGTTGCTGGTGTGTAATTCTGCGTCAAAGGACAGGATGTAAAAAATGAATAGAGTTTCAATGGCCATCACAATTTCAATGTTGTATTTAATGAACTGAAATATAATATAATAGCAAATCATATCGTGATATTATTATTACACAGAGACTTGTGCAGTTGTGTATTATTTGTTCTCTGGTAGATAAACACTCATTTCGAACCCATTCGTGAAGGGCAAAGTCATGTTGCGGAAGCTATTCCTTGGTTCTCTGAGGTAGGCCAGTAAGTCCGCATATCCCTGCGCACCCGAGATAGTGTTGTCGGTGAGGACCACGGCGCCGTGCCGCAGACGCGGTTGGACTGTTTTGAGCGTTGGGAGGGCAAGTTTCGACCAGACTAGTAGGTGATTAGTTCTTGCCCGACAATGACGCTAAGAACAGCACCATGTAAGAAACGGATACTTACTGTCCAGTAAGAGTAAGTCAACTTCTGGCAGGTTCTCCTTCAGGGTTTCTAGGAGATCGCCCTCGCGAAGATCAATCTCGTTTTCCACCACGGAGCCACACTCCTTCCAATAGTCTCTTGCAATTTTTGCCTTCTCCGGCTCTTTCTCAGTTGCGATGACCGTACCAGGCTTTCCTGTCGCGGCTTTCGTTTTGGCTACCGCGAGGGCCAGATAGATAGTGCTGACACCGAAACTAGTCCCTGCCTCCACCACGTTGGTGGCTCCCATCGCGTTGATTAATTGATATACAAACTGACACTTATCTTCATCGAGGGCGATGAATTTATCAAGCATCAGCTTGTCGAACTCGGCCGTTGCATCCTTGTCAGGAAGCTTGTCTTCGAAGTCTCCTATGACCGTGGCCGAGAAGACCTTGCCAGTTTTATCAATGGCAGCTTCCTGCTCCAACGACACTTTATGGAGTCTTGACAGGAGCTCTAGCACATGGGATGGTGCATCCACAGGTGACGAGGAGGACATGTCGAAGTGGAAGATGTTGACGTGGATCAGGGTGGGAACCTGACCGAAGGCAGCACTGTTTATGGTCTCTGGCGGATACAGGGGGTAATGTGGTGACTCAAGTTGTTGTCAAGTTCACCATACTATATAGAAGCAGGTACATTTCGAAAAGTTGGTTGTCTTCCGCACGTTCTATGCGCCCAGTTATACGGTCGGCAGTCTTGGCTTCTTGGAGACTTAGAGCTAGACTGGATACCGTTAGCATCGCTTCTGGGTCCTAATGTCTCTCCGCAGAGATCTCGGCTCGGCCTTTCGGGACTTCAAAGCTTGTCCCTACATCGTTAAACTCAAGTATTGAATCCAACGACAGTTCTCATTTTATCTGCGCCCCAAAAGGCCCGCCGACATATCATCATTGATATCAGGCATAGTGTTATCCTCGAGCGCGTGGATATTGCAATTTGAGGACCGAACGATGACTCAATTAGTGTATGATTCCCCATAACGCCAAGACAGTATTTCTGGTGCCCCTCATTTAGGGCTTTTTCGTGCCTGATGAAAGTGGGGAGCAGCCTGCCTTGGCATCTTGGAGAACTGGGTCCATCTACTTCGCTTATACATATATTTTTATTCAAAGCTTTGAATGATAGTATAGATATGAGCAACAGTTGAAAACTCAAATGCAGTTAGCTTGATTCAAAGTGTTATTGTCACGGGTATTCAACTTTTATTGAAATTTCGATTACATTAAGAGCTCGTTCTCTAGGATGTAGCCATATGCTTCTAACACCTTCCCAATCATGCGTACTACATCCCAATGTGCTTCTCCACTCAGAAGTTTTGCCCAAAGCTTAATGACCCGAACACATAGTTCAAAAAGGTGAGGTGCCTTCCCGCTCCCTCTCACCAAACAAGTTGCAGGGTCTGCTTCTGTTACAATATCATCGAGGTAAGCGATCAACGTTGCTTCCTCCTTATCGAGGGGCGCCTCGGCCAGGCGATTTTGTATAGCAAACAACCACTTGCTAACCACGAAAGCGCACTCAAGGGCACAGAGCGAATGCTGAAGGGACCATCTAAAAGCCTGACTCCGTGTGACGATGCTAACACCAATCTTGACTGGAATGCTGAGTGCATGCGCAGCGTATAGCACTGCGCGTGCTAGTTTAGGAGACGGTGTTAGGGGCGGACTTTGGTGTATAGACATCGCAATTTCGTAGGGATTATGGGTGTTGAGCGCGCGCCACGGACCTACATCAACAACCAACCGAATATAGGCCATTCGAAGCAAAGCTGTCGAGTTGAAGGAAATCGGGCCATGTGGACTCCCAGGACGAAGGGATGATTCTGGGTCTTTATACCATCCATTCTGCCAGTTCTTCAGTGCTTGCTCCACACTGGCGGCATCTGGAGGAGACAGGCTCTGTTCTGAGCCAGGTCTGCATTTGCTCAACTCGCGTAGGAAGTAGATGTGTTGAATCAAGGCCAATATTAGGGTGTATCCACCGAGTGAGGAATATCCCTTGAGAATTTCGTTGTCTTCCTTGGGCTCTAAGAAGAGGTTTGAGAAATAGGATTGAAATTGTGGCTCAGGTTCGGATCTAGCCCGGAGTTCCTGCCACTCCTTCTCGGTTCGGGCCGCCCAATCAGCTTCGCGCGAAGGAAGATCGATATTAAGTTCTGAGGTTCGAATAGGAGGAGGGGTGTCATTCGCTATTGTGTGGAAATTTAAAAAACAGTATATGATAGCGATTGTCCTCTTGAAGCCTTCAATTTGAACCCATTGAGCCCAGGTAATGCCTTCCTGTGTCCGGGTTTGCACCTTCAGAAATTCTTCCTCTCGCACAAGGTTGACTATCGTGTTCTGTAGACCAAAAGCTTTGTTGTAGATGGCTTTTGAATTCCCCCACGTTGCCATTGCCATAAGCAAGAGCAGTGTCTGTGCAGCAGGCAGTGGCTGGAATTGAGGGATGCAGGCCTGGCCCGCAGTCGAGTCTGACGGGAGTTCTGGTACAGAGAAAGAGCGTTCCATCCAAGGCTGGCCGGGTTGCAATTCGGTCGGTGCCTCATCTTCCATTGGAAATGACCTATGACGAAGCTCGGCTTTGCGATTACGCAGACGTTCTTGGACTATGGCATAAGACGTTTCGAACAGCATTCTCGCATTATCATGTTCGAAATTAGACTGGGCTCCAATAACCGCCATAGCTAGTAGTAATTCAACTGGGCACCTTTCCAGTGAAAATGTAGGGATGTGAAGAAAGGGCAAATGGCGGTGGAATCCCGAGAAGTATGTCCCGAGATAACGGGTCAAAGTATGGCGTGACTGAAGCACAAATTCCGGCGGAATGAGAGGACTAAAGACTTGAATTTGTGCAAAGACTTTGTCCCAGTGCTGTTGCGTGATGTGCCATGGATCCTTGTAAGTTTTCACCGACGGCGATATATCAAATGAGGGAAATGTCGACGAGAATTCATCAAATAAATTCGGGACTTGTGGACGAACTGGGGCTACATCAGATGAAGTAGTACTGGGAAGTTGCCAACGAATACCGGAAGGCTGAGGACCCGGCTCATCAATTAGGGAGAATGTTGGCAGTGGCAAGGCTGGCTGGCCATAGATCAATGGTGATGGTACAGTCATATTGTCAAGGATGTGAGTGAAATCTCCAAAATTGGGGGCCGACTGGTCCCACAGTGCCTGTGACGAGCTGACAGGAGCCTCTACGGACATTGCGGCTGAATTATCCGTATCAGTTCTGGATAGACTTGAGGTGAATGCATCTGAGACAGGAACCAAGCATGTGTCGGGGGTTGGTAGCATGGACGAAGAATGACCTGAATCGTCGTTGACAGTGAGGGCCGTGTCTTGTCCTGTATGGGTATGGTGCGGTGTGCTTTCTGCGCCATGGAGAGCATAACCAGAATGCTCCGGCGATTTGCGGCGATGATTCAAAGGAGTCCCAGAGCCATGGGCGGTTGTCGAAGTAGCAGGATGGCAGAGGCGTAGGTGACGTGCGAGGAGGTCACTGGTTCAGCCATCTTTAGCCGTATATACAACTAAGGAGGATCTGTATCTGCTTTTACCTTCGGGTAAAAGTTTCTGGGCAGGCAGTACAACCAAAGGGTTTTTCCTTCGTGTCTGTAGTATGTGAGCGAGGGTTCGTGTCTGTTGGGTACTAAAGAATTGGAATCCCTACGTAGCCGTTCATGTCGTTGCAGGTGCTCGTTCCGTTGGAATTCTCTAGCACAAAATTGGCAACGGAACAATCTATTCTTCTTGCTCGGGGAGGAGGCATTTTGACGAGTCTGCCTTCCCCCAGTTCTCTCCACAGGTGGCATCTTATGTTTCTTTCTGGTCGGCATCGGCAAAGCTTGCCCAGGCCTTGAGACGTTAAGTTGAAGAGATTCGCTTTGACAATAAATGCTGTCCCAGAATCGCTGAGTCATCCTCGAGTCACGGGACCCATGACGATCTTGATTTGATACCCATCGTGATAAAATATATGTCCACCAGAAAAATATTGAAATACACCGTATGGAGTCCAATCTGTGTGTTATTCATGCTTATAGCTTAGGCGCCAGCGGCGTGCAGTGTGCTCATCTCTTATCGCAAGGAAAATAATTTGGCCATATACCAGGTTACAGAGAGTCCCAAGGATTGAACTATAGAAGCAATCTAAGGACAGTAAAAAGTATTAACATATAGGACCAACAAAAGGGCGAAACTAGAAATAGTAAATATTAGTGCTTAGTAATAAAGAAACGTAACAAGAGAAATCAAAATTACGTGATAGAATCTCTCATATACGAGCAAGAAAGCAGTGGGGTGCCCAGAACGTTGTAGATTGTGGCCTGCAGGCCCTAACTTCTAAGTCAAAGATCCATGCTTACGTCAGGATGAGACTTCTTTGTCTAATACTATGGGAAGCCCATCTATTATATAGCATCGCCTTATGCTTATATGGCATAGCACGGTAAAAGACTTTACTACGTTGAATCGTAGACTTCAAATGGCTGAACAGTTGATAGGGTTCAACCTCCGTCCGTGGTTAACCGCGGTTAACCTACTTTTAACCTTAACCTACTTAACTTTGGCTACGTTACGGCGGTTAGGTTAAGGTATGCCACTTTAAAATTAGCGAAGTTCAATAACATGAAGAGTTGTAGAACTGTATAAGCAAGTTGAGCAATTAAAGTGCACCTGGTACAATGTTTAAATCAATTTGAGAAGTATCTACAGGATGGTTCAGTATACGAAATCGAACTTAGGTAGCCCTAAGCATCGAGATGACTAGCGTGCATGACTCACGAGGCGCTATTTAAGAATACGATGGCATCCACTTTCTTTATTTTTTTTCTTGTTTCCTTTCTAGATTCCAATCTTCCTGAATTACCCACAATGGCTACTCATCTCAACTTTGTCACTCTCGACGTTTTCACCACCACGCCGTTCAAGGGCAATCCCCTGGGCGTCGTCCACCTTTCTCCAGAGCACCCGCTCTCCCAGGCCCAGAAGCAGACCATTGCCCGAGAATTCAACCTCTCAGAATCAGTTTTCATCCACGATGTCGACCCAAGCAACGATTCAGATCCACACACCCGTCGCATCGACATTTTCACGACGAACAAGGAACTCCCCTTTGCCGGCCATCCCACCATCGGCACGGCCAGCTACCTTCAGGCGCAGGGAATCAACAAGCTAATCACCAAAGCCGGCCCCATTGCCATCCACTCCGACGCAGAAGGGCTGGTTAGCGCTTCTATTCCGCACGACACCCATCTCAACTCGAAGGTCCTCGGCGACATTGAGTCGACCCTCCGTGTGGACAAGCTGCACCCCACGTCCGAGATCCGCTCTGCGGAGCTCCAGGCCCCGATCTTCAGCATCGTTAAGGGCATGACCTTTGCTCTTGTCCGCCTCCCGAGTCTGGATCTGTTGTCTCAGGTCTACCCGGGCGCTTTCCCCTGTGCAGTGAGCGACCTTGTTGATGTAGAGTGGAGTGAGACCTTCATTGGGAGGTACTATTACGTGGTAATGGGAACGAGTGTCTCAGATGCTGGGGTAAGGACTGTTCAATTGAGAACGAGGATGATGGAAGATCAAATGGAAGATCCGGCTACAGGGTCGGCGGCGTGTGCATTGACTAGCTATCTTGCACTTCATGAGTATAGCGAGACAAGCATTCAGTTCCAAGTAACGCAGGGCGTTGAGATGGGGCGGCAGAGTGATATTGCAGTCGAGGTTAGGGTTGATGTCGGAGAAGATGGGGTGAGGAGGGTAAGGGAGGTACATCTCGGGGGAAAGGCCAGACAGATCATGAAGGGAAGTATACTTGTCCCTGTTGTTTGAGTAATTTGTGCATTTCGAAGGGGTTTCAGGCTATCCGCCTGGTCAGTCGTCCTTGAGCCAGATAATACAAGCATTCAGTAGCCAAAGAAGTCTTTCTTCACCATCAAGCTATCAGCCACTACTCTTCTCTGTTTCATGTCATACAGAAATCCCGAATTCTTCACATCCTGTCCGACTATGAACGCAAGCAGTAGCGCGATAGAAGCAGATAGTCCGGAAGACGCTGGACGACCTCATCTTGCGAGGTCTGACCATAGTGCACGATTTTATCTTTAGCCCACCAAGACCCTAGTTGTTTAGCAGCGAGGCGAGGCTAGACAGACATGCTTTGAATTTAGGACGGCTGGGTAACACTGGCCAAGTTCAAGAACTGGCTAAGGGAGAGTTTGGGCATCACGGACAAGGGGCGGAATACGAGGAGAATAACCATAGTTGAATGTAGTTTAGCAGTTAGAGGATGGTGAGGAAGTCTGAGACTGTAGATTCAAAGAGGGTTATACAACTTATCCATGACGATGGGGGGAAAGACCACAAGTCATAGGCCACAGCCTCCAAGCCATCATCATACGTTATCCAACTCTCAAGCAAATCCTATAGCCGTCACTTTCAAACAATTTTAAACCGCTTGATACGGGGGGAACCCTTCTCAATGCCAGCCAACGGATCGCCATCCATGATTCCCACAACATAACAGGCTCCAATGTAAATATAGTGTGAATCTATCTTTCTCAGAACAACAGGTGTCTCACAACCAAAGAGGATGCCGATGATATCCCCCTTGCATGTTCCAGGAGGGCCCCACCCACGATGCCCTTGGCTAGTCTCAAAAAACGCATAGCACATTCGGAGTACTATAAACGAACTTGAGAGTTGTGCGAGACTGCTCATACTCCAATGTTTACTGCTGTCACTATCCAAAAGCCTCCGTAGTCGAGTTCCATCAATTGGCTGATCTAGATATTGGATGGTCCTGGTATCCTGTAGAAACTTAGCGGACCCTACATCCATATTCAGTAATACGAATGACATATAGGCAATTGCCCTTTCCAATACCGAGGGTTCAGGGTTTAGACCAAGCTGCATATCACTGTCAGGGACTTGGTCAAAAAGCAGCAGCCTTATAATAGTGAGGAAGACCCGAACTCCTCTATCATCCCGTTGATCTTTATGAGCCTCAATATAATCTATCCAGAATTGAGCAAAGCTTTTAGTGTCACCCCAAAAGTATACGTGCGTTGAGACCTCACTCAAGTGAGTCCCAGGAGCCTCTAGGGTATTTTCATAGCAAGAGAGTGGTGGTATATTCTGTTTCAGCATAAATCCATCAGCATCGAAACTCGCCATTTGAGCGGGAACTGGAGTCCACATCCTTGCCTTCGACAACAGATCCCAATTTGGAACCCACGAAGGTAAGAACAGATGGTGCCCCAACACCTCTGTTTTATCATTGACAAAACCGTGGCCTGCAAATAGCAGTATGTCCAATCTACCGTCTGCCTCAAGGCACATCTTTGCAAATTTGCAGAACGTCTCCTCTGCCGAGATAGAATAGTTCGGGGTTACACCATGGCGCAACATACTGGCCATACTGTAGAGCTTATCTCTAGGGTCTGAGGCCTGGGCTGTTTGTGTGGCGATGAGGATCTTTTTCCAGTTATATGCTGTGTTGAACGTTTCTGTGCTTGCAGCTTCTTCTACTAGCCGAATAATCTCAGCATACTTCATGACCTGTGCTGGCCCATAGTTTTCCTGGTAGAGAGGAGTTGATAGATAGAGCCAGATGTTCATGTGGACAAATGAGGGGCATTCGTAGGGGCGAAGTCTCATAATCCATGTGCCTATAGCGACCAAGTCCTGGAACTGAAAAGACCTCATGCCACAGAGCATCGTGACTTTCCTTGCAAGCACAATCTCTTGGACTATCCATGCGCGCGTCCAATACGACCGCCGCACCAATTGTACAATGCCGTCCCAGAACTTATTTCCCATTTCGTCGCCGTCCGAGTTTCTTTGCCACAGTTCGGTCTGGCTAGGGGCCATCCATGAAAGAGGGTCGTCCCCATCAAGGGATGCAGCTACTCTGCCGGTTATATCAATCATCACCTCTATGGCATAGTCGCTGTCATCCGCTTCCACACCTAACCATGACAGCACCGCATCCGCAGAACGGTAGATTGAAGACATCTGCAGTACCTGGCTGTTTTTCTCGGGAATGTCCTCCTGATTAATGCAGATGGCATCCACCCAGAAGAGCATATCTGCGAGCTCCCACGTACTGTTCGCTTCTGTAAGATCGCGGTAATGTAGTAAAAACTCGAATAGATTTTTAGTCACGGGTGCGCTATGGCCGTTGATTGTGATTGGGTTGTTTGGAGTGTCCTCACCCCACACATACGACAGAGCAAAATACTTTTGGTCGTGTAATGAGGTGGTAAACATGGTAAGTTGCAGGCTTTCGTCAGGGCTGGCTGTTTGCCGGGGGTGCAGCCTCAACAGCCGGATCTCAGGCCTGGACGGATCCAGCGGCCGATAGATGGACTCCGACGTTGAAGCCATAACAGGAAGTGTGCTCGTATAAGATGCTGACTATTAAGCAAGCTGGTAAAAGAGGTCTCAGGGATGTCGCATGAGCTGAATTAAGGTCTGTGTAGTGGAACATGGCGGGGTCTGGCTTGGCAAGGCTTCGTTGCTTTTTGCCGTATATGCAGGTCTGATCTTTTCCTTACGGTTATTTGTCAATTTAGCGAGGGTGTGAACCCGTCAATGAGCTAGCATAACCATCCATCGTGAGCAGTGGTGTCCGATACTCTCGAGAGGGACCCCCCGATATCAAAAGACGTGGGTCAACATGGCATCAAATCAGACGTCGTGACTATTTCCCCCCAGGGTGCCTGTATCCGACAGAATAGTGCTTATTTACCCTCTAGAACAAGTTACCTACTAATAACACAAATCTCTCTCATTGTGCAGTAGGACGAAGACCATTAGTACATCATTGCCTGGAAGCTGCACGCATAAATGTGACTGGACCTCGGTTTCACTTTCTATACTTTGCGCTATGCCAAGGGTCTCGGCTGAAATGTCTTTGAAATTCTCCTTCTGTAGGGCTTTAAATGCATTTTCCTGCACTAAGAAATCCTGAACATGAGTTAGATGTTTAAGAATCTCTATTAGTTTGAGAACTATGGGCCAGATGGGAATTACGCTCGTGTTGATATCCAGGCATTAACTGGGGTTATGTCAACTATTACCCATGCTTAGTAAGAAATTGACGCCAATGCCCTAGTTATGTATAGCCTATCAATAGCCTATGTCGGATACGCCTCGTATCGCTTCTATTCTTATAGCACTCGACTCCCACTCCGGAAGTACGTCGCAAACAACTACACCACTGATCTCCATTCTCCACCATGCGAGCCATTCGTGTCCATCCAGCTCCTCCAACATCCACCCCTTACTCACCCTCAAACCCCGCTCCATCCTCAGCCTTACATCTTGATCACAATGTCCCCATCCCCAAGCCATCAAAGCCCGGCGACATCCTCGTGCGCGTCAAAGCCACAACCGTAATCCGCGATATGCTTACATGGCCTGAGACCTACTATCACGAATATGCCATAATCGGCAACGACATCTCAGGAATCGTGACAGAGGTCTTCTCCCCGGACTGCAAATTCCAGCAGGGAGATGAGGTTTTCGGCATGGCAGCTACAGACCGCGCAGCCGCATGGGCGGAATACGCCCTTCTCAACGAGGATGAACTCGCCCTGAAGCCAAAAGCCTTGACCTTCGACCAGGCCGCGGCGTTGCCTCTTAGCGCACAGACGGCCTATGAGGCATTGTTTGATCACGGTGGTATTCCTATGCCCTCAGCGGAGGAGGCTATTAAGAACCAGGCCCAGTCCTCTGGCCAGAAAGGCCAGCGGGTGCTGATTACCGGTGCCGCTGGAGCGGTAGGGATTTATCTCGTTCAGCTGGCGTCTGCAGCGGGAGTACATGTTGTGGCGGCCACGAGTTCGAATGCTCGGAATGAAGAGTTCCTTCGCAATCTTGGTGCTGATGAGGCGGTTGAGTACAGTATGCTGAATAACTACCGAGGGGTGTTCGATGTCATTATTGATGTGGTTGGGGGAGAGGTATTGGCCAAATGTTGGGACTATGTGAAAGAGACTGGGGTGTTGGTCTCTGTCGATTCGGCGAGTTTTAACTTTGTCGAAGAGCATGAAAAGCGCGGAATACGCAAGGATGGTGTTCGTGCTTTGTTCTTCATTGTTAAAGGCAGTAGCAAGGCCTTGCATTATATCGCCGAACTTGTGGATCTGGGCTCGGTACAGTCTTTCGTCGTTGAGGCTTATCCCTTTTCAAAAGTACAGGAGGCGTACGATTATGCTAATGGGCGGTATTCTGGACGTGGGAAGTTGGTACTCACGGTTTAAATGTGGGACCGCATGTCAGCGAATTGATAACTACTTCACTTCCAGAGGAAACTTGCTTTTCGTGATTATCATTGTCTGCATATCAAATTTACCTAATTTAGCATAATAAGTATAACCGGACTTGAACATAAGTCCACCTATTATGTGCGAAAGAGAAATAGTTGCTTTTTTTCCTAGCTTCGCTTCGCTACCTACGGAGGCTACGATTCTGTAGAAAGGCCCTGACATCTTATTGTAACCGGGTTAGTATGAGTGCTTATCATCCCAGAGCCTTACCTGCGTCTCATTCCTACAGCCTATTGCATCCACAGGCCCAGGTCCTTCCGGTACTACATACCCGACATTCTGCGTCCCACACTCTATGCTATTATCAATTTTTGCTTTGTGTACCCCAGGCCATAGGAAGTTTTATTGAATGGTAGAGACTGGTAGTCATCTTAAGCAGCTTGATACACAACACAATTTTGTGGAACTGCAATAAAATTCCACTATTATGAGAGCATGCTGTAAGGGTAACCAAAGGAGCTGGTAGTATTCCGTATAATAGCCGGGAATCTTGTGGGGCCGGCCTATCCATACAATGACTCCACTCAGTTTCCCGATAGGCTACGGGCCCGAGCCTACGGCAACCCATACTCTCTAATAGCCTATCCTATCCGAAAAGCTGTGTCAACATCGCAAAATGCCGGGCTAGCCGAATATTACATTGTTGCTTAGTGTCTCCATCGAGCTGTGACCCTCAGAGTCCTATTTAAGGACCTCGATGGGCATGGCCAAAGTTCACTCCACAACACAAACACCAACAGTACCTCGAAGTGTGATATATCTTAATATCCGGAACACTAGCTATCCCCTGCCAAAGTTTCTATCAAGATCACGAACCACTCAAGATGCAGAGGATAGTGGTTATCGGAACAGGCTTTGCCGGAATGTGGAGCGCCCTCGCTGCCATGCGGTTGATAGACCTCAACGGAGGGAAAGCTGCCGGTATTGAAGTGACTGTAGTATCACCAGAGCCAACACTAGTCATACGTCCACGATTGTACGAACCAGACGCAAAAAGCATGAGTGCTCCACTTGAGGATCTATTCCGTGTCACAGGTATCCAGTTTGTCAAAGGCACCGTCGAGACAATCTGCGTTCCGCAACGCCTGGTGAAGATTGTGGACCAGGCCGGAGTGTGCTCAACCCTTTCCTACGACCGGCTCGTGCTGGCAGCCGGCAGCCACTTGAGACGTCCGAATATCCCAGGGCTTCGTGAGCACTCATTCAGCATCGACCAAATCGGCGAAGCGGCAGAGTTTGAGGCTCATCTGCACAGTCTGGCCGCGCGTCCTCCTAGCCCGGCTCGCAATACAGTTGTCATCGGAGGCGGCGGTTTCACGGGTATTGAGATCGCAGCTGAGCTTCCAAGCCGCTTACGTTCGATCCTCGGTCAGGATGCGGAGGTTCGCGTCGTCATTATCGAACAGGCAACCGAAATTGGGCCCGAACTAGGAGCCAACCCACGACCAGTTATTGTCCAAGCTCTCGCAGAGCAAGGGGTAGAAACGAAGCTGGGGGAGGCAGTTATGTCAGTGGACGACAAAGGTGTGGTGACTACCAGCGGCGAGCGCATCGATTCCCTCACGGTCCTCTGGACGGCCGGAGTAGAAGCTACCCCGTTGACCCAACAAATACCAGGCGTGAAAGACAAACTTGGTCGTCTCCACGTCGATGCAGATCTGCGTGTCCCATCCGCGAAGGAGATCTTCGTCGCAGGTGATGCAGCCTTGGCTGAGACAGATAACAACGGCCACTATGCAATGATGTCCTGTCAGCATGCCTTGCGCCTTGGCCGCTTTGCCGGACACAATGCTGCTGCTGATCTGCTGAACGTTGCGGCGAAACCCTACTCTCAACCTACTTATGGAACGTGCCTTGATCTGGGGCCATGGGGAGCAGTTGTCACTGAGGGTTGGGAGCGCACGGTTAGGTTCAAAGCATCCGTGGCTAAACCGATAAAGGAGAACATTAACCGCGTCGTGATATATCCACCTAGTGCGAATCGTGCTGAAGCGTTTGCTGCTGCTGACCCGGAGTGCCCTGGTCCCGTTTTGACTTAATATTGCCAAATAGAGACCTCATACATCGCTTCCAATTATAATAGATCTTAGATTTGCGATGCATCATGGGACATCAAGGAAGTATTTCATCATTAGCATATAGTTATACAACAAAGGAAGACATTTTCATCACGTACTGGACACCAATTCGTAGCCAAATTTGAGGCCTGGAATTTGGGAACCCATTGCCAATATCCAAGGTATCTACCATGTAGTGTAGTACAATCTAAAGCACCGTACATTTGATGTGATTGGGAATATTTATAGGCAGACAGCTGGATGTATACCAGCCAGGATGTAATGAAATAGAGTAAACAAACACTGACCCTGTCGAGTATTACATGGTATCCACCTTAACAGACTAGCATTAGTAGATCATCAGGGCCGCGCAAGGATGCTATGAAGAGGTGCTATTATTGTCTTAGTCACCAATGCAAATCATAATTATAAGCTGCATGGTTCAATTATGGACCCCATATATAGAGCTGCACGATGCAGTGAGCTGGGCCTATAACAGATTCGATTAATGCTACTCTATCTCAGGTGTAGTCCGTTTCACGACGGGATTTTGTCTTGCATCCTTGGCTCTAACAGGGATATTACTTAGAATCAAATATCCATGTTTCTATTGTTGCATTCTTATCAAGAGTTCAATTCATGAGACGGTGCCTACAAATATGGTATACTGGTCACAGATATTAAAGATACGTATCGCAGGTTTTATGCATTCCATAAATGCATAGTTAATAATGCCTCGGAAACCTGCAGCCGATAAGTAGTCTTAAGACACTCGGATAAGGTGGAGAATAACTAACCATCACACAGTGGGGATAACGGTCTAGTCAACTAGCGCCGGATGCAGATTAGCCCCTGTCCCATAGCGGGAAAGGCCGTCGATATAAATTCCGGTTATACCCCAACTTCCCCAAGGTACCTGACAGGAAAACCGTTCAATCTCGCCATCTCTCAAGGCTAGAACCGGGGATGAGAGAACAATTGGACCTCCAGTATCCTCACCCGACGCAAACCACCTTCCAGGATGAGCTTGATCGGAGCAGACCCCCACGAAAGTGGAGATGGCGAACCAAAATGGGGCCACAAGCAGGGCTTATCAGCAAACTAGTTTAATTACTGTCTTAGCCCACCGCGGACGACCGACGGGCCACCGGGGTGATCCCCACGCAGTCAATGGGCATAAATAAGTGGAATTCTGGCCATTTTGGCGACAGTATCCGAGACAAGAAGGTGTGTGTGTCAAGTTCGTTTCCTCGGATCTCGATATGCAGCTGCAGAACCTTGTTCTCGTTGGCTCCCTGGCCGCAGGGGCAGTCGCAGGAGACTTTAGGAGACAGACTGCCACAAATGGCACTGCCTGTGCACAGATCAGCAGCAGGGCGGCTCGGACTTTAGCGGCTTCGCCGTCGGGTGCGTTTCGTGTGCATTCTGCAGGAACACTTATACTGATTTGCATGGTGTTGCAGCTACCCCGGTCGTGGATGGTGAGCTTGCTCTGGCTTGCTTGAAGTCTGTCCCTCTCGGCAAGGCGCAGGCTCTTCAGTTGATGGAGTCGATTTTCCCGTATGTGGAGTGGCAGTCTGGTAGGTTAACTTTATCCATTCTATCGCTTGTGTACTATAGCCAAGGATTACTGACGGTACACATTAGATACTTCGTATATCAAAGATCCGCCCCCGGCTTATCTAGAACCGGCGGCGGATATCTGGGCCGAACTGAATAAGGTGTACGACAACATCAAGTCCGACGCATATGCCGGAGAATATGACTTCCAGGCCGATCTCTTCAAGGCATTCAACCTCGCCCATGACGGACACTTCCGTTTCTTCCCCGATCTGCTGACCAAGGTACTGACGTTCCACCGCAATGTTGGTCTGGTGTCCGTCAGTTTAGACGGCAAGGAGACTCCCCAGATCTATGTGCACAGTAAGATGCCTCCTTCCGAGTTCAGCAGAAGCTCTGTGAACAACAGCACTAACTTCACCAGCCGATATTGTCGGAAAGGTCGAGAACGGACTCGATCCCTCGCCCGTAAAGTCAATCAATGGACAAGATGCGGTGAAGTTCCTCGAGGATTGGTCCCAGCTGGGCAGTCTGAACGACCCCGACGCACTCTACAACTCACTTTTCTTCTCGAAGCCCTTCGCAGCAAGCACCCCGGGCTTCGATGGGTACTTCTCCGGAAGTGCCCGCTATGGCTACATCTACCCTGGCAATACCACAACGATCGAGTTCGCCAACGGAACGAGCAGATCCTACCGAACCACCGCCAACATCAAAGCCGATCTCACCGGAGTGACCGACGGACCAAGCATGTACCAGAAGTTCTGCACGGGACCCTCCAGCACGGAGTCCGCAGCGTCAGCAACATCCTCTCCAGCAGCGGCCACCGCTACTCCAGCGCCTGGTTACCCAGACCCCGAAGTTATTAGCTCGGACAACGTCATCTCGGGCTACTTCCTCGACTCAGACCGGAACTCTGAAGTCGCCGTGCTGAGCATGCTATCGTTCGAGCCCAGCACGCCCGCCGAGTTCCAGGCCGTGCTCGAGAAATTCCTCCGCCACGCCAAAGCCGCCGGCAAGACCAAGCTCGTCATCGACGTCTCCGGCAACGGAGGCGGCTACATCCTGCAGGGCTACGACACCTTCCGGCAGCTATTCCCCAGCATCGTGCAAGACGGATACACACGCTTCCGCTACACGGAAGCCCTCGCCGCCATGGCTGAGCAATTCGCCGCCGTCCTCCCCGAGGACTACAACCCGGACACCGCCACGTTCGACCAGATTCAGATGTTCGAATCGCCCCCGAACTACCGCTACGACCTCAACCTCCAGAACAAGCACTTCACCTCTGTCGAGGAGAAGTTCGGGCCCCACGAGTACAACGGCGACCAGTACACGAGCATCATCCGGTGGGATCTGGACGACCCGCTCACCACCGTCAACCAGACATTTGGTATGGGCATGGAGATCACGGGGTACGGCACGCGCCGGAACTTCACGCAGCCCTTTGCCGCCGAAGACATCATCATCCTGTATGATGGCTACTGCGCCTCGACGTGCACGCTCTTCTCCGAGTTCATGCGTCTCCAGGGCGGCGTCAAGAGCATTGCCATCGGCGGGCGGCCGTCCTCGGACCCGATGCAGGGAATCGGCGGGATCAAGGGGTCCAACAATTTCGCATTCTCCTATATTTACTCGCTCGCGCAGTTGGCTATCCAATCCGCTACCCCCGGTCAGGAACACGCGGCGAACTGGTCGGCGCTCACGGAGCTAAGCGAGCTGCCCACGAACCGCTCGACAGATACCTCCGTCAACGTGCGCGACAATATCCTCCCCGAGAACCTGGAGGACGGGCTTCCGTCGCAGTTCGTCTATGAGAAGGCCGATTGCCGCCTTTTCTACGAGCCGGAGATGATCGTAGACGTCGCTGCGATGTGGGAAGCTGCTGCTGATGCGGCATGGGGTGACAAGGAGTGTGTCAACGGACACCTCGGTCTGAAGAAACGGACGGCTACACGAGCTCGTCGGAGTAGGAAGTCCCCGCCGCGGAAGATGACCGTCAATGTACCTGCGAATCCGATCTCGGATCGCTCGCCTTGGTGGACGCAGAAGCATGGCACTCGGGTGCCGCTGTGAGTATCTGGCAACTAAATGTGGCCTGCCTGTTGCATGTTAGACCCGCATGGCCGAGCCTACATCGGCTCGTGGATTAGATGTATATTATTTAATTGATGTCCAGAATAGTTCCTAGTATGAGTAATCAAAGTTTACCTCAAACTCTTTATTCGGAAGAACAACGGGGTTAATTAAGTCGTCTGAAGCATTTCATTTCGCTACCAATGCTCAATTAGCACAAAGACGATCACAGATGCTAAAGTTGAATGCAAAGCCGCTGGCCGCAGTAAAAGCTATGCACATGACAAATTCGGATTAGGATGGACAGTAATATTCTGTACATGGGGTATAAGACAAAAGATACTCTAATATCATACCATCCTCCTGCGTTGATGAAGATTTCATATTGAATAGACTTGCAATCGCCGCGACTGCTCCTATGAACGTGTATCGACCGGCAGCTCGTGGGCCATAGTATTGGAACCGCCGGGTAGCTCTGAGAAGATAGGTTTATGATCAAGCTCCGCTACAGGTCTACCTTTCACCTCTGCAGCCGGTGTGCTAGCATTGGGACTTATTGCAGGAGTGGCCTGGTTCTGTCGTCGTCGTCGACGCAGCAGGAACCATACCAGTGCAACTATAAGTGCAACGCCAGCACAGCCGCCAACGACGCCGCCGGCAATGGCACCGGCATGGTTAGATGATGGATCAGACTTGGATTCTGTGGGGGACGGAGTCTCTATGTTTGTTTCGGTTGGCGTGGCAGACGTGGAGAGTGATGCTGAAAGTGATGCTGATGCGGATGCAGTGCCTTGATATGGGGCGTTAGCTCTTCATGCTTCGATATCACTCTGTTCCACTTGACGCTCACCACTGGCAACGAGATTGAGTAAGCTTTGCGAGGGGTTATCCAGTTCTCCACTGTCCGGGTCTGCACAGGCGATACCTGCTCCACCTTCGGAAAAGGTTTGCACAAAGCCCCGCTTCCCCTGCAGACAGCAAAAGTAATCGCCATCATTGTTATACAGATCCCAGGTCCCATTGTTGGCGCAGTGCGGATCTTGTTCGATTAAGGCTTTGCATCCTGACTTGGTCCGACAACAGACGTTTCGATCATTATCACTCCTTTCCGATGGGCAATAAGTGTCCTCAGGACAACAATCACGCCAGGGACCCCACGGGTTGGCGCATTCCTTCTCATTTGCAGCACAGGTGCCGTTTCTCCGAAGAGTGAACCCAGCGGGCGGGCTGGAGTAGTAGTCACCCATTTCTGCAACAGCGTGAGTATAGAAGCTGTAACGGTCACCACCAGAAGGCCTTGAAGACAAGTTGTCAGGTCTCAATGTGCCGCAGGAGGAACGTTGAAAAGATAATCGGTGGGAGAGGAGTCAATGCAGAAATCCCCGATCGGGGCCAAAACAGCCGAGGGCTTCAGATGCAGATCGTCGCTTTAAAACTCGTCATTGATTGACTGGGGAAGAGAACCCCAACCACCGGGGCCTCTTGGCACTCCATTACCCCCACAATAACATTCCACCCAAGTAAGGGTCTGATCAACCCCGGAGTCTGGGCACGGTGTCAATATTTTGATCATGTGCCTTGTGCAGGCCGCTGATTCAGCCTTTGTATGGCCTTCCATATAGAGTTGAGGACAGGGAGATCTGGGGGAAAGAGTGAAGAACAGCTTTCTGATACTATAATATCACTCAATGGGCCATTTCACTGCCCCTTTCGTACAGATGGAAGTTGCAAGGCCCGATACAATCACAAGAGAGACCTCGAACAGCATATCAGGCTAGAAGAAAAGTGGGATCCCGGTCAAACCAGGACAAACATGGCCACCTTGTCCGCCCTAGGGCCTAGGTGCTCCAGGGCCAATCTCCTTCGTACCTCCTCTGTCTTAATAAAAATACTTCTCGCCAAGGGTATCTCCTCGAAGCGTAAGCCTCTTTCTGCAGTTCTAACCGCTTCTTTGCAGTGTTGAGCCCGCCTCTCATCCTCAGGGGATCCAATAGGAAATAGCTGCATATAGGCTTGCAAAGAGCCTTGCGAATGCACCCTACTACTCTGCCATTCCCGCATGCCAGAAATGAAAGCCTGTAGGTTGTTATAGCATTCTTCGAATGTAGCTTGCCCGAGAGAACGTTCGCCAAAATCAAACAATTCCGACCACGCCATCCAGGTTTCCTTATATTTCTCCTTCACATATTCCCAGTTCTGGACCAGATTTTCATAATCTCGAATGGCGATATCCTGTCTATGTGAAATGGTAACGTCGAGCATGCATTTGCGCCTTCTGATTTCTTTCCAGAGCACCGAGTACGCATTATGCCATTTCTCTGCCCCTCCATACCAATCGTTAATCAGCCACTTCCACTCTATACTATCCAGTAAGTCTTCGTGTATCTCCTGATAATTGCTGGAATGAGCATTCAGCCTCCCCTGAGACTCGATTTTCAATTGGTTGTGGTTGGAACCAGCATCCTCCCAGATATGCATGGCTTCGCCGTCCATCAGTTTATGAACATAACAATCTCCAAGGATTTCGTACGCCGGTGAAGGCAGTTTAAGAAAGGGATACCAATGTCGTGTCTCTCTCAGCTTTGTATCCTCAGTGGGACGGCGTCGGAGAATGAACGGCGTTCTACCTCCTGGGAATATGCAAACAAGGTCATGTCTCTTTGTACTGGCGGGACATAGGCCAATTCTCCCATCAAATGTAACAAAAAACTTTCGACGGTAGGTGGCCTGCATGATAGAGTTGCGAATGCTAATTGAATATGAGTCCTGGGCACCTAGACCAGGTGGATCTAGACCCAACACATCCAGACCAAGGGTATCTAGATAGCGACCTAGTGAGGTGCTACCTGGAGCGCTAAAGTGTGAGACTTCCTTCGCCAACCATGTTCGGATAAGATCTCTGTCTCGCGGAGTCAGTCGTCGACATTGACCAGTTGCAGTATTAGAAACTAGATCAGCGCATATAGTGCTCTCGAAGTCTTCCCAAGTGATCGTAGATTTGGTGATCATCTCATGCCAAGCGTTAAGGGTCGAAATCAGTGTTGTGTCAGACCACATCGTTTCCCCAGCTACCAAGACTGAGTCAAGTAGCAAACCTGGCAAGGAGACGACCCCTTCTCCATGGTGTCGCAAAAACCCAGCTCCGCCTCGAGTATTGTAGTACGCTTCAATTACTTCAAGGCCCTGCTCACGGCCAATGTGGCCGTTCTGGTATGCACGCAGTGGGGCAGCCCACGGTGAAGACGTTAATGAAGGCCAGTGAGTATGAATCCAGTTCCTGATCACATCATCCGGTTTGTCTCCCTCTTCTTGTTTGCTGCCAATCCGGGTGATGTATTCATAGACAGTGCTGAACTCCTTCGATGATTGCAATTGCACATATACTGGGGAATTTTTGCAGGCATTGTAATGTTTCACATTCTCGATCCGGCTTTGTATGAAGGTGTCCGGAGGGGAACTCCAATCGGGAATCCACGAGGGAATTGCGTGGTTGTCCTTCATTGTGAAATCCCCCGCCCACACATCGAGGCTCCCCGATCTGGATATGATATCCAGTGTCGTATCAGCTAAGACATCCAGCTCTGCAGCGGCATAGTTAGGCTCAACCGAGGGTTTGTCCTTGGCAAGACCAAGTAGAGCGTAGACCTTATCTCTGGGGTCTGTCGCCTTCCTGCCGCTGAATTGGCGCAGAAGCTGTACCAATGTTATTTGCTCGGGACTCTGCCATCGGTTTCGGATGGACTCAATGCCGCGGATTCGTCGAGAGAATTCAACTAGAAACTTCACATCGCTTGGCGCGAGTGAGGGGATCACCTTCCCAGCATTTTCATGCACGCAGTTCGCAGCCTTGACAAATGTCTCCCATGGAGCCATCATAGAGCCATACAAGATCATTATTTTGCTGGGGATGACTACCTCTTGGATGACCCAGACCCTTTTCCACCAAGGAACTGCGGAAAGAAAAAGTCTTAACGCTTCCATCACGTCGTCTAAGCTGCCTTGATCAGTACCCGCTATAAATCTGTTCATATCAACCCCATCTGCTAGAAGTTGAATGAAACAGAAGAGATAGCTCCCATCCTTATGGCTCAAAGGCCTTCGCCAGACGAGGCCCGTATCCATTTCGTTGGAACCCGACATAGAATAATATTCGCGGGGTGTCATTGTATGTGATACGGCGTCTCTCATGTCTGAAGGGGTGTTAAAGGATTGGGAAAAGCTCGGAGCGAAGGCATCCCCCAGATAAACAACCACCTCTTGGCTTTGAGCGTAGATCTTGCCCATCATCTTTACTTGTTCCGTCTTCTCTTCATCGTCCGATTGATTTATGCAGACAGCGTCAACCCACAGGCAGACAGCCTCACTGCCACTGCGTAGCTGCCGTAGAGCACGTCGGAGATGCTTAGTTATATGTATCGGGGAACCGTTCAAGTAGATCGGTTGCGAATGTTTCGACCGGCCCCATACATACGATAGGGCCTTGTATTTGGGATTTCCATTGAGTGAGACGATCTGCCATGTACAGTGGATCGGGTCGAACCACTTGCCGGGCAGGAGGTTTAACAGCCGTATCTCATTTGAAAGGAGCTTTGGGGACTGTTCCATTCTCGAGAAGTAGCGAATATGATTAGAGAAGGTAGGGTTCGCTCTGCAGCATCTATGTGCAAATTGCGACCGCCTGGAGACTAAGTAGGTAGATTTTGCACTGGATCCGACGAGAGAAGGAAGCGATCGCTCCTAATATACTCTGATTCTGAGGCTTGGGCACTATTTGCTTTTCAGCCCGCCCATCCAATATCCAAGCGTGCACAGCCTCTGTGGCTGCAAGGCATAACACGTGTATGGACTCTTGTTATCCTCTGCTTCGTTTTCTCATCATATCATAAAGTGAGAAATTGACTGTGCCACAGTGCTGTGCCACATGGCTGCCAGTGTATATGCCAATCCTCATTCTCGTACTTTTGTATATTTACACTCATAGAAAACATCCGGCAATAACCTTCGCCTTATCAATCAACCGATAAGCTAACTCCATAAGCTCTCCCCTCATTTTCAACCCCACCATGTTCAGTATATAAATAGAGTCATCCCCTCCTACCCTCCCTAATAAAACCTCCTTCCCCTACTCGATCCCCCAGAAACCCGCCCAAGAAAAGAAATCATGGACCCCCAATCCCTCGCCCAGTCCCTAACCCCCTCCAAAGTGCATGCCGCCCACACCCTCATAAAACCCTACATCCACCGCACGCCACTACTAACCAACAAAACCCTCAACGGAATAGCCTCCACGCCGCAAACCCCAGATGCCTTGAAGGGAACGCCCTACGAGGGACAGACACCGGCGAACCCGACCATCCGATTCTTCTTCAAATGCGAGAATCTGCAGCGCATTGGTGCATTCAAGGCCCGGGGCGCGTTTCATGCTTTGCTGAGGTTGATTGAGGAGAGGGGTGAAGAGGAGGTGCGGAGGAGGGGGGTTGTTACGCATAGTTCTGGTATTTCTCTTCTCTTCTTCTCTTTCTTTTCTTTCGATTTGGTAATGTTCTTTGTTTTATTTTTTATATCTTTGGTCCCTTTATTGATCGATTGATCGATTGATCAACTACATGAGTTCGGATCATCGATTGAGCAGAAACTAACAACACACAGGAAACCACGCGCAAGCCCTAGCCCTAGCATCCTTCACGCTCAACATCCCCTCCTACATCGTCATGCCCCGGATCAGCACCACCTCCAAGATCGCAGGGACAAGAGCCTATGCCAAGGAAATCGTTTTCAGCGGGTCAACAAGCACCGAGCGCGAAGCCGTCGTCGCCGAGGTCCAGAGCCAAACGGGCGCCATCCTAATCCCGCCCTACGATGACTTCAACATTATTTGCGGCCAGGGCACGACGGGTCTCGAAATCGAAGAGCAGTACCTGGAACTGCTGGCGCAGAATCCGCAGGTGAGTGCGCATGGTTCGTCTGGGCCGAGTTTGGATGCGGTGATTACGCCTATTGGTGGTGGGGGGTTGAATTCCGGTGTAGCGACTTTCTTTTCGGATAAGAAGACGAAGGTTTTTGGTGCCGAGCCGAGTTTTGAGGGGGCGGATGATTGTCGACGAGGGTTGGAAGCAGGGGAGCGAGTGACCGCTGTCAAGTCGTTGACTATTGGGGATGGGTTACGGACGCCCGTTGGGCTGTTGAATTGGGCGGTTATCTCGGATAAGAAGAAGGTGGAGGGTGTGTTTGCGGTTACGGAGGAGCAGATTAAGGCGGCGATGAGGTTGGTGTTGGAGAGGATGAAGGTGGTGGTGGAGCCGAGTGCGGTGGTGGGTTTGGCGGTTTGTTTGTTCAACGAGGAGTTCCGGAGGATCGTGGAGAAGGAGGGTGGCGAGGAGGGATGGGATATTGGGATCGTGTTTAGTGGAGGAAACACCACGGTCGAGGCTATTGCGAAGTTGTTTTGTTGACTCAAGGCATAGATGGTGGGTGTCCGTTGTATAGAGCATGCCTCCTGTACACATATCATACTTGAGATACCAGTCGGATCGACAGCGCATAAATGTTAATCAAAGGTCACTCCATCCGTCCCAACAGAGAACCCAAACATCCCTCCATCCATCTCGTCCAATCCCTCCACCACTCTCCGTGGCCAGTCCTCGCGGCCCCAGCCGTTCACCCATCCGACAAACCGCCCTTTCAAGACAACCTCGTGCCGCATCGGAGCCACTCGCTGCGCCTCATGCACCGTCATCGCAGGCAAAAAAGACCGAACCATATCCCGCTGAACAACAAGCCGTAAAGTTGGAAACACTCCCCAAGGCCCCGGAAGCGAAGACCGGAACGACGGAGTTCTCGAGACAGGGACATCCGAGGGATCAAATAGAGAAAAGGGTCCAGAAGGCCGGGACGTAGAGAATTGACCAGGCATAGACCTCCCGCTCCATGCAATGGTGGTGTAAACGACTGCACAGCTAAACAGTCGTTGCAGGCGTTTCAATTCCGCGACAAGATCCGCATACATGTCGAAAAGATAAAAGCTTTTCTTGTCACGCCGTTCGCTCTCGATCTCTTCATAGGGACGTCCGATGTCCTCTGTGCGGGCAACTTCGTCGTGTAGTTTGTCCGGCCAGAAGAAGGCGCTTGCACTGTCGATGACGATGGCGTGGAGCCGGCGACTGGATGAAAAATGTCGCGTCAGGTCGAACAGATAGGTGTCCATGGACTGGAGAGTAGATAGCAGAGCGGCGGAAGACTGAGGGCGGAAGACGTGGACATGTTGCAGGGAGGTCACCAGCAGGGTGTTGAGGGCTTCCTCAGTATACACAGGCGCGCCTTCTGTGGTCGTCGCCTCTGCGTTCTCATTCTGAGTCTTGAATTTCTTGTGCACAATTCCACGGGCCACGGTCAGAAGTCGCTCGGCGTCAAAGCGGCCATCCGAGTCGATGAAGACTACTGCAGATCCCCGTCCGAGCTTGACTCCATGAAACTCAGCCGGTAGGATCGCAATGGCAGTCAAGTAATACAGGGTCTGGGTTTTGCCGGCACCAGATGATGTGCTCGAAATCTCCACGACTGGGTCCGTACTTTTAATACGGGCCGGTGGGAAGGTCTGCTCTCTTGCATAAATGTTTAGATCATGTTCGGGCTCCGACTGGACGGGTGGCCCTTCGTGATAGAGTTGCTCTTGCTCCTCTAGGTCAGCAGGAATGCTCCGCTCCAGGGGTTGATGCTGCACTTGTGTCCAAGGAGTAACAGCAGGAAGCGGCATAAAGACTCGCAGCAGGTCATCAAGTGCTTGGATTCCGAGGCGCTGTCTCGGGGTGCTATTGCTGCTCTCATAGAGGCAACTCAAGTCATGCAGGAGCTGTCATAGTATAAGCATCAATTCAACACATAATCATTCAGCTGAACAGTAAAATCAAGGCCTCCAGCTGTATATATCAATCAAGAGAGGTATAAATAAATATACGAACCTCATCCAAACTCTCCTCATGCACCTCCGCCAGCAATTTCTCCCCAAAGCTTGCGGCCATGATCACGGCCCATCCGGATGATCATGAATGCTGAGACATGTTATGACTTAAACAATTAATCTGTAGTCGTCTACCAAGCGCAGTGAATACCAAATATACGTGATGGTGAGCGTCTCACCCACCACTGAGAGAGTGTGATATAAGGACTTGAAGATGGAAGATGAACGATATGCAACCCATCGGCATCGGATCCGACTCGTTCCCGCCCATGATGAATTCATCGTCTCAAAACCACCCCGGAAGTAACTCGAATTAACTACACTCCAACGCCCCAAAGCCACAAACCACAATTCCCCCTCCTCAATCCAATCCACTAAATTAATTTACTGGGTCGCCATATAAATACGAAGAAATTCAACAATGGCCCCTCTCGTCCCGATCTTCTCCGCCGAAGCTCTCCCTGACCATGTCAGCATCGTGCGCAAAAACTTCCAAGAGCGACGTCGCAAGGGCGGTCCCGTCGAGTTGGAAAAATGCAAACTCATGGAGATGGTGCAGTACTCGTGTAATCCGCCGCAGGATGGGATCCCTGCGCCCGGAGTGGTGGTCTGCAAGCCGGTCGTGCGGTTGTTCAGACGGTACGCCTGGCTCGCCTTGTTTTCGGTTATGCTGTCGCTGACGGTGGTCTTAGGTGTGCCAATGGGTTGACGGTGGAGACGACATCGTGGGAGCCGATCAGATTGGAGGAAGAGGCCAAGCGCAAGGCTGCAGAAAGCAGCTCGAACGTGGACAGCAAATGAAGGAGGACCGTCTATCTTACATGCATAACTACGGTGTTGATTGGCGCTCGTTCTACTGGTTCTCGTTGACAGGCTGATCGCTGCTTATAATCTGCTCAATGTTTATATTGAATTCTGATGCATGGGTATCTTCTCGAATACGGCTATAAAACAAAAGTCAAACGCCCGACGCCATTCCGATTTATTGTCCTGGTCCCATCGCTCATGTGCTCACCCAGCTATCCACTCGTGAGATGTCCGGAGCTTCTTTATTGCCCGGCGGCCTCTCCTCGGGTCTCCGATTCCCAGTCGTCGTCCGACGCCAAAAGTCTCTCTCGCAGTTGATGATGGGCGGCAGTTCTATGCTCAACGACACCTTGTTCCGAGCCTTCACATCCGGGTCGACCGCACCAGAGTCAATCTCCATAGGGGCGGCAGCACCTGGAGTCGTTGTGTTCTTCTGCAACTTCTTCGCGATACCTTTAATCGTCTTCTCAAACATACTATCCATCGTCTCTGTCCTCCGACCCCACGGCTTCTTATCCCGACCCGACGAACCAAGGTGGTTATCCTTGAACGCTGCGCGTGCAAGCTTGCGCAAGGCCTCCTCCCCATGTCGGCCATCCTCCGTTGCCCGCTCCCGGATCTTCCGCGGGTCTTGTTCGCGCTCCGTGAATACGGGGGTATGTCGGTAGGTGTGTTTACTAGGGAATTCGGGGAAATGCTTCGGGATGTATGCGCTTCTCGCACGGTCATCTTCGCCACTTAGTTGCGGACCCAGGGACGGTAAAGTTTTAAAGCAGTCATCTTCTTCCGGCGGAGGGCTCTGCAGGAGCGAGGGAACAGGTTCGACATTCGGTAGATTTTTCACATGAGGCAGGAGATCGTCCACGCGCACACGGTGTTTCTTCAACGCATGCTCGAAATCATGGGGGACAGGTTGGGAGCGACGAGACGAGAGCATCGACTGACGCACATATGACGCGAATTTCAGCAGATCTAAGAGCACAGGCCTAGTCAATATCTTTCCTCAAAACACCTTCAGTTACACCTTAAAAGCATACACTCTTCAGTCGCAATGCGGAAACTCTCCAGCGCCGCTGGATCGGCCAGATCAAATCCTGTTTCTCGTAGGGTCTGCCCGATGGAGCGGTTCATTAAGTGGTCGACGTAGGCGTCATCGGGGATGGCGGGCTCCGGAAGCGCAGGTTTAACCGGTGTTTGCAAGCGATGGTGGTGGTGATACGGGCGCTTTATGCGCTTGACATCAGGGGCATTCAGCTGCTCCGGCAGCGACGAGGAGGAACGTTTGACCTTGGGCTCAGCGGCGAGCATGGCGGGTTATGTTGATGTCGTGGAGAAGGGCCGAAGTGACGGAGACAAACAGCAAGTCTGCTGGGCGGTCACGTGGTAGCACTCATGCCTGAGGCAGTTACAGCCAGTCCCTCATGAGATTCCATTCAATTCAGCTATAAATAACAAAAGAATTGTAAAATTAGATGTTCATATCGTAAATTAAAGTCTCTCACATGAATCTCCATACCCCAATCCCCCAAATTACCCCCACTATATAAAAGAAAAAAACCAAATAAAAAGAAAAACGACGTAAGGAAACAACCGGACGGCAGCCAACCAGTCAGGCCACTCAAAGCGGTCGCTTACGCCCGGAACGGAAAGCTTCAACCTCGACTTTCAACATCACATCACCACCATCCTTCCCTCTCCCCTCCTCCAGCTCCCACCACCACACGCACCCCAGCAGACCCCAATATCTGCTGAATCGCTAGACCTGCGCATTCTAAATCGCGTCAGACCATCAATCCCTCACAATGGCCGCCGTCGCCCCCATCACCGGCGTACGTTCCTCCCACCCTTCAACCTTTCTCCTCGGCCTACCCCAGACCTTCCACCTGTAAGGCGACCAAGAAACTAACGAAAAACCACAGATGCTCCGCCGGAACCTCGTCCTTGACCTGAGCACCGCTTTCGGTAAGCCATGATCCCCCGTGTCGGGCCATGCCAGGCAATATGATTCAGAACGTCCACCCGGTCTACCGGAACCTCGAATTCGGATCCAATCACCGCCAGCAATGCGCAATCCCACTTCGAAATAATCATGTCGAGAAGCAGATGCTAACGTCCATATTCCCAGGTTTCGGTACTACCTTCGGCTACCTCTGGTGGTACGGTACGTATCAACCACAATTCACGGACTGATTCCTCGAAAAGGAACTCCAAACTAACATGAAAAAACACAGGCTACCACCTTCCCCGCGTCCGCGCCCGTGACAACTACTACGTCCGTCTGGAGCAGGAGCGCGCCGCTGCCCAGGAGTAAATCTTCGAACCATGACCATTGCATGAACCTCGCTCGACTGGATTTGTCAAGGATAGCCCGATGATGCTTGTTTCCTCTCGGTCCGTTTCTCTCGCCGGTGATTCGTTATAGATGCTCTAGAAGGAATGGGACTGGTGTTGTTGGTTAATTGGTTGGGTTGGGGGACATGTTATGGGAGTGAGTTTGTGAGGTTGAATTGAATGTGAAGTATTTCATTTGAGGCTTGCAGTTACTATGGGCTAGTTGTTTGAATAGGGTTGTATATATACTGGTTTTGTGTCCCCTGGTAAGTTTGTAGATTTTGGTACTTGTGCTTGGCATGAGTACTGGGTGTATCCATATTAGTATCTAACGAACCCATTACCAGACCAGTAGGTCAATTAACACTGCCTATGTATGCTGTGGGTTACTACAGAAAGGAAAACCAATCAAGTCATTTCTTTCGTAAGAATCTATCCAGTCGCTAATTAATCCATAATATAATGTAATGCAAAGGTCTCAAGCAAAAGCGCAAGCACCTCCAATCCCATATGCATATGTCCGAATGCCGACCCGAACATATCAACCATTGTGATATCCGAGTTGATACTCCAAACCCTAGTCCTGTAGGGCCACTGATGCTTAGCCGCCATCGATCTATCGATCTATTCCACACAAGCGCGATGCGGCTCTCATTTCATCACGCGCTCGTACTGCACGCTCCGGACGGTACCTCCCGTCATCGACGTCCGGACGTTCCGCTTGAACGTCTCCCGGTTCTGGCGGAGATCATCGGCCGCTTCCTTATTCAGGGGGTCGGAAGCGTTCGGCTCGAGGAAGAGGAACTAACGAGACAACGTTAACACATCAACCCCAGATGCCCAGCCCCCCAAACCACCACCTCCACCGCCACCCTCACAAACGGGCTGAAAAAAAAGGAAAAAATGGGGGGGTGAAACAAACCTGCATGCCAACAATAACCGCATTCAAATTCAACACGGGCTTCCAATCCTCCCTCAGAATATTTAGACAAACATTTCCCTCGAGATCGATATTGGGATGATAAATCTTCTGCGTACACTTGACCTTGGGCGGGTCATGCGGGAAGTTCTGGTTGACGTTGAAACTGAAATGGAACGCGCCGCCTTTATACATGCCCTCGTCGGGCTCGATCGTGAGGGTGAAGTTCAGGATGTCGTCGGGGTTGGGGAAGGACATTTTCATCGTGCTTCCGAGGGTGAGTTCTTGCAGATCTGTTTTCATGGTTGCCTCTTGTTAGTCTGTGTCACTGGTGGCGGGTTTGGGTTTTTTACGTACCCCGCTGGACGCGCAGCTGGGCGGCGGTGACCTTCTTTTTCTTCTTGCCAGCGGCGCCTTCGGCATTTTCAGCTTGCTGCTGTTGTTGTTTCTGGTGCGGATTTTGGGTTAGTTATTGGGGGTCCAGGTAAGGGGTGCTTTTATGGCAGTCATAACGGACCATCGACCATATCTTCAACATGTTGGATCAACGCCACAGGCTTGTGGATCGGGGACGTTTGGAGAGGTTATAGTGACAGAGACTTCGTCAGCGAGAGGAGAACTGGTATAAATAGGGCCCTCGGAGACGACAAAGGACCAGAGTCAACAATGAGCAACGATCCACATGAGGCGCAAAAGTCACGAAGGCGGAGAAGCGATTTGATGAACTGACGCCATGCGCCAAGCCCTCGGATAACGGAACTAACCGATTCTAGAGAACTTTGGGAGCCTAAGAGCCTCAGGTCCACGATTTATTATTTTTGTTAAGTTGCGCCATCAATGCACCCTATTTGATTCTAACCGCTAAGACTTTATAGAAAACATAAGTGTCGGCGGCCATTTGGACCGCTTAAACCAAACCATGACAGCGAAACGAAAACAGTTCGAGTAATCGAAACACAAAGAACGGATCGTATGTAGAATACAAAATTGCGACAAAAATGTGCCAAAGAATAACTCCCCCAGGCCCTGTAATCCACATAGGGAACAAGACACCCAGTTTTTCATTACAAATCGTGCCTCTTCTTTACCGACGAGCAAAGCAGCACAAGAGACCCGTCTTACCCAGGAACCAACAGGCACCAATGAAACGGACAAGTGCAACAGCAGCGTTCGACCACAGAAGAGCCTGGAAGAAACGCGATGTACGGTCGGTAGCGGTGTTCTGTAGAAAAGGAAAGACGTTAGTCCATGGTTTCGGCCAAGGAAGAAAAAGGCAATTACTATACGTACCGTGAATCCAAACTTGTCCATACCGTCACTGGTAATGCACACCGCCAAAAAGGCATTACTGAAGATCCACAACGTCACGAGACGGGTACGGAAACTCTTGTAGGAATCATCCAAGGACTTCTCATCCTTCTCCACAGGGGGCACGTAGGGGGTAAGAGCGCGCTTGACCGTGGCTTCAAATTGACTGTCAATATCAGCCTGGGGCTTATCGATTTCCTCAATGACAGCTTCCTTGCCACCATCCTCCTTCGTGGTCGTTGCAGACGGGAGTGCATCGGCTTTATCAGCACCCTTGGTACCCCACGAGACATCGTGCCAGTTGCTGAACGCGTACACGTTAAGGACGTTGATGTAGGACGACTGAACGAACATATAGGCGGGGAACGAGGTGAACATGTGCCAAGGGTCCAGGTACATGAAGGAAGCGACAAAGTAGAGACCGAAAGTAGCAGCCAAGGCGATGATGATGATACCGGCACCGGAAGACGAGAAGAATGACTTAAGGAACTCGCCGACACCCTTATCGGTAACGAAATCGATCGCATCACTGCCACTGAACGCACGAACGACCAAGTACAGAGCGTCGACGACAACGTAGATCTGAATGATACCGAATACAACAAAGGACGTCAAGTACGAGAAGCGAGATCCCTTGGGACGGTTACCGAGAGCGAGAATGAACTGCAAGAGCAAGAAGCCGAGGTAGATATATTTCACAATCGTGTTGATAATTGGGGTCGCATCTTTACCGAAGGGGAAACCCTTGTTACCGTTGCTTTCACTGGGCGTTCCGACCAAGTCCATGATGACGGTGGTGGTCAACCAGTATGATGCCAGAGAGAACCATGTAAGGATAGTGTTGAAAACGTTGTACAACATCTGAATGTGCAAGAAGAACATACGGATGATGTTGTGTCCACTCTTGTACATCCGACCGAAATGCATGAGCGAATAGAGACCGGCGGCGAAAGAACCGTTCAACCAACGACGACGTTGAGAAATGAATTCAGCAACACCTTCTGGGACATCAGTTTCACCCTTGGAGGCCTTGACATACGACAAGTGCCATTTGGAGCCAGCCTTGGCGACCAATTCGAAACAGAGAATACGATCTTCGGCCAAGAACATGTTCTTCTTGAAGATGTTCATACCCTCAATACCCTTCTTACCCAGTTGCTTCGAAAGTGTGTGATCACCATGGAAATATTGCTCGAGGGGCCGGCCCATGATAGCACGGAAACGATAGGCAGAGAAAGCACCAGGCAACACACTGACATAACCGAATGAACTCTCCAGGGGTTTGTCGAGAATATTACTGATCTTGTACTCGAAGTTCTGTGCCGCGACCAGGGGGTTAATCAAGTTTTTCCAGCCTTTACCCAACATTGCGTGAATTTCACCACAAGCACCTCCCAGATCCTTGTCGTTATAGAAGCCCTCCCACAGCGCCAAGAGGGACTTCTGGCCGGGCTTGGTACCGGCATCCAGAAGGATACAAACTTCCGGATTCAAAATACGACCAAAGGCGTTGAAAAGCCATCTGTGCGAGTTAATCTTCTTGCTGTTCTTCTGCTTCAAACAGAACATCATCTGCACGGGGGGCAAGGTGGTGGGGCCATCATCAGTGGGCCGGATAAGTTGCTGGTTCGGTGTCACAGACAATTGGGTCGTGTATTCGAACTATTTTCCGTTAGCTAACGCTCGTCTGTCGTGACCGAATGAAGCTTACAATATGAGCTACGGTCTCCTTGCCGTCGACGTCACGCTTCATGACACCGTCCTGATAGATACCGATGGTGGCGAGGACATCCAACGTGTCCTTATCACAAGGATCGATACCGTCAAAGACCAAGGCGACCACAATCTTCTGCCAGGCCGGTCCACCCTTGTTCCAGAACTCAGACTTCTTGAGGTTCACAATGTCGCGAATATTCTGCATCACACCATGCAAGGTACGAGAGGTGAGAGTCTTATCTTCGTTATAGTAGGTAACCGCAATCAACAACTCGGTATGTCTGTTATACATGGCGGGACGCAGATTGTAACCATTGTGCAAAGTAAAGTCATTGGGATCACATGTCGCAGCGGTGTCTAATGGTGCGAGAGGACAGATTAGCTCCCATACGACACTTTATGGACTGCACTTCAACTCACATCGCATGTGGGTAAACTCCTCGCTGCCACCCTCCAGGTCATTCCGATACTTGGCTTGGATAGCGTTCTGGATGGCACTGGGAACGGGGTAGTCGACACTGAGGACGGAACCCTGCACCAGCTTGACCTTTCTGGTCGCGTAACGTCTGAGACCACCGCCGCCGGCACCTCCTGGAGCCTGGCGCTGGCGCCATGCTTCCGTGGAGGAGGTTTCACTCCGAGCGTAGGGAGAAGCTACACGACCGGGGACGCCAAAGGCAGCCGCGGGGTTTTCTGCCGATTGGCCAGAGTAAACCGAACCCGTCGTGCTGTAAGGGTCATGAAAGCCCGCGTCCGGAGCATATGTTTCCGTCAAGCTGTATCCCGACGTGGGTCGAACGGGCGAGGTGCCACGCTGATGAGGGTCGTCGAAAGGACCACCGAAAGGACCGCCCTGTTGGTTGGAAAGCAGTCCTCTGGACGCTTCTTCTTCATACTAAGAACGAACCGCAATGTCAGCTCATCCAGAACCATTCGTGTCGCTACAAGCTGCGGCGGAAGTAGAATCGAATCCAGCATCGCGGTCGTAGACTTACAGTGGCGCCTTGGGGCAGGTCTTCCAGTCGATGACCGCTGTCGTTGTAGCTTGGTGACTGAGCACCATTATTATTACCAGGCGGTTGGTAGGCCATGGTTACAAACCGATACTAACGCGCGAACTGCACTCGCGAAAAAGTAAAGAGGGGGCGGACACCGAGCGCAAGGAAAAACGGAAAGGGGTATCAGAAAAACAAGGAGGTAATAAGATCCCCGGACCGGAGGAACGTCAAACAGAACAATTGTATACTACTCGGTCAACGTGACAACAAACATGAACCGAACCGCGAGAGGTTGCACGGATCGAAAGACGACGTCGTAGGAAGTGAAGTGTAGACAGCACCTGAAATGTCGAAGAATTTCAGGGACAGCTGGCTGAGGGGCGCGGGCACAGCAGGAACGTGGAAGACGCCGCCAGGGCTATCAAAGAAGCCCGCGTACTATTCAAACAGGTGCGGGATTGAGTGAAGACAGTAGTATCACTGTGCAAGACTCAATCGCGGACCACGAAGCGACAAGAAGAAGAAGGGAAAAAAAAGCGTGTATAAACTGAGGAAAGAAGGTAAGAAGATTTTCCCGAAAAGGAGTTTGGGATATTTTTATTTTGAGGGGGCAGGTGATCGCAGAAAGGGAAAAGGATGAAAATTACTAACGAGAGGCAAGTCAAAGGAACGTACGTACAGCACAACCAACTGCGAATCAGAAAAAAAATTGGATACGAGAAGGACAGCCTTTTTCCTTTCACACCGTTAGAGTGGACTGGCGAGTTATGATTATTTTTTATTATTATTTGGTATTTTAGCCTCAGCCAGTGTATTATCGGGGGGAAGGCGAGGTTTGGGGTGGTATCGGGTGGAGACTCGGATTCTTGACCAAATCTCTGGTTCGGGCTTAGCCCGTCCACACTTAGTCCAGTAGACTGTGATCTTAAGCAGCAAGAAAAAAGAAAAGAAAATATTCAAAATACAAAACCATCCTGAGATTTAGTATAGATCAATTTGGTCGATAATTTTAACCTTACCGGTAGAATCGTTGACAAAAATTCTAATCACCACTAACCAAGCTGGAGAACGAGTTCACCGGACATTAGGTAATTCTCCATCGTACATGCCTCTCCATACGCGATCTCCTTTTTCTTGGGGTCTACATGGATTGGATATCAGGGGAGAACCCATTCCAGAAAGACTCCATCAAGAGAGGGTCAACCATCCGTGTATTGTATCCCGGTAATATGATTACCAGTGTAATTCACTGTACCCACCCCGTGATCCATTTTCCTCATGTGCCCCGTGTTAGCAGGTGAATACATCAAAGAAAACAATACACTTCAAATCCAGTGCTCAGCCTTTGTGAATCAGAAGCAGTGGACTGGAGTTTGAGTTCTTCCAAACATACTGAAAACATGTACTCTATTGTCCTGTTGCAACTACACAAGTAATATACATATAGCGCATCTGTAACACATCCGAGAAAGACTCAATTTGAGATCTTACGCCCTATCAACTGATACAGCCAAGCATTGAATCACTCCACACGATGAATATATTATATAAGTCGTAATATAATGCCTATAGATAAAACCAATCATTGTTAAGGGTCTGCGCCCTGTGCAACGGCTCTCGTTAATCTCAATATATGCAGAGTACCCTTCAGGACAGAGTGCCGCCGATTCGGATCATTGGCATTCAGTCAGCTGTGGTCGACAACATTAGAGTCCATATACTAGCAAGCAGCTCGCCACCGCATGTCGGTGGAACAGTGTGATGCGATCAGGAGCGTCCATTGGCAGAAGCATCATTGCCGGCATTCCCTGCTGGCCCAGCATTCCGCATCCCTCGCCAGCATGACTTGACTGCCAGGGGAAGGAGATAGCCGCATTGCAGGCCAAACGCTCTATACTCTATCATGACATCGCCATAAACCGCGAAATCACAACACGCTCAGAGTTGTTCGTGTTGGGCTTGATCCACATTGAGCACCACAACGGTCCTCCTCTCTGAACAGATTCAAGAAGATCTTCAGTGAATCAAAAACATTTGCGAAACCCGACCAACCACTCTATTGACAGTGGAACTGCTGACCCGATTCATGACTTTAGTCGATTCTCACACCGCCTGAACAAGGCCCTATGTGGTAATTACCATACCGTTCGGTACGGTACCCCAACTGCCGTCCGACAAACACTTGGGATATTGGATCACCACTTTTCAGGGGGCGGGACTTGTTCGACGAGACCCAAAGGAGAATAGTGACACGGCCAAATATAGCCTTACGGGGACCGTGGATGCCCACCCAGGAGGCCGTGTTAATCAATCATTGGTCAACTCGACGCCACCAAGGACGCTAGCCTCAAATCCTTAAAATCAGCCAAGCTCGTCGGAAAGAGAGGATGAGTCCAATAGGCGACTTGTTCCATGGCCTTAGCCTTGACAGCCTGTTCAGCCGCGGTTTCACACTTGCTGTCAATGCTACGAATGGGTAATTTTCAGGAACACCCCCGTTTCCACACCTCACCCAACCTTCTCACTTATTACAAACGTTGACATGGCTGGGTCCTCTTTCAGGGTTTCCCAGTTGGGCTGGAGACGATGACGATCACTGCCACACTTTGGGAGTTGCGCTAACCTAGGTTCAGCTGTCTTCAATCCCCCTCTCTCGACTTTGGTGTACTATTCTTGGAAATTTTAGTGACAGTCCACTGAGCTGTGCCACTATTGTGAAACTAGTGACAGGGAATAGTATCTATCACTTCACATCTGAAAGAGGGGGGGCAATGGGGGAGGGTAACCCAAAACAAAAAATTGACAAGGTAAAAAAAAATTAGAACTAAGTTTGTATTACATGAAGTGTGGCTGAGGTGTCGTGATCATATCGGTTATCAGAAGCTCAGCCACTGCTCTCGGCACGTCACTGTCCCAGTTTTTTGACTCAGTATCTTTTCAGTGCAGAAGATCGTCTTGAGATTATGATGCACATAGCCTTATATTTATCATACTGCGCAGTGGATAATCGATGATATCAGAGTCGATCATTGTCGACACTTGCTGTGCTTGTCTCCGCCACCCGAAGAATGCTACTGTTCACGATTGACTTTGGAGTACTGCGGCCCATAACATCGAGACTCCACGAGCATACTCATATAGGAAAAGTTGGACGCTGTTTGCTAAGGTATCTGATGTTTATCTAGGACTAGCTGTGCAGGATAGTTTTCGTCGCTTTAGTTGCTGATTCACTAGTAATTCAATTGCGTTGGTGGGCTCCACCCTGCCGTTGGTATATATATATATCGAAGACACATCCGCTATCTCAACAATGAAAATCGCGTACAGATTATTCCATATATACAAGTTTATTTCCATCCATCCATCCTTTTCTTCTAACGTACAATACCATGCTACAGCCAAATAGCCATAGCCCACGCTTTTCAGTAATCAAAGATAAAAAGCTCGTTGACACGAGGAGCCGGAGCGGCCCGTGTAGCAACGATAGCATATACTGCGACAATAATTTATCTCAAAATCAAAACCAAACTAGATCAAACAGAGGAGACCGGAGAAATTGACTTAGTGACTGTTACCCTATTCCATAATGTCTATCAGCCTCAATTGCACTGTTTAGCTCGTAGAGGAATTTCCAAATGCTACCATCCTCGTACTTGGCTAAGCCTTGGCCCAAAATATGCACAACCCACCCATGTCAGCAGTCGCATTAATTGACACATACATAGTCGAGATCGAAGGAATGCTAAACGTTGAAGTGTCCCGAAAGAAAAAGACGCAGGAGTGTGTGATGTAGGATCTATCATTCTGCAGGTGTTTAGTTGCATTCTCAATCTGGCGTTAATATCAGTAGGTCCAATAATGGGACAAGCCTCACACGCTACAATTGCAATGCCAAGAGGCTTATGGCCAAGTCTTTCTAGTATTTGCCCTTTTCTTTCTCTTTCACATGTGCCATGGATGTCATACAATAAGCTTTACACGGAGCACATTGCAATTCGAACTATACAGAATACACAGAGCAGTTCCAGCCAAAGCCACAAAGTCAATGGATGCTGATGAGCCATCCCCCTGTGGCATGGATGTTTTCCAAATAGCTAATAAGGAGGTGGTGCGATACGAAGTATCATTTCCCGACTAACAATCAACCATAGGGCATGGGTTGACAGATAGAGGTGGAGTGAGCTTGGCTTATTAGAGTCATTATTTAACCCCCGTCCTGGGTCGTGCACAGGAACTGATGATGACTACCTTGAAACTTGAAACAAATTCAGCTGTGGCACCTATTCCACCGATTGCAAAATAACACGGCAGATATTTGTCGGACGAAGAGTTCAAGCAACTGATATCTTCAGGGCATCCCGGCCCTGTGCGACGAATGATCCAGCCTCTTGCGGAACCTTGCACTGTGCACATTCCGCAAATGACATAAAGTTGACAGGACGAACAGACCCAGAAAGGAGTTTTTTGATGGTGCCTGAAGAGGTAAAAAGCGCAATCTGACAGTCAACCAATGACAGAGGGTAATCAGTCTAATGACCTGGCAGAGTCAGCAGCCGCAGGGGACGGTGGAACTCTGTGCATGGGCAGTGCAATGCAGCCCTGCGATGTTGTTACTCCTTCCAGTGACTTGCTGACTGCGAAGTGACTGTGCCTCAGGCCAACAGGTGGGCTTGGATAGAGGACGTTCATTGGTGGAGAGGCCACAATTTAATCTCCCGGCGAAGGAACGTGGATTGGGTCCAGACCGGCAGGTGAGTTCCAGACACGCCCGTCATCTGTCTTGGAGCCACGGCCAGCACTCACGCTGTGAATGAAGTGGTTTGGGGTGGTGTATGACACTGCGAGGTGGTTGGTTTAATTCCCCGAAGAGTGCAAGGTGGCCCCCCTCACGCTTTCCGTCCCTTGGGAAAGGCAACCTTGGAACTGCCCGTCCATGGCTCCTGTCAGGGGTACATGTCTGGCATCTACGGGGGTTGACTCGCATATTAGTACTAGTACTTGAGTGATCAGATCATTGATTAACTAATTAATTCTCCTGCTGAAGATCCCACATTCAGCGGAGTTGAGAGATAGTCTCCCAATAGTCACAGTAATAATGCATCCGCCATTGGAATCTTATGTATAGGTATCTATCGTGCATATGTAGACTGACTCGACCCCGTGGTACCGGATCTATACACCGACAGTCGTCCTCAGTATCGGACCCCTCCAGGGGAACAGGGATAAATATGGAATTCTCAGACTTCGATTCATGTTCTTCTTTATTGAGGAGTTTTCTTTCTGTCGGTTACATCGTCTTGGTCCCGTGCATTTACTCCACTTGCCCAGCCGGGTGGTGGTGATAAGCCACGGAAGTGAGTGAACGTAAGCGTCCGAATTAATTTAACCAAAGTCAGTTGCTCTCCACCTGATTCCACCGTCCACCCGTCTCAGAGTCTCTCTCCTCTCTTGTCTGATTAGGTCCGCCCTCCTCCCTCTTAGTTTCTTCTTTCCCTCGTTTGAACCTCTTTATTCTAATCATCTTTATTATTACGCTTTCCTCGCCACACCGTTCTTATCCCTCGTTCTATTCCTCTTCCCCCCTTCTCTTCTCTCAATTCTGGATACACCTTGACCCTCTCCTCGGGGTCTCGATCTGATATCCTTTTTTCCCCTGGCAGCCGCAACGCGTGTCCCCCGACGTCAACCTTCGACACCCACCTATCAATGTGCAGAAATTGACTTGTCCCTGCGCCGTATCTCGCCAGACCTTTCGACCTTTACCGGTCGTCCGCAGCAAAATTCACCATTGACAACCAACGTCAACACTGTTGTTTGTGGAGGACTATGCCCAATCCCTCCGTCCATTCTTTTTCATAAAAGACGCTTTCCGACGTATGATCCTATCGTAACGCTCACGACTTGACGTCCGTCCGAGCCTTTCACTCTTTTTGAATCATCAGTACACGTTCATTACGCCGTTGACCGGCCAGCCATTCTTTTTACCTGTGTTGCCAGCCTTTTTCATTTTAACGACGATTCCCAATATCCGCATTTTCTTTTTACTTCTTATTCCTCTTGTATTCAAACTGTCATCATGTCCCTCTACTCAACCAACCCGTCTTTAACCTCTCACGGTAGGTCCTTCTGGCTCACCGCATCGCTTGATGTACTGACTTTGATCGACGTCTAGTCCTGTCCGGTCGATCCTGTGTCACCTGCGATTCAACTGCCCCGACGTGCCCGTCATGCCCTTCTGGCGAAATATGTACCATGATCAGTCAGTCGTGTGACCAGTGCGCCACCACGAAATGCGTTAAGACGTCTAGCGGTTCAAGCTCGCAGGGTAGCTCGTCGGGGGGAAGTAACGCGGGGGCCATCGCCGGTGGTGTGGTTGGTGGTCTCGCTGCCTTGGCCATCGTCACGTTTCTGGTATGGTGGTTCGTCGTCCGCAAGAAGCGTCAGGAATTGGCCGAACAACAAGGAACTAGCGATGCAGAAAAATCCAGCATATTCGCCGATGCTCGCCAAGCACGGAAGTCGACCAATTCGATTGCCTCTACCGTGCTCACTCGCGCATCAAACGTCATTCAGATCGCCTATATCCCCGGTGTCACCAACCGCTCGCCCCCAGAAACCCCCCTGGTGCCGCCTGTGCCTCCGCTTCCAGGTGCTGGTCCCGATCAGCATTTCTTCATGCCGGGTGACCTACGTGACTCGGCCTGGTCCGAGGCCTCCCGCCAGCATCGCAGCATCGCCCCCAGTTTGCGTAGCAGCGTTGCCACCACGATCTATCGGGATAATGCGATTGTGAGCCCCATGCCGGCTCAGCAGGCTATGCGTACCCGAGCCGCCGTGGTCAGCATTCACAACGGTGGTAACCCTCCGGGATCCGGAAACATGCTGGCTCCTCCCGATGCGCCTGCGGTTCCCGCCATCACGCAAGCACAGCTCGCCCGCGCCGGTATCAGCGAGTCGAACAGCAACAGCTCTATCGTGGCACGCACGGTCACCGCTAAACCGGTTATGGTGAAGGGCAGCATCAAAAAGAAGAACAAGGACCCGAACAGTAGTAACACGCCTACGCCTAACGCTACATCGCCCGCCGTGCAAACGATTGCAGAGCAGTCAGAGCCATCGACCTCGGCTGCATCGAGTACGAAGCCACCATCTGGCCCGACCTCGGGATTTGACGCCAACTCGTCGGACGAGGAAGAAGCCGCTGCGAAGAACATCCAACGTGGAAAGGGCGGATCACCAGCTCCTAAGAGCCCGACGGTAATTGAGGATTCACCCGCCGTCGAGCAGAGCCCTTTCCGCGATCAATCAGCCCCCCAGACAAACCAACGCGCATCGGCGCGCTTGTCTCGACTCGAGGCCGATGAGGGCACAAGATCTAATCGAAGTAGCCGAATCCCACTCGAGCGGACGGAGAGTCCATTTTCCGACGCCAACGAGGTGAAATGAGTTCCGCGCATGCTTTTGTCTCTTGTTTTTCGATGTAATCTGGGTCCTGGTTGGCGACTATTGGCGTATGAGCACGTTTGGGTCAATTGACCATGTTATAGAAGCTATGTTATCTTGCACCTTTCTTGTATCTATGATCCGCTATGGTATTTGGATCGATTATAGGTCTTCCGATCATTTAGGAATTACTACGGGATTGGCCGTGAATCAGAAATCAATTATCTCTTGGCTGTCTACTCTTTTCCTAGCAATTCCACACCACCCTTGGTTCAGGAGGCTTCTGCCCGTCCCGGAACCAGAACCAGGAAACAACAACTTGGAACCAATCATGTTCCCGACGTGGTTCGTGTCTGATCCAAAACAAACATCTGACCAGATGAGACAAAACCGCAAACATCGATCTTCATTCCAGGAGCACAGAAGCAAATAAACATCCACCCCTGGTTAGATTTCACCCCCATTCTCACCCTGAAACAATCCCCACATCATCTCCGATCTTCGCCCAGACTGCGGAGATCAGAACAACCCCAGAAGCATAGACGCAAAGATGGTCCTGTTTCAGATGAACTTTATGAAGATCTGCAGAAGGGGCGTTGTAAAAAGCCACAGGGGTGTCTTTCTCTCTTTATATATATATTTGTATATTTGTTTGTCGAGACTAGAGTATTCTCAGGGGTCACTGGTTTTCTGTAGGTCTACCTAGGAATACCGAGGCAGGTTGCCTGCATACTGGGCAGGTAAACATAGATATGGCTAACTGCTTGCCAGCCCTACCCCTGAATATATATTAGAGAACTAGCCTCACCATGTTATCGATATTGATCTTGTACCAAGCAGTATCCATGGTACGTCATGAATACAAGTAGATGTATAACGAAATTGTACTAAGCAATTGACATGGGTAGAGTAAGTATGCAATGTCCCCAGCCCCCAGTAAGTACGTAGAGTCACGATGCACTTAAAACCAGTGACTTGTTCGTCTCTCTGCTAATATCTGTGAGATTCTCGAGTCCTTTGAGCTTGTCAAATAGATGCCAGAACCCTAACCCAACAGTTATTCTGGTTTTGAGCCTGGTGTATGAATCCTAGAGGTTCCTGGCAACATAGCTCAACTGCCGATGCCACAACGATCCTTATCGCAACAGGTAAATATAGTCTCTAGCCAGTGGGTCCATCTGATATGAATTGTATTATGCCTTTTTTTTTTTCTTTATTTCCCACCACCTATGATAAATCATCTCTTATTAGCCCCCGAAAGCTTTACGCTGGATACTCCTACACACCGGGTTATTCTACGGTTTCCTTTGGTATTCCTTATATTTCCTTTAGCGTTCCTAATCATTCCTATGATTCCATACACAGAGAATTAGTGAAGAAGATAGAGAGTAGGGAAGAGAAAGCGTAGAAAGAGTAATCTGACATACCTAGGGAATGGAATCAAGAGCTTTGTTATAACTTAACGCTACACCAAGGTCCAGCGTGACAGGCTCCTATGTTCCTTACGTGAATCAAGATGAAGGGAGTCGTGCGCCCGATGAATGCTTGCTACAGGCTTGAGAAAGGATGGGAATATCAATCCAAACAAATTCAATCAATTGCAGAATGACTTCAATTGTCTCACTAGTTCCTCTCTATAAAACCCTCAATCATTTGTCGTTCCCGAGTTGATCCTCCATGAAATTCAGAAGGGCTTCGGCCTCAGAAAGGACGAGACGTCTCACTGGATACTGGATAGTGACTACTATGACATGGGTATTTAGCTTCCCTAGTAAGTCTTGAGCGATATTTACCCATCGGATGATACTCAGCTCCATTGATTGTCCAGGAAAGTCAATAAAAAAGCTCGATGCACTCAGCGGCGCCACAGAAAACGAGGCATTAGCCGTGTTGTTTGATACTTTGCTTCAAATCACGGTCGACCTAGAACGACCAATTAAATGGACTTTAGAGGCCCGTATAAGGCTGCGCAGGTTAGTACGACGCAAGAAGCGGTCGCTGCATGGGATCATGGACTGCTGTCTTTGGCACACGAACCCGAGATCCATGGAATGTTTCTTGCTGGTTGTTGGAGCTAAGAAGCTCTTGTGTGTAGTCCGCGAAACCACGGTTGCTGGCCTATATGGGTACGTTTTCGTAACCTGCTGCTTATTGTGCTAGTCTAACAGTTCCCTAGCTATGGTACTTCGGGCCAGATGTGAAAGAAACCAACGCGCGGTGTCTGGCTTAGCGTCAGACGGATACACATTCCGGTTCTACCGTCTTAATGACCATGGAGAGGTAATTGGCACTGTGTTACATGGTGCACACATCGTCGCAGGACTGGAATAGTACGCGATCCAGACTGTTCATTGGGGGCATGGGGATGCCCAAGATACGCAGGTCATCGTCTATCTGGCGATGATAATGGGAGAGGTCTCGCGTATTGCGCTTAAAGATATAGATAACGGCAGTTCTAGCTCTGGCGTAAGCTCTGGCTTAAGCTCCTTTGTGCCTGATCACAATGCTGCCCTGGGCCCAATGATGTGAGGGGAGACACTTGCGCCACCAGCTGGGGTGACTGACCATTCTGAGAGGAGTGTGGAGAGCATGGGGCATTGTAGCTTCACCTCGGTGGATACTGTCAAGCCCTATTGACGAAATTATATGCTTGATGGCTTTGCCTTGCTTCTTGCTAGCAGCCGATCCTACTGTCATCGACATATCACACACTCCGAAAGCCATCTGGCAGCATATATCTTGCATTAATCTATCTCATAACCCATGTCCTAAAATTACTTCCATAGATATATAATAGTCAATCAAGATATGAAACAACCACAGATCAACTCAAGACCATCCTCCCATTACTTCGATCCAATTTAACCCGCAGACTCTCAGCCCTTTCTTCAGCCTCGCTCTCAGACACGCCGACACCATACCCCTGACCCCGAAACAAGAACAACAGAGGAACAGGATCATTCCTCCACTTGGGGGCCCTCGCCTTCCGACTCTTCCACATAGTCCCAAGCAGCGTCGCAACACCCAACACCCAGACCAAGCCCGGAAGAACAATCCACGGCCACCTTACCTCGACAAAAGTCATACTAGCCATCGCCCGTCCAGCCGCCATGCGTGCACCCACCGGGTCCGAGTCTGCCCCAATATACGCTGAATCACGAAACGACTTCGTCACTGCCGCGGCGACATTCTCCATCGCGCATTGAAGCTTATCCATACTCCCCATGTCACAACCAGTGATGTTCCCAATAGCCATGGCCCGGAGAAAATCCGGCGCAGCATACATATCAAGCGGGCCGGGGAGAAACGAAGAACTATAGGCAGACCGCATGAACCAGACTCCCGTGAAGAGACCTTGGAAGAAGGTATCGAGCGAGGAAACTGCAAGACCAGAGAACATGAAGCTTGTGTTTGAGTTGATGCCTTGTTCAAGACCCCAGGGGGGTTCGAAGTACATGCCTGTTGAGAGATTCGACTCGGTGTCGCTGTCCCAGGTTGCACGGCTCTTTTCCCACGTGTCGATTGTGGTTTCAGTGTAGATGTTGTCCTTGACGGTGGCGTTGAAGCTGTGGACGACTGGCTGGATGGAGCATTCCGTGGCATGCCACTTTGTGGTGTTTTCTGTAAGCATGGTTTTCATGGTTAGGTTGGTCGGGACGACCATCTGGATTGGGGACAGAGTGGCGTTCTTATGGATCAGCGCTGTCGAGGCGTGCACGGTTGCGATGGACAGGGGTTGGAGGACGTCCATGCCGGAGAGGAACCATGCTGTTGTATTTGCAAGTGGGAGGGTCGCTGAGCAGTTTGTGATTCCGGTGTATCCCAAGGGGCTGTCTGTGATGGTGGTGCAGGTTGTGTTGAGTAGATCTGTGACGTCTGAGCAGCGCGCGCGGACTTCGATAGCGGCGGTTGGGCCCCAGGTGCAGTTGCTCGTACTGCAGATGTATTTGGGGGTGGCCCATGGCTTGGACTGGTCGTTGTTGAAGAGCGAGTTATACACATTTGCTTTGAGGGATGGATCGACCCAGACAACTGGATCCTTTGAGTCAGTTATGGTTTGCGACACATGGCCGTTGGCTGACTTACTGGCATCGTTCTGCAAAGGGGGCCCGGTGGTGTTGTAGTATGTACTATTTGCGAGGAAGGCTCTCTGAGAAGAGTCGTACACTGAATTTGGGAAGTAATGAATGAGGTTCTGCGTGAAGGGGTCGAACGCTAGTGCTAGAATCACAGCAAAGCTACCCCAAACCGCGAAGTGTCTGGATAAAGGCAGAACCCATTAATGGCGGACGTAGAAACAACAGAACAGTGCCCATCTACTCACCGAAACCGCAACGTCCATATCAATTCTCCACTTCCATAGAACCCCCGACTAGCCGCATCGAATGTCCGGAAATTCGACATGGGCCGTGTGCCCTGCGCGAACCACGCCCACTTCAACTGGCCCAGGGCCTCGCTGATCGCGTACAGAACACATCCCTTCGAGATCGTGCTCAGCCAGGAGATGACCGAGTTCAGGGAGACGTGCTTCCAGGAGGGTTGCGGTTGCTGGTCAAACTTGGCGAGGATGACGATGATGGCGATGAGGGTTGCAGCTGACAAGATAAGCGCCAGGATTTCCCAGACATACCAGTCAGAGTTCAGCGCCCATATCAATTGTCTGGAGATCCTTCTTTTGTTGCTCCCCCCTGTTTTCTCGAGGGAGGTTGATACCGAGTCGCGAAATATCAGTCGAAGCCCATCCGCACGTAACATTTGATCATCGCTTTGCGGTATGGGTTCGTCAGAGGGTGAACTCGAGACGGGTGAGTCCGACTCTGAGGCCTCTGAAGGCATATTGCTGCAGTGGATTTATCCACCAGCACGGCGGAGAGATGTGATCACCACCTTTCATTTCGGCATCAAGGCTGTGCTTATACTCTATGATAAAACGGGCAGTAAGATCTGCATGGCACGGGATATCTTAGCTTTGGTGCTAGAATTCTAGTCGCGGAATAGCCAGCCCAATGAACGTTAGACGTTTTGCAGCCTTGCGGTCTGCTGTTGGGAAGGGCAGTGTTTGGGGTCCAAAAGTGAGGCTTAGGTGGAGACTTTTGGGCTATGCTTGGTACTTACTTTAATACGCCCGTTTGATGGACCTTGGGATATCTATTTATTGTCGCAGCACCGCATGCGCCTGATGCCACGCCAGTTGGTTGTTTTTACCCGTGGTAGCCCTAAACCCTGAATTCGGCCCAATAACAAGGATAGCACCTGACGAGTTTGTTGCTAGCTACAACCTCTATAAATGCATCGTGAAGTTTGTCTAGTATTGATAAATGATATTATTGATACCAGGGTGCGCAGAAGAGATTATCCCGAAAATTTTAGTTCCTTTCGCCATTCTTCCACTTGTATTTTCTAGTTTAATCTATAGCCTATAGGGTACTAAGGTGCAACCAGTCAATGGTTTTCTACCAAAATTCACGGCTAGTTGTGATAATACGACATATTGCTGTAGACAGGACTGATCCGTATGGTGTCCTAGATCTCGATGAGAACGATATAAAGCCGTCAATATGGATGATACGAGGGGCTCCGTACAGAGAAATATAACATGGAGCTTATACAGCCTACTTCACCCAGTTGTGGCGCCATGCTACGAGAGGATCTGAGCGAGTCGTCGATATCGCCGTCTTACGGCCACGAATTGAATAGACTTCTCCAATCTGCACTTAGTTAACAAGTGCCGGTCCGGGTCCACTATAGTGTGGTATTCCCTTTCAACTACAGTTTACAATTCAATTATGACAGAAAACTAAGATACCACAGTACTTTTCATTCATGAGGTTAGACTAGGTGAATTCAAAAAGAAGTCACCCCGTAAACTGGGAAAGAGAACCGACACGCGGCATGTTCAGAACATTCACATCCTACACTCACCACTATGTTGACAGTATGGCCTATTACCTACAATTTGCTCTATCTGGATTCACCTGCACACTGCACTCAATACTGCCTACCTTATCTATATAAAGAGCCTCCTTACCCCTTGAGAGAAGATTTCTCGATACCCATCATCTATGACTTCTTGATCTGCCCTTCACTCTATGGTCGTATGAACCTCGTAATATGGAACCAGAGATATAGGTATCTCTAGGAACAACCCATTGAAACCTTACTCCTGGGGCAAACAAAACAGCCATCCCCCTACATAGAAGGATGCAATAAGCATCTCCGGAATTCGGTTAATACGGAACAGTATGCGGCGGTCGAATCTGCTCTCTCTGTTGGTCAGACCTACACAGAGTTCGTTATACTCGTCACTGGAGCGCCGGGAACGGGTAAAACCTCGGTTTCCGCGACAATCGCCTTGCATCATTCTCATACCAAAAGACAGCTTCTGATAGTATGCAACTCGAACCAAGGACTCGGCGTGATCTCTAATCGTACTGTGAAAGCTCTCCAATTCCAAAACGATCCCCAGGGAGCCGATGGCATCTTTCGACTCGATACTGAATATCATGAAGAGGCGGAAACACAGTTCGCGCCGCGGATCCAAGCTGTATCAGACACGGAATTCGTCATGAAAATCCGCTCAGACCTGGGCCAAATGGGAATTGCCGACCAGCAATTTACCTTACTCCGGTTAATTATCGAAGCATCCACCACCCAACAAAACGGGCTGTCTCTAGGAAGTCATATAATCAAACGCCTTGAGTATGCGAAATGGTTGGGGTCAGGATGGCTTGGTACTGACGACGATGAGATGGTTCTATTGTGGACATTCCTTACTTACCAGGAAGCTCTTGCTCAGAGGGGTTTCCTATTCTTGGGGGATGTGGTTGAAGATCCCAGCGTGATGGCAAATGCTGGTGATTCTGCCGATATGCTTGCAACTCTGGTAAGTCGCCGCAAAGGGGCATGAGGCGAACTGCAGCAGTTCTACCTGCAGAAGGCCCGGGTCGTTCTCTGCACGGCTAGCACAGCCGGCCGCAAGCTGCTCCGGGGCTTTTGGCCCTTGACGGTATTAGTCGAGAAGGCTTCCCAATTAACGGAAACATCAACGGTAAATGGTATCGCTCGCATTTTAGGGTCCGTGAAGAAAGCCGTTCTCAGTGGTGAAATCAAGCAGTTGGGCCCAACAGTAACTTCCATAAACGCGGATGAGTTTTATGACTCTGAGACGCTGCCCTTCTTTGCACGTCTCCTCTCACAAGGCATTCCAGACGTCAGGCTCCTCCAACAATACTGGATGACTCTATAGATAGCGGAGTTCTCGAGTCAAGAACTCTACGACGGCAGTCTGGTGACGCATCCAACCGCTGACAGACACTGCGAGGCATTCCAGGCGGTAATGAGGCAGCTAGTGATACATTGTGAAAACTGGCGATGCCTTCTTTCATCGTGTATATCACGAACTCCGGCTTGTGGCGGCGCGAAAATGCGTCGTCCATGTTTAATCCCGAGTATGTCAGTGAGATGACAAACCTGGTTTTGGCCTTCGTCAAAGCCGACCTCACAGCACAGGACTTAATGATCCTGTCTTCCTATTCAGAGGAGATTCGGGTCTTGAAGCAGGTGATTCATGGTCTAGTGAAACCCGTCGCAATCGAGATCAGGTCAGTCGACTTTTCTCAGGGAAGGGAGGCGAAGATAGTCGTCCTCTCAACAACTCGGCTAGGGGGAAGTCTCGGGATAGGGTTCGTGGCAGATAGACAACGGCAAAATGTTGCACTCACTCGGGATTAATGTCAGCGATATGACATCCTGGGTCAAACTCATCAACCCCTATGGCGAGAAGGGCCGCTTGATTTCGATAGGCGGCAATAGGCATGAACTGGTGGTTGACCTTAAAATCCCACATGAGAACGATTTTATGGAAGTCACGGCCCGTTGATTCTTTCTGATCATTTGGTTTATGTCTAGCTCCTCTGTTTCTTTTCTAAGCCATCTCTGCTTTTTTCTTTGCTTCTTCCTTTCGGAGGATGGTTTTGTTCAAGCTGCATTTCTGGTTCTATGCGTCACATAATTCCAGCTTTAATGTCGCCTTGGTGCCTACCATAATCACTTCTATGTTGGTGGAACGGAGCGGCTAAATCGTCTTACATCTTTACGAGTGTAAGTCCAGAAAACGTCACGAGTTTGTCCTTCGCTATAGATTGTCTACATCTGCCCTTCTCAACGAACTGACAGGCTGAAAGCTACCAGAATGCGTCTGCTGCTATTTCGTCCGCCCACTGGATTACCTGGTGCGTTAGGACGCATCGCAATCGATAGACAATACTTCTGCAACGCTGAACAAGTTATTGTGTGGATTGAAAGAATATCCGCAGAACGAATGATACATGAAGCAGGTGCAAGCTATGCATATAACCATAGCCATGAGAGAGCGGGACATCGCTGCCACCTGCCGCTATGCAGAATCCTTGAGATACTGACAGCGATCAACGACAGGACGTAAATTCGCAGATTCTTGGTAAAATGCTCAGAAAATGAAACGGGCTGTTGATGAGAGAGAAAGGGAAATCTTCAGGATCACGGGGCACAGTGTATCTCAAGCTATTCAGATGCTGTTGTATAATTCATGCGGATTTCTATATTATAATAGTATTACTTCTTGTAATGCAACTGCACTATTCCTGTAACCTGTCTGCTTGCTACTCCTCCTTCTCAAATAGCCTCATAATCCCCTGCATCCCACGAGCTGCAGCAACATCCAAAGCCGTCAGGCCTTGCTTATTCTCCTTCCTAGCATCCAAGCCACGCGCCATCAATTCCTCGAACAACCACACGCCATCGGGCTCACTCTCACTCTCACGAGTGTCTTCCCGCCCGGCAATGGCATGTAGCAAGGTATCCCCATTGTCATTAACCGCAAATATATCATGAACTTGGAACATCTGGCGGACATCCTCTTCGGCAGGTGGTGGGCCGATACCGTATTCGTCTCGCTCCTTGATTGTCCGAACAAACGGGAATAAGGGAGTGTCTCCCCGGGCGTCACGGGCATTGACATCGCAGCCGGATTCTACGAAGCGAACGTAGAGGTCTTTCAGCTCAGCTTGGTGGTAAATCTCCTTTTCTGGTCGGTAGCTGTGGTCTGGGGAGCTATAATAGACTAATAGCGGGGCGAGAATGTGTAGTGCTGATTCGCCGTTCGGGCCTGTTATGAGGGGATTTGCACCGGCGGCAAGCAATGCGTTGGTCATTTCAAGTCTTTCGTTGGTATTCGAGTAACTGAGTGCGTAGTAAAGAGGGGACAGGCCGGCGTTGTCGGTTGTAGAGCAGGGTGCACCTTTTTCTAATATCATGGCGACGGTTTTGCATTTGCCTGAGCGAGTGGCAAGGTGGAGAGGGGTTGAGCCATCCTTGTCTGTTACGTTAAAATTTGCGCCGGCACGTATCAGTTCAATTGATGTCGACTCGTCGCCTGTGTAACATCCGTCGATGGAGGAGCAGACACTCAGTAAGGGGGTAAGGCCCTTGCGGTCTGTAGCTTCGAGAAGATCTGGCCTGGATTTTACGATGGGCCCAATGCGGCCATGGTGGTAGGCAATCTGATGGAGGACTGTGCTGTTGCTCTCCTCAAGCTCCAATAATGGATTTGCTCCCCTCTGCAGGAGGAGGCCCATAATCGTCTCTCCAACTTCTCTTGGTTCCAAGGCGGCAGCTAGGAGCGGCGTTTCCATCTTGGGACCTGTCCCATATCGTCTCTTTGGGTAGTATACCGCATTGACATCCGCACCAGCATTCAGGATCACGGCTACAGCTTCACAGTCGCGACTTTCTATGGCAGCAAATAAGGCCGGTACATGGCCCAGATTGATATCGGCGCCGTGGTCAATAAGCCTCTGGACGAGTTTACAACCTCGGTTGGTTTCTAATGCCACGAGAAGAGGCGTGGAGTCCTTACTGGGAGATAGTTTGTTGATATTCGCGCCGTGCCTTAGAACCACCTCTAGAGCCTCATCCCTCCAGAAGCCATGTTTACGTTGACCGTGGCTTTTGCCGGAAAGCGCACATTGTAGGACGGTGTTTCCATCCGAGTCTGTGATTTCAAGGTCTGCTCCTGCGTTGCAGAGAGTCTCGAGTGCTGCGATATTCCACCACTGCCTGCCCGCTGCGAGCATATGTGTAGCCGTATATTCTGGGGCTGATATCTCAGTGAATTCGTCGAAGTCCACATCGAACGGCTCTTGATATGAAGCATTGACATCGATACCCAATTCTATCAACATAGTCATCATCTGCAAGTTGGATAACTTTCGACCCGCTACAACGTGAAGCAGCGGGGGAGAGAAAGCATTAATATCCTTGACATACGGTGCCATAGTCTTCATCATGGATAAAAGACCCCAGTGCGCAACATAGTGTACTGGGGTAATCCCGTCAGGGCCTTTGGTCATCAGGTCTACTCCAGCACCTAGTAGAGCATCTAGTAAAGCCTCGTTTCTCAAGGATATCGCAGCTTGAAGAAGGCTATAGGCGTCTGCCTTTTCCAGACTAAGAGCTTGAACGATGTCCTCAGCGCGCATGCTTTTCGACGAGCATACCTGACCCATTAAGGCTGTTAGTTCACACTGCTGTGTGCGAATTGAGAGCAAATTCCATATATCCTCGTGACCTAGATGTAGAGCGATATCGCCAGCAGTTTGACCAGAGCTATCTCGCAGATTGACGTCTGCGCCTGCAGACAGGAGTAACCGGACAATATCCTGCATCATGTATGCTTCTTCTTCACGCTCGATAGCGAAGCTCAGATGCCAATGGGCATCATGTAGCTGGTCCCGCAACATTGGGGGTATGAAAGGTCCCAATGTGTTAGAACCACTAATAGTTCTTCCCCACAACTCTCCTCCGCTATATTTACGCTGTTTCCTTAGTGCTGCCACATCGACTTTATGCTCTGCAGCCATGTGCAGCGGGGTCCTCCCGTGGCAGTCTGCGATGTTTAGATTCGCTCCAACCTGCAACAGGTGATAGACACACTCAGAATTCCCTGAGCTAGCTGCGTAGTGCAGAGGAGTGCAACCATGATTATCCTTTTGGTCCAATGACCAGGAGCCTTCCGTGTATAGTTTGCATAGCATGCCCACGACACTGCTTTGCGCCGCGGCGGCCGCGAAGTGTAGCGGAGTTCGACCGTCATCTGACTGGGCCTGCATATCTGCCCCTGCCTGTATAAGTCTCCATGTGATGATTTCCGATTTTGAAGAAGCACAATGAATAGGCGCAAGACCTTCATTATCTCGTGCATTCACATCCAAGCCGAGACTTGGTTGCAAGAGGAAGTCTATCCGGTCACAGGTGCTCGGGTTAGTAAGATTGGCAACTTTGTGTAGAACTGTTTGCCCTCGATAGTCTGTTGCGTTGGCCAGCCCGCCCAGTCCAAGAATTACCTCGAGTTTAGCTTGGAGGGGAACGAAATGATCGCCTGATACGACAGCGTCATGGAATGGAGTGTTTCCATCCAAGTCGACACCGTTGATGTCAACCCCTTCCTGCATGAGTAGTTTCATAATTTTGAGGGTTGAATTCAAATCTTCCTCTCCATTCCCGTGCAGCGTTAGTTGAACTTCGGCAACTAAGTGGAGGCCTAATTGAGCTATTAGAACAGCTAGGCATTAAAATATGTCTCAGGTATACCTACACGACTTGTGATGAAAGTCTAATGCTTTCGCATTAGCACCATTTTCAAGCAGTCCAATGATGAAGTGTGGCTCCGCATTTGCGCACGCAGCAAGTAGGGCTGTCCTTCCCCTTCGGTCTCGAGATTCAAGATTTAGTCCTTTCTCCGTGAACAATGAGATAGCCTTTACTCTTTCGTGACCGTCGTTTCCAAAGGCTAGTTTATACAAACAGGTTTCTCCGGCTTTATTCTTGACCGTGGGATCTGCGAATTCCAGCCATTTCTGCACGTGGGAGTACTTGAGCATCCATGATGCGCAAATGTGATGCAGAGCCGTATTGCCATCCGAGTCTTGAAGGTTAGGGTCCGCCCCATTTTCGATGAAAGGCATAGCATCAAGGCTTCGATTCATCGCGGCAGAGATAAGAGGCGTTACAAGATCTCCATGCCGACCATGGTTGATGTTGGCTCCAGCTTTCACAAACAATTTGAGAACCCTAGAGTTCATGTTAACTATTAATAGGTTGTGCAGGGGTGTATCTCCCTTGTTGTCAATCGCACAGGGATTGGCACCATGTTGGAGGAGAAGCTCCACGAATCGCTCTGTTCTATCTGATCCACGGGGAGCACACATATACTGCTTAGTCCAGGCAAACAGTGCAGTCTGACCGGCCTCATTTTTTGCTTCAAGATCGCAACCTGCTTCGATCAGTAAAATGCCTGTTCTCTTCCACTCCTCGATGCTGCAAACGTCCCCTTCACTCCAACTTCTATATCCGGCGGCTGTCCAACCATGGATTGGAGTCTGTCCTCTTCCGCTCTTTGCGATTTCTATGTCAGATGGGGCCTCGGAATTACTCAATTTGGCCGATCTCGCATTTACGTCGGCACCATAATGAAGCAGAATACGAACTGTCTCCGGGTCACCGCGACGCGCAGCTAGGAACAAAGCTGTGTTGCCATAGCTGTCGCGCTTGTTCAAGTTTTCCAAAACCGTGGGGTGCCTAAGAAGAGCTTCGAGAGTTTTCGATTGACCTGTAGCAGACGCCCAATGTGGAAGGATTGAGCTCATCGAAGGGAGATCCAGGTTCCGTAGCAGTTCCAAGACACAAGCTGTGTGGCCTAGCTCACACGCATATTGTACCGGTGTCTTCCCTAATGTAGATGGACTCCACCTCCAGTAGCCATGGTCTTCGCAGGACTTTGGAGACATGGGGTCTGCACCAGCCTCAAGTAAACGTTGCACGACCTTGACGTGGTTACCCCTCGCTGCGTGGTGAATGGGTGCTAAACCATCGATATCGATGGTTGTAAATGAGGCATTGTAACCTAAGAGAACAGCAAAAGTCTCAAATTGGCCATGCATACAGGCATAAGTGGCTGCTGTCCGATTAAAAGAATCAGCAACATCCGGGTCCCCATGTGCCTTTAGGAGATGTTGGGTATATGCCGATAGGCCAGCCTGGGCGGCGAGATGAAGTGGATGAAAGTTATCGGGGACTGTCTGGTTCTTTTTTGCAAATATGAAGTCCTTCCAGCTTTCGAAACTGTGCTTATCATTCTGAAAGAGAGCATCTAATTGTAATATGAACTCTGGGTCGCTGGCATCACACTTGGCTGCATGATAGAGTAGGTTCTGCGATGCGTACTGTAGGAATGGGAAATGGACCATTAGCTGCTTGCGGTCTGGCTCATGGTCCGCTGGCTGGGTCGGACGCTCAGACAATGACCAAGATTTGAAACAGCCAGATAACAGATAATCAACACATAAGAGAGTGAGAGAGCGATGGGTTGAGGTAGGTGTTAAGACGGGAAACCGGTTGCTAGTTTCGGTGGGAGCTATCGCAGTATTGCGATTGCTGTCTAAAAGGAACTCGGTAAATGAGTGGTGAATGACTTGCACAGTTTCGTTATCTAAGATCTCTAGAAGTGGACCACATGATCTACGTATCATGGCTTTTGCATCCTGCGAGCTACTTATCCCGCTGCGATCAGAGGAAGCATTGACCAAAGCTGCTAATTCCGTGACCCGAAGTGGACGGCAAGCGTGTGTGACCCATGAGAGTAGCCAACATTGAAAGTGTTGGCTAGCACCAGAACGCAAAGAGTGTTCATGCAATATGCTGACATACATTTCTTCCCGTGAGCTAGGGAGGCGCTGTAAATGGTTCTCCAGTGGCAGCTCAGATTGCAAAAGAATCTGATCGAGCATGAGACGGGCATAGAGAAACAAGCCTTGTGCTTTTTGGCTGAGCCTTTCCTGGACAATTGACTGACCTTCGACCACAGCAGAGTTATCTTGCTGGTTACCTAGACGGTGAGCTATGTATGTGGCAATATCCTGCTCAATCATTGCCCCTGTAAGACGAATACGGTTCTGGAAGGTGCATTTAAGCGCTGTCTGAAGATGAGCTTCCGGGCGACTGGTTATTATCAACTTGGTTGATTCCGGGCTCCGTTGCCCAAGCTTTTGTAACGATTGAAGAAAGCCATCATTCTCGATCGCAAGCTCATCTAATGCGTCCAATATTACATATACCTTGGGAACAGTGTCAATGCCGAATAAGAAGAGGTTCCAGAGCTCATGGAATGGAACGCTATCGACAGTAGGGTGTAGAGCCAAAAGCACCTTTAGCCTTGCCTGAAGCAGGACACTATGACCTAAAAGTTGATACAGGCAATCTTGAACAAGCTGCCGAGGTTCGCTGTTTGTTTTGATGATTCGGCGAGCGAAGAAGAACAGTACCGGTATACCTTCTTCTTTGAAGGTACGAATCAACTTTGCAGCCATAACAGACTTGCCACTGCCGGGTATGCCTTGAAGCCATAAGGTGTTGTTGTTTGCATCATGCCAAGTCCGGTACTGATCTGTATGGAACAGCCAGTCTCCGGTCCCGGAGGCATGGGCACTCAGGTGTTTCTGATATTCACTGCCCTCCGTCTCGAACTCTGTTGGGGACAGCCAGATTTGTATCTGTTCAATATCATGGCTGGTCACTATTCGAAAGTTAGCTGGATTTTTGGCTGTATATTTAGAGCTGGTGTTCACACCGCTGGGAGCCAACTCTCCATCTGTGGGACTTCATTTAGCTTGAATAAATCAATCATGATAGCTTCAATCACTCACCTTGCTTTTCTACGAGTACAAAATCATTGTTGTCCATGGTTGAAGTCAAGATACTGAACGGTTGTTGTTTGGAAGGTTAGAGCTCTTCTTAAGAGGTGAACAGGCAGACGTGGGGCGAGCTTCTGCAGCCTGGCCAACACGAGTCGTATTTACCGGGCTTTCTCCACGCGTGACTGATTTCTATTTCTTGGTTTTGGCTTTTAACTCTAGCTCGCTTCAGCCTGTTTTTATTATTAATTCAACAAGTCTCAGTATATGTTGAGGAAAAGTAGCTTCAGGAAAAATCGGTCTGCGAAATGTACTGTGCCCATTTACGTCGTAGTCATTCTGGCTCCAAAGTGCGACAAATCAATAACGTGGCCTCCTTTTGATATATCAAATATCGCGGATGATGCTCGGCTATCTATAACCCTGACAAGTGCTCTGGGAGTAGGATACCCTACTCTCTGTTCTATGCTCCATTTCCCCATGTTACGTGCCGCCCGCTGCTTTCATTCAGCCGCTCCCACTCAGACCGACGTGACCAGGCTCAGCTGATGCTCTCAATATCTATCTGTACGGAGATGCATTTGTGAGAAAAGGCGTTGGTTGAGTCTCAAACTCGTGGATATCAGGATGTCTTGTCGTTGTCTATAATCTCATACTTTGTCCCGTTTCAGGTCTCCTGAGAGAACATGACCTAATACTGCCTGATTTAGCTCTCGGATTTCTTAGCATCTTCTTTGAGAGCCACGATCCGGTTAAGCACAACCGAGTCTTCAGTACTATCCGAGTCCATCGCCTATGTAATGGTAATATATTAGCAACTAGTCTCTGGGCAGGTATACGTAAAGGAATCGGTGAGCTTACAAAGTATGCAACCCGCATGGCTTGGAACCGGACGCCTTCAGGCCCAGACTGGGTCTTTTCGCCCTCAGCCTGCGGCCAAGGAGCACGGCGGCGAACCTCCTCAAACCCAGCGTTGACAAGTGCATCAGGGTAAACATTCTCACTGTCGGGATTAATGTCGTTGAGGAATCCACCTTCCGCAGCCTTGGGATTTTCGGACTTGAACAGCGCATTATGGATCCGAACTGTGACCTTACGAGAGCCTTCCGGAACCCACTGGATGTATGCCTTTGGTTTCGGAGCGTCTTTCGCCAACACGGCTTGGATCTCCGTTACCTTGCCGGTAGTCGGGTCCTTGGAGAAAGAAACTGCCTTAATAGGATGGGGCACCTGGAGCAAACCGACGGTCTGACCTGGCGACAGGCGGAAGAACTCCTTGGAAGAAACTTCGCGGAAATCGGACCGGTCGATATAAACAGTCGACGTCATCTTCAACTTATAGGAGCCAAATTCGGGCTGCTTTGGCGAGAATGGCAACACTAGCTCTTGCCCGTCTAAATCGCCGATGTCTTGGATCACGACGCGAACAGGGTCTAGGACCAACATGAGGCGAGGGACGGTTGTTTCGAGATAACGGCGAACCGTCTGTTCGAATCGTGCAATCTGGATGGTGCTGAGCGACGTAGTCACACCTAGCTCGTTGATGAAAGAAAGAATAGCACCAGGAGGCACGCCACGCCGGCGAATACCAATCAAGGTATAAAGACGAGGATCATCCCAGCCGCGCACATGTCCCTTTTCAACAAGTTCCCTCAAAATTCGTTTACTCATGACAGTACCACTGACATTCAAACGGCCTAAAAGCTGCGTAAGCAGGAGTTTAATTTGGTCAATTATAGGAATAGAAACTCACCATATTCGCGCTGCATCGGCTCATAGACACCAAGTGTCTTGTTCAACCATTCGTAGCTTTCACGCGCAGTAACAAACTCAGTTGTGCACAGACTGTGAGTGATGCCTTCAAAGCTATCGCAAAGACAGCTGTATAGAGAATTAGTAACCATACATCTGAACTGCCTTCACGCCAGCAAAAGCACTTACTGGGCAAAATCGTAGGATGGATAGATACACCACTTTGTACCAGTACGGATATGGGGGGTACGGTTCTTAGGGATACGATAGGCAACAATATCCCACATCTGAGGGTTTCCGTTGGTGAGTAGCTCCTGGCGCATCCGCAAAAAGGCTGTCTGCGGCTCATATTTCCCATCACGCATATCGCGGAATTTGGTAAGGTTGGTTTCCACATCCTGGGAGGCGTGGACGCAGTGGAATCGTGGCGATTTGCCATCTTCACCCCCGCGTTGCAATTTAAGATCAGCCTCACCGCAGTGGCAGACGTAGGCATTGCCTTGCTGAATCAACTTCTCGGCAAGGTCATACAAGCGCTGGAAGTTGTCACTCGAGTAGGTAATCTCATGAGGAGTAAATCCTGGGGGAGATATACCAATTAGCAGAGCGTACTAGATCAAGTCCATGCGGAGAACCATACCAAGCCAGTGAACTATATCCTTGATCGCATCGAAGTACTTCTCCTCCTCGGCGTCCGGATTCGTGTCGTCGAAGCGAAGCATAGTCACACCGCCGTGGTATCGCGCAAAGCCGAAATTAATCGCAATGGCCTTGGCGTGGCCGAGATGGAGATATCCATTGGGTTCGGGAGGAAATCTCGTTCTGACGTTTGGCGAAGGTCTCAAGTTGTAGACTTCAGCGAGGAAGCCCTGCTTGAACATAGCATCCGGATCGAGGGTGGGTTCGGCCGATTTGGGCGGAGCAACAGCCTTTGTCTCCGGCTTGCTTGGCTGGTTCTCTTTCGCAGCCGCCTTGGAGGCCTTCTTGGCTCGCTTCTGCATACGTTTCTTGAGCTCTCCCTTAGACACCATTTCGCCCGTCTCCGGGTCGAGCTGGAGCTTAGCAACTCCTTCCGCAACGGCGTCGGCCATTATGGCTTTCTTTGTAGGCTTTGCGAACACTGATCGGTGGTAGACTGTCGTGGATGGGAGGTTTTGATAGAATTCCCGCCGATGTGTGTCATAGCACCAGAACCCCGCCAGTGGCAGCCTTAGTTTTTCCTTTCCGCAACACGAGGGGCATGTGTCACGTGCTCAATTCAAGGTCCGCACGGCTGATTAAGCATGTTATCCACTCGGTTCAGATCCTCGGGTTAGCCCTATATAGGTCTTTTCAAATAAATAACAGGTACATACGACCACAGGGTGTGGAGAACAGGGCTTCCCGTCCGCTCAGCCGTACTTAAGCCACACGCCGGGAGGTTAGTAGTTGGGTGGGTGACCACCAGCGAATCCCTCCTGTTGTATGTTTTTTTTTCATATTCTCTGTTTTTTACCCTCGCAATATATACACATGACAATGGCAGTGTAGTTAGTCTGTTCTCTGGAAGCCTATTCAGAATAATAAGAGTACCTTAAGTGAGTCAAAATCTCCATGAAGAACTATACTATTGTCACTTGAAGAATAGTGAGCCATTGCTTTTTCGTTGTATATATGAAGAATGCTGGTCACCAACTTCATCAAAAGATCATACCATTTGCTTTGTCTTAAGCGAACAAGGATACGATCTCTTCCTCATAGAGAGCCAAAGTCTGCAATCTCGCCACACTTCCTTTCGCCGTCAAGATAAATGGCTTGTCCTTCGTGGCGAAGATCAACCGCTCCGAAGAGAGCTTCACACAGTCATGACAATGTACATTGACCTTCTCGATACAGGGCTTTAGGCTTTCCTTCAAAGCCGCATTGTCCAACTCCACCCCAGGAATCAACTCCACCAGAAGAACTGGCGATATCTGCCCATGGCCTCCAATGATCGCGGTCTTCACGCTAGGATGAGCGATGATCTCTGGTTCCAGAAGCGAAGCATGCAGTCCGTCACCATGAGCTAGATATACGTAATCGTCGCTGCGGCCGATGATCTTCCATAGTCCTTTGTGCACCGGATGCTCGATCCACAGATCATCTGTTCCGAAAGAATCGCGATCTGGATAGACCTGGAAGATCTGCTGCATTGCGCATTCGGGACGACGCACAAATACAAGCTCGTGCAGGTCGTTCATGCGGTGTTCGAACTCTGCCCCGGAATGCTTTTGGAAGGAGAGGTAATCCCATGCGTCCTTGTTTTGATGAATGGTCGTGAAGTACCCGCCTGCTTCGGTGCTGCCGACACAGGGGACAACTTGTGTGTAGGGTGCTAGTAGATTTCCAGATTTGGCCGAGAGCGGAGCACCAGCATAATGAACGTATTTAAGTTCTCGTAGCGCTTCAATGCCTTCGGGAAGGAGACAGAGTGCGTCAATTAGAGCGGGCATGAGAAGTGCACCGTCTATCCGGCCGTAGCGGAAAATATCTATAAGAAGTTTGGGGGTAGGGGGTGCTGGAGGCCCAATGACGGATGTCATATTCACGAACCCAGTCATGGCAAGGCTCATCAACATGCCAACAAACTATGCTAGTAAGCATATGTCCGGGATCAGGAAACAGCCTGAGGTCGAGGTCTTACATGCAGCGAGGGCAAAGGGGTGTACCACCTTCGCTGGGCATATTGATGAATATGAGTTTCTTCGATGTCCGGCAAAGAAGCCGCGGTATCGGTACCAGCCATCATTTGATGTGTATAGGTGATCGGCTTGGGATTTCCTTGGAGAAGGTTAGGGTATGGTTTGAATGTATCGAATTTAAAGAATATACCTGTTGTGCCTGAGGTGTGGAACACCAGCCACGGATCGTCTTTTCCTTCATCCCATGTCTTTCCATAAACTACTGGCGATGCTGCATCATCCCTGAGAAACTCCTCGATTCCTGGGACCGTGATACTCTCGATATGAGGTGCCTTTTGTAGAATAGCACCTACAGGACCGGCCATCTCGACCGGCCTGAGATACAATGTACAATTTTTCTTTTCCAGAATACGCAGCTGAGCCTCTGGTGTGATTAACGGCGAGGGAAGAATCATCTAGATTTTGATCAGCCTATCTCGCACTTCCTCGTGTTTTCCAGAAATTTTGGATACTATACCACTTTCTGCAGCTTTGCCACGGCTACGGCAAGAATCGCATACCGCAGATCCTTGGGGCCAGCATATGCAAAACATTGAAAAGGCTCGGACGTCGCCGGAAGGGCCTGAGTTAGCCATTGAGCTGCGTGGTTTGCTGCGTTATTCAGCTGCTGGAAAGTGATGTCGCGGTACCCCGCGGAAAGATCCTGGTCGTTGATGGGAAGCGAGATCCAGGGATTAGTGTTAGTGCCGTCTTTGGCGCGGTTCTCGATGACAGTGGCTAAGATGCGTTTGCCGTGGTCAACGCCAGGCAGTGGAAAGGTAGCAGAGACCATGGCTCTACGTAGATATTATTGTAAAAGGATGGAGGATCACTCAGTGGTGAGGCAGGGAAAAGCGATGGGGCCCGGGGGCCAAAGAGGGGAAGTGCCTTTGTCTTTATATGCTCATTCTAGTGGACCCTGTTGGAAAACCAATGCAATGGTAATAAATCAAAGTTACAAATTCCTTCCGAATCATTCCGGAGCTGCAACTGTACACATACTTTTGTGATTTACTGTTTGTTCATTATTCATGCGTTGCGTCGCATCCCAGGAGTGCGACTGCTCCCGCAATCCCAGCAAGGATTAATACTCACAACAAAAGACGATAGGCATATATATACATCGCACATATTTCTATAGAAAGCATCCGTCTATTTACTTCCGGACGGTTTAGGGCTTTGGAGCAGGCTCGCCCGATTTAGATCTCTGTCAAACGACCTGAGCGGGATATGGCCTTGCTTCGCGTAGTAGTTCATCTCATACCCTTTCCCATCTTCTATGGTGAAAGTCCTCTCGACTGTCACACCACTTTCATGTGTGGTCTTGAATTGTTTAAACCACCCAGGTAGCTTTCTCAATAGTGGGCGCAGGCGCATAGTGCACGCAGCGGCCATATACATGCCGCTTTCAACAATTGTCCAGCTCATCAATTCAACATCCGTCCCTAGATAAGAAAATGAAGTTAGGTCAAAGATCATCTAAGTTGAGAGGAGGGTGTACATACATGTAGGATCTTGCGTTGAGTGTTCTTGCGACGTGAAGAAAGAGGCGGTTCGGAAGCAGGACGCAATCAAGCCTCTGGTATCTGCATTAGAGCAACGAAAAAACGAATGGACGGGGCTTGTTTTTCTTGAGAAGTACTCACATGCTACCAGAGAGAAAGACAAGTGAAATAGCCACTCTCTTGGCTATTGATGCCTGTAGGTTCCACACTGTGTGCGCGGGGAGCACCATGATGGCAACATCACCAACTATATTAAGAATCCCACTCAGCTTAAAGAACAAGAAGAGGTTGATACATGTTCCATCACCGGTGCGATCCCAGAAGTATGCGAGTGGCCGGCATTCCATGGCACCGGCAATTGTTTGCGAGATCAGGAAGAGGACCATATAGACCATCAGGAGAACGGTGCATTTTCGAGCAACACCTGGCGTAAATATCGTATAGAGCAATACCAAGACCGACAGTCGCGAGAAGCAGTTTGAGTATGCCGTGACCCAGCTGAGCGAGTAGAGCAGTTTCCCTCGTACAATTATGATATTTGGGTCTTCCAGCACCAGTGCCTTGACATGGCGACCGGCGCCACCGTGGGTGACCGCAACTGAATTGAATCCATATTGATCAGCGCAAGGGCTCTATACGAAACAACATGAAACAAAACCGAAGAGAGGTTCAAGCTCACGATAACCGCAAATACAGGACGCTACCGAAAGGAGATACGCAGGAAGCAACAGGATATCTTCCAAGCCAGTTTTCACATTCGGCAGACTGCGGACATACAGACGAAGGGCCAACAGTATGGTTGTAACTATCAAGATAATCGACGATGCTGCGATGAGCCGACCAGAGATATTTTCTTCTAGATAGTGGGGCGAGATTTGTTCTCTCGGTATTGGCGTGCCAGGCATGATGTCACCAAGGTGCTCTTAACACTCGCTACCGATGGAGAAGAAATGTATAGTGTATCTATACACAAGAGCCCCTGCCATTGAAAATGAGAAGGATGGAAGACAAGTCGGGCGCCCTGGTTCCGGATGGGAGTAATAATGACCATGCAGCTGTCAACATCTGATGTACACTCCAGAGCCAGATGCTTACATGCATGTTCACAGCCCCATGCTATCAGGGATTAGGGCCGTCACATCAACGACAAAGCATGGTCTGTGTACGGAGCATGCCTGGCACCGTTCCATTTTAGTTGCTCCGAGGCTTATCCGCGGTACATGCAGCTGCAATGCAGTCAAGGCAATATTCCCTGTTTGGAGTATGGTTGGAGGGGTTAGTTTCAACATCAACGCACGGGAATACTATCTTGGGAAAATGTCTGCAGTATGGCGTTATGATGATCCCAATCAGCATTTTTGCCGCCGGAGGGGTAAATGGACGCTACCCGGAGTAAATTGGATATAGGACCAGCGCTAGTATGGCGCTCGTATTAACTATCTATCTATGGGGTTAATCCTCTAGTCAGCAATCGATCGCCGGAAGCTACTTGATCCTCATTCCTTGATCCAAACTGCTACCTCTGTATGCACTAGTATTACTCGATAGTCCATACAACCCGGTAGCAATTAATAATATTACATATTATCCCTGAATGTGTCAACCTGATTAGCAGACGCACGCATAGGCAGACATGAAGAGGCCGGATGGGTGGATACTAGTATTCTCCACTACAATATCGAAGCTGCAGCTAGTTTGGGGGCCAAATAACCTCTGCAGAAATGCGCACGAGGTAGAGCGAGGATACTACCGCGTATAAATTATATACGCAAGCGAGCAACGATCGCTTTGCGCGCTGAAATCAGCCAGCCCTACGAATTTACAAGCACGAAGATGCACTCCGTGCCACGGTTCCACCATCAACCTTGCCTACTGGGGCAGACAGCTGCATTGTTGTAATTTCCCAAGGGGCTGTCTATTTGTCAAATAAATGCACCAATAGATTAAATAGATTAAATGAAACAAAAGCAAGAACAAATCTTATGTTAGAAACGCGGCATTTCCAAATTATCTACGCCCCTTAACCCCTCCCAGCGACCAGGATGATAGATTTCTGCAGACAGATAAGACGTTAAGCTGAGTTGACCTCGTTTAAAGGCACAGGCAATGTAAGTCTGGACTCCACACCCCTGGTCTAGCGAGCGAAACGAGGCGTACTGCTCCAATGCCTTGAGAAAGCCATCCTGGTACGGGGTGTGTCCACCGCGACGTTGCAGAAACTCCACCAGACCCATGGCAATTGCATGATCATTTGGTCCGTAATGGCGTACAGGAATGTATACCTTGGTCTCGGGCTGTTGATTGCCGAGTTTAATATCAAAATTATACAGCACTCCTGATGTCTCATGTGATTTCGACGGGAGCTCCTGATTATGTGAGAAATCAGAGGGCAGACCAAGAACCAGAGACCACAACTCCTGCAGTTGCTCCAGCGCGCACTCATCCCACGAAGACACCGTTCCACCCGCAGTTAGCGTCTCTTTAACACTGGCAAAGCTGGTCGAGGGACTCCGAAAGTAAATTTTGAGTTTCGCTGCGGATGGATCGACGCAGTCGACAGCCACACCAATAATATGTGCGGGAGTGTCCATTTCTTCCTGATGTCGCAGGAAGCCCTGCAGCGGGGGATAGGCAGACAAATCGGAGAACTGTGGGAGCGTGCGAACGGCGTTGTCGAGAACGGCGAGTCGCGACCGATCGGTCTGTTCCGCTTTTACCGGGACCAGGTACAATTTGCACATCGTACGACCATCTCGTCCGAGGTCGAAACCAATAAAAACCGAGGAGGGACTGGACCCATCGCGTTGGGTGGCTACTTTGGCGGAAGTATCTTGATGAAAAGCACGGGCGAAGTGGGCGAACCACGTCCAATCCGCAGCGGGCAGTTGGCGCTGGAGGTGATCGACATATGCCATCGGAGCTTGGCGGTTGTATGGATCCCATTCCGTCCCTGCTAGAGGGCCGATTGGCTCAAAGCTGTATCGGATGGTTGGTCGCTCTCCGTCCCAGCTCCAGCTGTATTCCAGTGGAGAATAATCATCGGTCATAAAGCTCTTCCACCGAGGCGCCTGGCCCTGAGTAGGGCGTGCACCTAAGGCAGGCGCAACACTTTGAGAAACGAAATTGAGGTGTTCTTGTAGCGAGGCAGCGTTATATCCTGCTCCTCCCATAAGTGTTTTCAGTGCAGTTCCCACTGCATTTTCCCAGAACTGCGAATCCACATAGGGCTCGTTGGCAAAGGACGTCGTGTCCTTTGACTCGGTAGCAATGGCCGTGGATATGTGGCTTTTCTGGTATGAAATTAGTGATTAGTGATTTGTCTTGAGAGTATCCAGGAACAAAAAGAGATCTACAAGATACCAGGACGGTGTAGGGGCTCAACCTATGGCGGATCTGAAGCAACCTGGTTGAGCCGGAGGCGATAGTTCTTCTTCCCCATAGAACAGATGCCATAGTTGATCTGAGTGATCAAAAAATGAGGACAGTTCTGGAAATATAAATAGCGAGACCCAGGCCACCTCAGTTAGGTCCAGTCTTTGGCCTTGCTCATATCTTTCCGCCATAATACCGATGCTATTGGACCAACTGTTCAAATAGCGTCGGTTTTATTTGGCTTGGAAAAATGACGGCAGAAACGGGTTTTACCCCCACCGGGTTCCCTTTTGCGTTAGAGAGGACTCATTCGTGGGTATGGGCTGTTGGTGCTGGGGCAGTGGTGATATTCGTGCTCTATCTTACACAGCGCATTGCTCATGGAAGACTCGCCTACGCTCATGGATGTCAAGCACCCGCACGGTATGCCCACCGGGACCCTTTCCTCGGATTGGACTCCTTGCGAGACTCTATGCAGGCGAGGAAATCCGACAAATATTTTCGAAGAGAGCAGCAACTGCACCAAGTATATGGCAACACATTCATGTCGCTGCTATTAGGCAGCTGGATGGTGAATACAATTGAGCCAAAGAACCTTGAAGTTCTCTTTTCTACTAAATTTACCGATTACGAGGTTGGATTCCGACGTCGGAATGCATTTGCTCCCCTGTTTGGCAACAGCATCTTTCAGAGCGATGGAGCGCGTTGGCAAAAATTACGATCACAGCTACAACTATGCTTCTCGCGGGTACAAACCTCTCAGTTGGATCTCCTGGAGCGTCACTGTCAGCGTCTCCTGACAGCCCTTCCTGCCGACAACCAAAACTTCGATTTGGCCCTTTTCCTCCATCGCTTTGCTGCCGATGTTTCAACAGACTTTCTTTTTGGAGAATCAATCAATTCTCTCGAGAACCCCCGGAACCTGGACAGCGGAGCCTTGAAGGCTTTTGCCGACACCCATAGCACTTGCGAGCTTCGATGGCTACTGGGATCCATGTCATGGATCTGGCCTCAGCGTACATTCATGAAAAATGTCCGCTTGACCCACCGCTTCATCCAACGATACGTTGATGCGGCGTTGCAACGGGAAGTCGCGCCACCAGCAAAAGTTTCAGATCAACCAAACGAGCAGCGGATTCTGTTCATCGACCAACTTCGACAACGAACGCAGGATCCCACGGCACTTCGGGACGAGCTGACAACATTATATTTTGCAGGGACGGATGCCCCTGCCGCTTTGCTTATCAACTTATTCTTTGTGTTCTCCAAAAGACCGGATGTGTGGAATCGTGTACGCTCCGAGGTCCAGTCTCTAGGAGGGAAACTACCCGACCTCCAACAGCTTAAGGGCCTCCGATACGTGCAGGACTGTATTCGCGAATGTAAGATATCAATTTTCTCTTTGATACTGATGGGATCATGGCCAGCCTTGACGGCTAACTCTCTCTACCGAACTACCTAGGTCTTCGCCTTTATCCGCCACAACCCTCCAATTCCCGTGTTGCCGTACGAGACACCATTCTTCCCGTTGGTGGTGGTCTAGATGGAAGCTCGCCCGTGCTAGTGCCGAAAGGTATGATGGTTCACCTTTCAGTGTATGCGCTTCACCATCGGAAGGACCTCTGGGGTGAGGACGCGGATGAGTTCCACCCGGAACGATGGTCCTATGAAAAGCAAACATGGGTGAGAAACTCCTGATTCTTTTCAGCTTTTTTACAATATTCTAATCAACGCGTGTTATCGGAGTAGAAATATATCCCGTTCCTCGGCGGTCCCCGAAATTGCGTAGGGAGTGAGTTTCCCCCCTGTTTGGCATAAGCACTAATTTAATCACCAAGGACTAACTAACATCTATTGCCAGTGGACTTTGGTCTAAATGAAGTTGCGTATGCCGTGGTACGAATGGCTCAAAACTTCAAGACCATCACCAGTGTCGATCCAGACGAATGGGTGGAGGGGTCTAGCATCGCGCTGGAGTCGAAAAACGGCGTTAAAGTGGCCATGTGCAGGGATTGCCAGCGAGGAGAGACGTCTGGGAGGGTCTAGATAGACATCCCTCCTGTAAGATAGATAACATGACGAATCTAGACACAGCCATATGTAACGTACCACGCATGGGAATGCCTCCGGTACAGTGGTTGGACGGGTATGATAAATATGACTCCACTGTTGACACTAATGCCGGATATATACAGCTAAAATGCACCTAGTTTAGTGCTGACAACTTCAGTACGGGCCTTCTTATTCGCGGATATTAATGCTCATTGAAAGCCTCGTGTGATCCAGCCCCCACGTGCAATATATTGTGTAGAAAAGTACTGAAGACTCAATGAGATACAAATTGACCCACGACGATCATATACCTATCCAAGCACTTCGGGGCGAAGCGATGCTACCATGCCAACTCATCCTTCCGCAGCAACTTGTCCGATCCTGATCGTCGGTTAAAAGGTTTCGGAGAAGAATGGTTGCGCTTCTTGGCATTCATTGAAACTTTCTTGATTTGCTTGTTATTTGCTTGTTACTTGTCGGTTGGTTGGTTTTATTTAATTTATTGATTTGGCTTTTTTTACCCAGCATGTTTTTCTAGGTAAGCCGTCAATTACACCATAGACATTGAAATGGGAAAGCCATTCGAATTTCATACTTCACTGGTACTGCAGCAATGGAGTCTGTTGAATGAATTGCTGCGCGGTGCCGCCGGGGATTTGGTCCTCAATGGCAGCGGACTAGATATTCCTCATGTGGTTTACATTGCCAGGTAAAATAATCCCGGCTACACCGTGTACTCTGATTTGATCTAATCTATTCCAAACCTGTTAAAGATATGCAGGCAATGTGAGCATAAACCCTGCTGCCTACGAATCAATTAACCAGAGCCATGCTGCCATTGCCAAGAGCCTTTCCCAAGGGAATGTCATCTACGGTATATCTAGACCACCTTATTGTAACCCATGAAGAATGAATCCCTAACTGGCTGATGCAGGAGTGAATACTGGATTCGGAGGCTCAGCAGATATACGCGCAAACGACGTCCTAGCACTGCAGCGCGTCTTAACCCGCGAACTAAGCTATGGCCTATTACCCCCAGGGGCGCGTGATCCTCGCCCTTCATCTGATCGCCAGAAGTCCGCATATCAGGCGTTCGATCTGAGTCTCGAACATGCAGCCGAGTCTCAGCATCTGCCACTTCCTTGGGTGCGGGCTGCAGTCTTACTGCGTCTAAACTCGCTGGTCAAAGGCCACTCGGGTGTCCGGCCCGTCATCGTAGATCGCTTACGGGATCTTCTTTCCAAGAATATCATCCCCATGGTTCCGATGCGGGGGAGTATCTCTGCGTCGGGAGATTTGAGTCCTATCGCATATATTAGCGGTGTACTTCAGGGCAAGCCAACAATCCGAGTTTTCCGTCCAGGCAATGGACGCGATGTATACGCCGACGAGGCTCTTGCGGAGGCCGGTGTGGAACCGATATCCCTGACAGCCAAAGAGGGTCTCGCGATCGTCAACGGAACGGCCATGTCGGCGGCATGCGCCACGCTCGTGCTACATGATACACACCAGCTGGCCATGTTGGGACAAATTCTGACGGCGATGACGGTGGAAGCACTGCTAGGCTCGCCGGAGAGCTTCGACCCCTTCTTCGCGGACGTGCGTCCGCATCCAGGACAGATCGAGAGCTCACGGAACATCCGGGTGTTCCTGCGTGGGTCTCGACTCGCGCAGCAGAAAGACGGCAAGGATGGGTCGCTCCGCCAGGATCGATATTCAATCCGCACCGCGGCGCAGTGGATCGGGCCCGTGCTCGAAGATCTGCTACTAGCTCACCAGCAAATCAGCATCGAGTGCAACTCGGCCACCGATAACCCGCTCGTCAACGGCGACGGACAGTTCCTGCATGGCGGCAACTTCCAGGCCAAGGCCGTCACCTCGTCCATGGAGAAGAGTCGTCAGGCTGTACAGGCTATTGGCCGCATGCTCTTCACCCAGTGTCAGGAGATGATCAACCCCGCCACCAGCTGGGGTCTGCCGCCGAACCTGGTTGCAGATGAACCCAGCCAGTCCGGCATCTTCAAGGCCATTGACATTTACATCTCGGCCTTGACCTCCGAGCTTGGGTTCCTGGCGGGCCCCGTTAACCATGTCTACAATGCCGAGCTGGGCAACCAGTCGTTGAACTCGCTGGCTCTGATCTCCGGTCGATACACTGCGACGGCCGTGGGTGTGCTTACGGAGCTCGTCGCAGCGCATCTGCTTTCCGCGTGTCAGGCGCTGGATCTCCGTGCCATGCAGTTGCAATTCTTAGACGGAGTCAAGCCTGAGTTCTTCACCCGCACTGCCTCAATCGCGAACAAGCAGGGCCTAAACACAGAGGCTAGTAAGAACCTCCCAAGCACACTATGGGCCCATCTCCAAAAAGGACTAGAACAGACCGTCTCAATGGACAGTGTAGATCGGTTCCCTCACATAGCCAAGACTATGCGTGTCCCTATTCTGGATTGTGTGCCGTCTCAAAATGCCAACATTGAAGATATGCACTCGTTCATTGACCAGCTCGGTCCCTGGCTCCACGAAGCATGGTGTGCCAACCGGGACGCCTACCTGGTCCATGGCGATGCCAGCCCCATGCTGGGAGACGGCTCGAAGAAGATGTATCGCTTCGTGCGGACAACTCTTGGGGTGCCGATGTTGTGTACGAGGAGGATCTTGACGCCCACTGCGGAGGCGATGGCTACCGGACGGGTGGAGGAGGCGCCCACGGTGGGCGGATACACAAGTCTCATTTATCGGGCAATTCAGCGAGGTGAATTCTTGCCGGTCATCCAGGAGCTGCTGGAGGAGTGTTTGACGAAGGAGGAGCTGGAGCGGTAGTTTCGTTGTCTATATTCTGTTGAATGAGCGCTGTATTGTCGTAGAATATACGCTAAATCGAACAACATAGATACCATTTTCCTATCAATTAGAGAGTCGCGAGTCTTATACCGAGTCTTATCATCATAATTTTTATTATTCCACCAATGAAGCGAGTATCGATTTCATTTTACTTTCTCTTGTAAACAGGCAGAGGTATAGGGCAAGGAAGTCACATGCCAGGATAAAGAGAGTTGTAATAAACTGGAACCAAGCAATACCGTATGAAAACAAGGCTCCGACATCCCCGCATACTCAAATATACATCCCAGTCAAGTACCAAAGTAGTACTAACCACTAATCATACATACTAAATAGGCCTGCTAAAGCTTCCGAGGCCGTAGCCTTGGCACGTGTCGTGCTCACTTCATCCATTATTATACTTGCTACTTCTACCCTTCCATTCTTCTCCGTGTGGCTGTTCTAAAAGTAGCTTCGTTGTGCATCCAGCTCACCAAAATGACCTTCCCCTTCAAAGTCATCGAACATGTCATCCCAGGCCAACACATCCGCGAATCCCCCCGTAGCGTCAAAGGCCGGCAAGAGACGCCCATAAAACTCGCCATTAAACAATATATCCCCAACGACGCCGCCCCAGTCCCCGACAATGCCATCACCATAATCGGCGTGCCCGGAAACGGGTCTCCCAAGGAAATCTACGAGCCACTCTGGGAAGACCTCTACCACCAGCTGAAGAAGCTCTCCGTGCCGGTGCGCGGCATCTGGGTAGCAGACACATCCAACCAAGGCGCAAGTGCCATCTTGAATGAAGAGATCCAGGGAGACCAAAGTACGTTTTGGATCTGAATACCGGGAAATGAGAATTAACTTCGCTAATCGGATCGGCTTAGCTAACTGGTATGATCATTCGCGCGACCTGTTACATATGGTTAATCACTTCCGCGATGAAATGCCGAGACCGCTCATCGGCGTCGGTCATAGTATGGGATGTGCTCAACTGTATGCCAACCCCCGCCTTCCAACAGTGTACAACAATGCTAACCCACCATGATGGCAGGGTTAATCTTTCAATCATCCACCCGCGTCTCCTGTCAACTCTAGTCCTGATCGAGCCCGTCATCCTGGAAGTAGCCTTCGGCGGCCCCAACCCAGCCATGATGGCCAGTCGCCGGCGAGACCTGTGGGAATCGCCCGAAAAGGCCGTCGCGTCTCTCACCAAGGGCCTTGCCAAATGGGACCCCCGAGCTCGAGACCGCTACCTCCGGCATGCGCTGCGCCCGGTGCCCACGCGGCTCTACAACCCAGCCACGGACCCCAAAGTGCCCCCCACGGCGGTAACACTCACCACAACCAAGCATCAGGAATCGTGGAACTTCTTCACGCCGAACCTGGAGCGGGAAGAGCTGGACCGCCTTCTGCTACCGGACTGGGACGTCGAGAAAGAGCGCCCGTATCTGTTTTCGCGGCCGGAGTGCTGGTCCGCCATGCGCAATCTGGCGTACGTCCGGCCGAGTGTGCTCTGGGTGTTTGGGGGCAGGAGCTTTCTTTCTCTGCCGGATGCGCAGGACTCGAAGATGCGGACTACGGGCACGGGCACGGGCGGCAGTGGTGGGGTGGCGAAGGGGATGGTTGAGAAGGCTGTGCTGCCCAAGGGTGGGCATACTCTTGTGTTTGAGCAGGTGGATTGGTGCGCTTCCACGGTTGCGGATTGGACGCAGCGGTGGTTCCGGGGCTGGTTGGAGGATGAGAAGTTCTGGGAAGAGTATCAGAATCGCGGTTCGGATGCGGAGGGAGTGAGGATGTCTGAGGAGGCGTTTCAAATCGCACAGATGCCTGTTGGGACGAAGAGGGGGGAAAAGCCGAAGGCGAAGCTGTGAAGTTGGCTACTAGATTACTGTTCTTTCGGATTTTGTACATAGGGTAGCTGTCTACCTGGGAAATCGTGCTAGTACTCGTATCATCACACATCGAACAGATTTAGAATTCAAATATACCGGAGTATCCAGTCCTTTTCAACAGGCCTTGGAGCTAGGATACTGACCACTTTACGTCTTAAGTGGAACTCTAGGTAGATGTCCACTATAATCCACATACAAAGTCACTTTGGAAGAACATAGTACATAGAAGGACTGGCAGCTATATCTACAAAGGACAGGGCCACCCTAATAAGATACGCTTTCGCCGCATTTCACCCCGTTTTCTCACTTCCAGAGCTGTTCTCCATATGGGTGATGACAGCGTGCTTAAATGCTTAACCTTATGGGCTTGAGAAATTGAGGCATAGTAAGTCTCTTTTTATTAACTCATGTAATTATCCACCTTTGTGTGTTGCCGACTGTATGGATTATATGAGGAGATGGGGACAATTCATAGAGAGTATAACTCCATCTAGATAGGATGGGTTATCTTCTATATAATCTTCTTACACCTACGGTATACAGATACTCTAATGGACAAGGATAAAGGAGCTTATATAGGTTTAATCTCCAAGAGAAAGTCTTCCATATACTCTAATCATTCTTCTTCGTGTCAGCGTAGTTATAAATTCTCTAATAAGAAGACTTAGGACATTGGAGGCCGAGGCGGATAACAGCGAGGTTTTGACGGCCACATAGGCAAGGTCAGATAAATGGAGGTCACGTAGAAGATATCCCGTTGTATGACATCACGTTTCAAACCAGAATGACAACGTCGATATATAGAGCACGGCGGCCTTGCCACAGCCTTACTGGAGCAATCATACCTTGTGAAGCTAACGTCCTATCCAACCTATTTATAGCAAGTCCCGCCAATCATGCCGAATGAAACGGAAAATACAGAATAAGGCTGAAGGAGCATTGTCCCACAGACGCCATATATTCTGGCGGCTCAATGGTCCACCAGGGCTTAGGCCAACGCCTTACCTTCCGATCACTGAACTAGAACGAGCGGGGATACAGCTGTGGGGCCACCCATTTCGCCCCAACAATACTTAGTCGCAGGAAGAAGACGGATCGCCTAGGCAAAGTAAGGCGTCCAGCTGGTAAGCACTAGCTAGCTGATTAAACCGAGCGCGCCAATGGTGCAACACCAATCCGTTGTGAATTGGTATCCGAAATGCTGCATGGAAAGTGGAGACGATCCAAGGTGATAGGTAGATAGTTTTCTCATATATAGACAGACCATCTCCTCAATCTGGGTCCTCCAACCCCAAGAACCAGATCTGACAGCAGAATCATGGCGGACTCTCAGCTTGCGAACCTGGAGGCCTTCCTCCTGGGTCATCCAAGTATTAAATACACAGCACCCTCGTCACCGGAGTTCTCCACCGTGTGCAAAGTATGGAACCTGGCCCGTCCAGACATCCCGCTTGCTGTCGTCCATCCTCAGGATGCAGAGGATGTGAAGGTTTTAGTACAATTTGCCAAGTCTAACAGACTCAAATTCACCATCCGCGTAGGAGGCCATAACATGGAAGGCCGGGCCCTCGTGGATGGCGCCCTTGTTATCGATCTTCGGGCGCTTACAGGGGTCAAGGTAGCCGAAGATCACCAATCGGCTACAGTGGAGGGAGGAATCCTTCAGGGGGAGCTCGGAACGAAACTGTGGGCTGAAGGACTCGCCACGCCCACGGGGTCAATACCGTGCGTTGGCTATGTCGGGTGGGCGATGTATGGAGGATATGGACCCTTCTCATCCCACTGGGGGCTGGGGGCTGATCAGATCCTTGGTGCAACGATCGTGAATCATAATGGGGAGATTATCAAAGCGGATGAGAAGCTCCTAAGAGGCATTCGTGGGGCGGGAGGCGTGTTTGGTGTCATTGTTGACCTGACTATCAAGGTGTACCCGCTTAAAAGTGTAAGTTGTTAGAGTTATCACTCTTGTGAAACGACAAGAGCTGAACGTCATCTAGCTGCTGGCTGGTGTTATCCTGTTTAATTCCCAGGATATCACCAAGGTCTTTGCCGATTTTAGCACTGGATACCAAAAGCTATTAGAAAATGGCATTCCCGAGCAGCTAACCATCCAACAAGCAGTATTCAACGCGCCTCCTGGACGCGTGTTCGCTGTCATTATCGCGTGGAGTGGCGATGACCTCGAAGAGGGCAAGCACTGGAGTAACCAGATCGCATCCCTGGGACCACTACTCATGAGCACAGTCACAGAGACTACAATCCCTGAGTGGTTCACCGGAAACGCAGCCTTGGTCCCGTCGGGTGTATACGGATCCAGTCGCACAGTCAACCTGCACAAGGTCACGCCCGAAGTTGCTGAGGCAATTGGACGTAACCTAACCACACTGCCATCTGATCCAGGCACCATGATGTCCGTGCATCAGCTGAGGGGTCCCTCTGCGGCACCGAAAGACAGCTCTGTCTTTGCTGCCAGAGAGCCGCACTATATGGTCGAGATCCTTGGGTTTGCAACGGTGGAGAAACGCAAGGAGGAGGCTGAGAAATGGGCATCTGACGTTGCGGAGGCGATCTCGAAGACAGAAGCTGGGAATATTCTTCCCACTGCCTATATCTCTCTCTATTCTGGTAGTGAGCGTGGGGTTGACCCGCTGAGTCAGTTCTATGGCTCTCATGCGGAGGAGATTGTTTCGTTGAAAAAGGAATACGACCCTGAGGATTTGTTTCACTGGGCTGTGCCTCAGTTAAAATAGGCATTCCAGATGAGGAGCTCATCCAGGGCAGTGCGGAATGCATGATGTGTTTTGAGACATGATGGTGGTTGTTTCTTTAGAATAATACACGTATAAAACGTTTGTGGTAGGCTTAACAGTCTGTTGAGGGCAAATACGAAGGGTCCGCTGCCCTAGACAGCACAAGAGGACTCAGCAACCATATTCTTGTTGTGAAGTACCTCCTGTAGGCGCAAAGGATCATGCGTAAGGGCAGTGATAAGAAGCGGGATACCTGATGTAAGCTGTGGCTCCTTGTCGCTACAGTTTTAAGACATCAAAGCGAGCTATCAGTGACGGCAAGCTGTACGTATCACTTTGAATGCACTTGCCCCCTATGTGTTGGGTCTTGGTTCGTTTAAAACTATTGCTAGTTGACGAGTCCTCACTGCAAGCCCTTGGGTGTCTTCACTAAAGCGGCGGTGTCCAGAAGAAAGCCACAGTTGTTCCACTAAAAGGGACAGATGTGTATGTTCATATTCATAGTTCATAGCCCTCATCAACGTTTCTCTACAGAGTGGTATATAAGAAAGATTTATTTTTCGTAGCAGACCATCTTACATTTGGTATTCATCGAGACCCATACCCTTCCCGATTTTCCGTATAAGAGCTCGCTTTAAGAAGGCCTCTCGCGCTAACCCACGTGTGTGCCGGGACCATGTTTCTACCCCGATCACACCTTTGACGTGAGCTGTTTGTAGGGCGTAGATGGCCTGCTGGATGCCGCGTTCCTCTGCCACCAGGTCGTACAGTTGCTTGCCCACGACTGTTGGGGCGACGAGGACCTCATCGATTGGAGGAAGACCGGAGGGTACGGGATCTAAGCTCGACTGTGCGGCGGATGGCGATATGCGACTTTGCGCATCGGCAATGACAGCATCGGCGCGGTGAAGGGACTGTTGCAGGATGGAGGTGTTCGACTGGAGGCTTGAATTGAGGGTATTTAATGAGGAGATCTCGCCTTGCAAGGTGGCAATCGCTGCGTGCAAAGAGTCCGACTGTGACTGTAGAGATCGTGCCGCGGACTCGGTTTGTGACACGTTCGTCTGCAGCGTCGCGGCCAATGCCTTGGACACTGCGTGTAACAATGCATCCTTTTCTGGATTGGGTGGAATTGGCGGCGCAGGTCCGGGGGCGAATGATGGAAGCTCAACCTCAAAAGGTGAAGTAAGAAGATCAGGGGTTTCGGCCTTCGGTTTCACTGCTGGTTGGACTTCCGAAGATGGTCGCTGAAAACTGTGATGAGAGGCCTGCTGAGGCGCTTGCAGTGGTGGCATTTGCTGGTATCCGCCATTTGCTAGGTGATGTGACGGTCGATGGGGAGAAACTTGTTGAGGTAGGCTATGGGAGGGCTGTTGCTGGGGCCCACGGGGGAACTGCTGCGGAATTGCGCCAGGCGGTGCTCGGTTGTCAGGTTGCGAGGGTAGGGGGCCTTGTGTATAGACTGGCATTGGATGTGCCATGGGGTGCTGCTGCTGAGGATAACGATGCGGAGTCGTCGGGCTTTCCATGCCACTTTGGTCTAGTGGATACTGCGATAGGCGATCCGTTGATGTGCTAGTCCTTGCATGGGTTCGAGGCGGCCACCGTGGATCCTGTTCCTTCGGCGGCAGTGGAGGAAGAGGCGACGAAGAGCTGGGTTGTGCTGCAGGAATCGGTTGTTGTTGCTCCGCAGAGACCGCTTGTCCAGGCTTGGGAGGTGGGGGAGGTGGCACCGCCGGCACTGGCGAAGAGACATTCTGATGCAATGGTGAGTGAGACGCGGGTAATCCGAGTTCTGCTGGGAGTGGAGGTAGAGGAGGCGGTGTTTGCGTTGGCCCGGGTTGTTGTGGGCGTGGTGGTACTTGTTGCTGTTTGTATCGGACCGGTGGCTCCTTTGCAAAAACCTCACGGAGTATAGATACAAGGTCTACCAGGGTTGATCTCTAACCGAATCACACCATCAGTAAATTGACCCGCTAGTCTGGCGGAACCAACGAACCTCCCAAGCCTCTGCCCAGTGTGCCAGGTAATGATGATACACTCTTCCCTCTAATGTCACATGTTGGCCAACTCGCACAGCCATATCCTGAGTCGGAGTCACGTAAACAATTGGTGGCTCTCGAGGGTAGGTATTGGGGACCCATAGAGATATAGGAAACTTGTAGACCGTGCCGCGAAACGTAACGGGTACCGTGCCAGTGAGTTGCAGCAGAAGGGCCGAGAAACCATTTTCATATGCTAAGCACGATTAATAACTGAACACCAATGCTAGGTAACCAGGGAGATCACGGACTGTAGACTTCGGTTCGTGGGGACAGGGAGGGATACTGAGCAAGCACGGAGGCCACATCATAGTAGGTGCGATTGGGGTCCTGATACGTCTGTCGGGGATCGTAATGATCCTGCGCTGGTCAGTAACTTGCATTGGAGCATGCGAAGAAAGGGGACTGTGTATACCCGAATCAATACGCTGTATAGCCAGTTGAGCGTCCTCTGCGGCACAGCAGCCATGTCGAAGGAGCTGATAGACGAAGTGCATGGCGTGCTATCAAGTGTGTCATTAAGTGGGAAAGGAATCTCCGCAGGTCGCGTTCCCCGCATGTTCTTGGCACACGGGCAGAATGAACCCCCGTGACATTAAGTTGATTTAATTCGATAAATTATTTAGAGTTAACTATTAGGGCTCCATGTTTACAAATATCAAAGAAACAGCAAGATAACGTATTACAATTCTTCAGCTATGCTAGTATTAAAAGACGGAGCGCTAAAGCGAGAATAGAATTAATACTAAACAAAAAGCCGTGGTTTCCCCTCGATATTACAGAGCAAGTCGTAGTAGCACCTTCATCCGATCGACTCTAAAGCCTGTGGCAACTAATAACCGACACATCGTGTTCCACGGAGATTCCATGCCCCTGTTCAGGATCACGCTGTCTTCTGATCGAGCTCTGATCCGCATAGCAGACTGTCCTTGACTTGTTACTTGGATAAGTCATGGCGACAGCAGTATCCGTGGAAGATGTCTGGTTGCTCCTTGTGCCGTCTGAGTCATGGAGGCGATTCCACAAGGCACCACGAGACGGGGAATCTTCGGTGGAGGACGAACGAGTAAGGGAAACACCAGCCCAGATGGAGGATAGCGGAAGAGAGATGGTGACCAGGGTCAGAATGTTGGAATTAAGCTCGGGGACTGTGACCGCATATTGAAGAATCGAAAGCAGCGCTAAATCAATTAGCTTACACAAGCGGATCGTCGCAATGTAGATGCAAAGGACATACCTGGAATAATCAAGGTTTGGCAACCCATGACAAATATCACCTTCATCGGCCCGAAGTCCCTTACACCGAGTCTCCTTCGCTGACGGATGGCAAATCCGAGCTTAGTAATGAAGATACTGCAGAAGAAACAGATACTAATAGTAATCACGATGTTTGTAGCACTTTCCAGCCAAACAAGTGACAGTGGGTTATCAGCGCCGACAATTGTCTTGCAGTTTTCAACCATGTATCCCAGGCGAAATCCAACAGGAATAAGTTCAACCAAGATTGACACGCAGAGGAGAACGGTTCGATACCGGCGTCGAAGATTGGCACAGACAACTTGGACTTGGAGTACAAGAGATGTCTCAATGCAGATCAAGAGAAGAGTTGTAAGAATGACCCCCAGTATAGAGTTGGCGTACGCAGAAGTGGGTGCCCTAGAATAATCACCGGAGAAGTACTGGTAGGCTTTCACGAAATCGGTTGTGAAGTAGATCATATGGCAGAGGAGCCGGCCCATATTGAGCAGCAAAGCACCGCTGTTGAGGAAAAAAACCGAAGAACCACGCTTGTCGGGTCTAGTCAAAAGTAGAAGGATAATGAAGATAATCACTGAAGCACCGAATTGAGCCCCGTAGTTGATGCATATCTGGATACAGTACTGATAGAAGTCATCCAACATCATCACGGGTACTTGGAACGGGGTCCCATCAGCAGCATGGAAGGTGAGGTTCTGGTAGTATGGATTGAACTTGGAGTCCATGATGATCACTATCGTGAGAGGCTCGCAAGAGACGAAGGATGTATAGATCAGTCGCGACCCGACGAAGACGGTAGGCAAAGAAGGATATCCTACGGGACGTTGTGAAAAGTGTCATATATGAGGAAGTGAGGAACAAGTAGTCGACTCTGCTTGAAACTGTTTTAGAGGAACACGTCCAGCTCCTGGATAGGGACTTGAACATGATGGGAGCGACTGTATTGTTTCTCCACGTTGATAGTATTGGCCGGTAGGACAGACCGGGTGTTGCACTGTACATGCAACACATGAAACAGACAATATCTATACGGCTGAACAGAGACAGGGAGTACAATACTACCTGTTTGGCGTGGTGGAGCTTGTTCTAGACAATGGGTCAGTCATGACGTTGAGGACATATCAGACTAGGCAGTAGCCGAAACCAACATCGGCGCCGTTAAGACAGACAATACTAAGAGGACAATATCAAGACGGGAACTAGCAGTTAAAAGATTGGATTGTGGCCCACAACGCGATTCCGGATCCATGGAAACTTTTAAGTTCCCGAAGATCCTTTTTACTTAACAGCATCCTGGACATTATTCGCCGTCGATCTTTCTGGTAGTGGAATGCGATTGGATTCCTAGCTGTCCAGCTTCAGGGTTGAATGCCATTTTTACAGCTCTTGCAGGGTGTCAGAAACGAAGCGGTGGGTGACTCTGCAGCAGGACTGTCAGCAAATTAAATTATTTGAGAAGGCCAAGGTGGCTTTATTTTCAATGGGCTAGCCCCCTTATCGTCTAATTGCAGGGATTGCATGGCCTGAAAGACAAAAGTGTAGTCATTGTGGTAAGGGGGTAGCAGGCAGGATGCACCACCTGAGGTGTTGAGTAACACTCAAACACTACTATGCTTGCTAAGACTGGTCGACTTTTGTTATTTTTGGAACCAAGCAGTCTCAAGGATTATTCACATGTCTCATGGCCGCAGCTCCGTGGCTGAGGACCTTGAAGAGATACCACGCAAGGGTCTGGCTGTAGCATGATGCATTGTTGTAAACTGAGCTGAGAGTAATGAAATCTGGAAGATGCGAAAAATACGATGTTCGCCTTGGCAAACATCAAGGCGGGGATGGCACGTGAACAGTTTTGGTAGCATTCAAGGTATGCCAGGTTAGGGAACTCGGACTAAGTATGACAGGGGCGCATTGATACTGATAGGCAGCGCCCGCGTTCGAAGGGCCGTGGTAGTAGATAGCAAATCGATGTGATTTCCTAGCTTTGTGAGATGAAAAGAGCAAGGGGTTTCAAAGGGTGCATTAAAAATATATGTCTGAAGACCAGTTCTATTTGTTTAAGCTACATTCAAATTGACATGTCGTTTCAGGGTTCTTTCATCTCAGCTTTCATGGCCCAATTTAGCCAACGACTCCGTGAGGAATTCGTTAGCATTCATTAGGTCCGTACTGCCATAGACAACTCTCCGCCTGGGAGTGCCTTGAGACGCCGTTCCCCGGCCGGCCCCTGCACCGTCCCCGCTGGGCTGTCCGCTTGTCTGACGGACCCAGTCCTGCAGATTTCCGTATTCATCCATGCTACCTCCTCCGACCGTGAAAACGATGGCTTCGTTGAAGGCCTGGCGGCGCTGGCCAAAGCTGGCACCGGTTCCTGGGCCGGGTGCGCCAGAAGTGGCGGGCGACTGGGCATTACGGGAAGCGGAAGCGGGGGGCATGGCGCCACGGGCATTAGCGCTGCGAGGGTCGAAATAGAGGTAGCTTTCAGTTTTGGCAATGGCGGAGCTGGAGGCAGACGCTGGGTCCATGAGTGACTCGGTGATCTTGGTCAAGGTCAAGTCTTTGTTCGCAGGGAGGAAATTTTTGACACCGGAAATCAGGGAGTCGAAGTTGGCACCAAGCGCACCGGATGTGATGCGGTCTGTCAGGCGATTGGAGAGTGACGAGAAGCCACGGAACAGATCGGAGGATTGTTGCTGTGGTGCAGCTGTGGTCATCATGGTCATGCGAGTGACTTCACGAACTTGTTTGACGTAGGCGATGGGACTGACGTCCTGGACGCCTACACGGGCGAGGGCTTCTTCAAACTGACTCATATCCGCACGGTTTAATTCGGTCTCGGTGCTTAAAAACCAGATCAGGAAGAGCCGAAGCTTATCCGTCGGCTCGCTCCCCTTTGCCGGGTCATTGATGAGTTCCAGGATCTGCGTCTTAGATTGCTTTGTGATGTTTTCTTCAAGCTCGAAGAAGTTGTCGAGCTGGCGGTCTTTGATGCCTTGAAGCAGTGCAGTTGCAATGTTCATATGCATGTCCAGAACGGATTTGCGTTCCCGCAACTCCGGAAGTAGAGTAATGGCGGCTTTCAGGTGCTGTGCAGAGGTGCTGGTGTCATTTTGGAGATCCTCAATGGATGACGCGCCGGTCTTTTTTGTGATCTCGTTCGCGTCCTCCTTGTACTTCGTTAGCTCCGCGTCGATGTCCTCGGCCACCTGGGGAAACGGAGCTCCGGCATTACGCTTCCAAAAGAAGTCGTTGCTGTTCAGGTCATACGCTTTCTTGGTTACCTTGCCCGGGTTTGTCTCGTCGGCCGTCTCGATTGTAATCCGGTTGAGGCGCATCTGGAGCACATCTTGCACCAACGACTGGTATGTCCATGAGTGAGAAAGCATGGGTACCAAGTCCACATTACGGTCGACAATGACCAGCACAGGTCTGGACGAGGGTACTCCCGGAGCAGATTTCTTGTTGGTTGAGAAAAGATTATCCTTCGAATTGAGAATGTGATCGCGGAGTTTACGGTCGAGTTTTGTGGCGATGAGCTCTGCCGCTCCACCTTTAGGGCATCGGATGATGGGGATCGCCCCTGTTTGTATCATGATCAGTTACAAATAAACAAACACATGGCCTGGCCGCACATACCCATGGTGACGCTAACACTGAAAAGGCCGCTGACAATCTTATCGATGATGGCGTCTAAGTCCTCATCGCTTGTCTGCGCACTATTGATCTTCCAGTAGGCATCATGTCCTAAGCCCAAGCTGAAAAGGTCCGGTTCGGCGACGATGAAGTTGAGATATTGGTCATAGACTTGCGCGATATGCTCCGATGTCCCTGTTGTCGCTATCTGAGAGGCGAAATCTTCGAGCAGTGGCCGAGGCACAGACGATAGGAAGTTCACGTAGGCTGGTGTATAGAGTCCGCGAGCCAAGTCGTTGGTAATCATTTGCAAGTTGGCCGGAGTAGGTTCGACGAGATAGACTACGGGGACGTCGGGGATAGGGTATCGATTGGCATTAAGGTTTCTTCAAGCAAGTCGTTAGTCGCACATGAATGACCGACATGGCAGAAGCGCGTACAGATGAATAGTAACACCCCAAGTCCGAAGGTCATTGACTCGGAGTACGCTACTAATAACGTCCCGTCCCATATTATCAAACACCAGAACTTTCCAGATTGGGTCGCCGTCCTCGTTCAAAATGGGGGTCGAGATGAGGCCTTGCGTGGAGGTATCATGATGGCTGTCCTCGATCTGCGGGTCGTGGTTTAGGTTGAGGATTTTCTGAATGGAAACTGTACAGTTGCCAATATCAATATACGCTCACCACATAGAGATGTGTACATGAAGAAACGAAGTACCTACCGACCTGACGGTCGCGAAGAGACATTGAGTGCGACGCCATAGTAAAGTATAGTCTGCACCCAGGATGATATTCACGGCAATTACTTGACTTAAACGAGATTCATGACAGATAAGGATCCTGATAACATCCAAGCAGGCAGAACAATATCAACAGATCAGCCCAAACCCGAGCTGTTGAGGAACAATTCAGTTATTACCCACTCGCAACCAACGACCCAGTACTCCCTCTCTCTCTCCACTTGGCATCCTCTGAGAGAAGCTCCCGATTGATGGAAGCTGACGTAATCTCACTAGTCCTAATGAAGTTAAATTAGTCCTTTCAAGGTGAAAAGGTCCCCCCTTTCATAAAGGAGATGTATACAAACATCTCAAACTCCGCCCTCCAGCCTTAGCCTCCCGGATCACGTGTGCAAACGCTAGACTGAATGGGTGTAGCGTGGCTGGCCAAGGCTCCAAAGGCAAACTCGCCCAACCCAGCTCAGCTTTTCCAAGTCTCACCACCATCACCCATCCCCCCCTTCCCTTCCAACCTTTTCGTAAAGCGAATGACTATGCTGCTTAATTACAGTCCAGTGTACTTCTTTGTATGAGAACCTTTTCTTTTCATCTTTTAAGACATATTTAAGAGAAGAAAAGGTCTACAAAAACAGGTTGTACAGGCTGGATTGTCTGCGAAAACAGCGCAGGAAAAGAGTGACAAGGCGGCAAGGAAATTGAAAAGCAAAGATAAAGAAGGAATCTGGAAAAAGGAAAGGGGTTCAAAAGGAAAGACAAAAACAAATTTTATCTTACGTCTACTATACGGAGTACTTGGCCGGTGTATTCGAAGGGTTGACCTACTTGGTGCATCAAGAGCGGTTCATTTTTTCCTAAAAAAAGAAGGGTGCAAGATTGGGCGCGCAACACAACGTGAACGCGACTTGCACGGGATACCGTCACTAAGAAATCACCCAGACAAGCAGGCAAAATAACTGTTCTTTTTTTTCTTCTTTTTTCCTCTTGGCACAGTCAGAAAAAAAAAAAGGGAAAGGCACAGAAACAAGGACAAGGGCCTTAGAACTTGTCAAGTTTCTTTAACATTTGGGAAGCGGAGGCCAGTTTGCCACGGTCCGGATCATACATCCATTTATTACACTTCACACTGCTTGAATTGCTGCACTGCGAGAAATTCGGCTTTGCCATTTCTTACCGCTTCCCCCACTCAGCGAATCAGCATCTTCCGGCGCTGACAAACTCGGATTGGACCAGTGATTCGCCCGGCTTGCATTCATTGTTCCAACGTTTATCACGAGACTCTGTCCAATAGAACGGCTTAGACTGGGGACTCCACCAGCAGGCTTCCCGCCAACTGCGATCCAGGAAGACCGGCGTCCCAGACCTTTCCAAATTAGGACTGTCACGCACGTGGATGCATGTGACTTATACCTACCATTTTGGGTTGCTCTCCCTTTAGTACTTGGACCAAATAACTTTTCGACAACATCCCAAGAATCAATATCGGATAGCGCAGGACTGAATGAACGGCAGCATGGAGCAGTCGCCGCCGCAAAATTTGATGCGCGGTCTGCCTCATGCGCCAGTAGACCCGGGCTCATTGCCGCCGGAATACTGGGAGTCACTGTATGCGAATCCGGAACCCCCACATCAACATGCGCATCCTCCACAACAACAGCTACAGCAATCGCAACAACCACAGCAGCCACAGCCATTGGGGATCGGCTGGGATCATCCAGTATTCGGTCAAACACCTCAGCAACGCAGTTCTTTGCCACTTCAACAGGAACATGGCCATGGCCTGTATCCCTCATCCACTCCTCAATCTTGGCGACCCAACCCTCTACATCCTCAGCAGATCATGCCGTCGAACCCACAAGGATTCGCAATGCCTGTACAATATCGTCAATTGCCCCAGTATTCACAGGGACAGGTGCCTTTTGAGTCGCAGCCGCTCAATGCGTCAGATAACCCGTCTTATCAACCGTATACGTTTCCTCGAAACTACTACTCCGCTCAACACATCTCGGTGCCCGACACCTTCTCACAAACGCCAACACCCCAAGCTTCTCAGCCTCAGCCGACTCAATCAGCTCCTTATCAGTCCAATACGTCTCAAACTCCCATCGTTCCATACACCCTACCCGCAGGGTTCTCAGAGGAGACCTCGGTAAGACTCTTCGAAACAAGGTCCTTCATATGAATAGGCTAGCTAATTGGTAGCAGCATGGTCAGATGCAGTATACAAACGAGTTTTCTGATTCGGCGCCAACTGTACATGAGCATCAAACTATCAACCCTCAGTTTCTCAACACCGCTCAACAAGCCAACAACCAGCATGCCCCCCTTAATAATTTCATCTACGTTAATCCCCCAGGTTTCGAACGTCAGGATAACCAGAGGTGAGCCCCAATTCCGAAAAGGCTAGTTTGACTGTGCCCTAGAGGCATTTACTTACTGTTTCTTTTAGGGCATTCGACTACTTCCGGAACGACCTACAAATGCCGTCAATCCTGAACCGACCTACTGCTAATAACCCGAATCTCCCAACTTCACAGACTCCAGGCGTTGAGGTAGTCATACCTATAAACCGTACGTTCCTTACATTATCGCTTCTTAACTTTGTACTTACCCCGTCAGGCCAACAACCGATCCTACCAAACCCTTCGACGAAATCAGGAAAGAAACAGACCACGTCGAAAAAAGTAACCAAAAAGTCTGCGGCTAAGGCGTCGACAAAGAAGCCCGATGGGAAGCTTGCTTCTTCTGGATCCGAGACCGATACCTCTGACTCGGAACTAGAGATTGAACTGCCAGAAGAGCCATTTCCCATTGACCCTGTTCGTCCCAGTGACCCAGAAGCTGCCGCGCAGTATGATGCCCTTCGAGCCGTGTGGTCGCCGCGTAATAGGCGGCCCCATGCTGACAAAGTCAAAGGCGCACTGGTTGCGTTTAAAGACGTTGTCAAAGCCGTAAGGGATACGTGGAAAGAGAAGTCACAAGCGATGAAAATGGCGGAAAACAAGGGCGAAAACGATAAAGCAGCCCAGATCAAGAAGGATGTTGTCCTCCAGCGGCGCCTGATGGACGTGGTTGTTAGCACCACTCTGGATCAGGGCCACCCCACGATCGTCGAAAAGTATGTCCTTTCTCTTTCATTATTCCTTTCTCTTAACAACTTGGCATATCGTTGTCATGGCCATAGAAGTCAGAAACGAATTGAGAGCCTCTCCCGCGTAATTTCCCTAGTGTGGACTTCGGCATATCTTCTTAAAAAGAATGCTTATAAGTAAGGGTGGAAACTACCTTGCACCCGAGGACAGTACATACCTAGTTACGTGTCCTTAAAGAACAAAGGAACTAAAGGGAGAAGGTTCTTTTTAAAGAATAGCTCCCTTTCGGCGATCCCAGTATGGCCGCATAATCACCTATCTTGAAGAGTCACTAGACTAGGACTCTAGTGATAGAGATTGGCCTGCTACACTAGCCGTCATTCTAAACCACCGTGTCTTATTTTTTGCTGCTTATACAAGTTTTATGCCATGTATGATTGCTGTTGGCTAACCCAAATCTTCAGGCTAGGAGAGCATCCCATGGCGGTGGCTGCCATGTATTCGTTCCTTCTCGATCGGCATCAGGCCTCTGACATCGATGGGGCATTCACCCTAAACCTGCTCAAGGTAAGCTCGCCCACATATATTGAACGTGCAAGAGACTGAGCCTTTTCATCAGCTACTTGCTCGATTTGTTACCATGGATGAAGATGTGCTCCAAAAAACGAATGTTGCTAAACTACTGCCTCGGTTCGTGAAAAAGGGCGGACAAGTAGCTAAAAGCCTTGCTCAGAAGATCTTGGACAATGCTGCCACTTCCACTAAGAGAAAGCAAGAGGCTAATAAAGCAGCGCCGAAAGAGGCATCTCCCGCCATGAACACTGTCTCCAATGTTGCATTGGCTGACGGTCCGCGTGCGGAGCTGGCTGGATCCAAAAGGCCTCGAGATGCTGAGGCCAATGGCCAACCAGCCACGAAGCGGATGGTTGTTACGTCGAATCTAAAGAGTACCCAGAAGCCAACCAACGGCCCTGTGACTGGCCCCGCCAAGCGCCTCCAGGAAACAGCCCAAGAGGCCAAACCAGCAGTGGCAGCTACTTCACGTCCAAAGGCTAATATTATTGCTCCCAAACCGACTAACCTATTTGGAAGTCTGTCGTCGGCTTCGAAGAGGCCAGGAACCTCAAACGCAGAGAGAGCGGCCGCGGCCGCGGCCGCAGCAAAGTCCAGGTAAGCAGATTTGTGTAATTACTCGAGCTTCACTATTCGATACTAACTGTGAGCAGCACACCGACTGAAAAGAAAGAGTCTCAACCCGCACCTCCCAGGCCGACCTTCTCTTTCGGCGACATCATGGCCGATCTCAATAAGCAAAAAGAAGCACCTCCGTCTGAGCCAGCCGAGAACAAGCTTCCAGAGACGGAAGAAGAACGAAAGAAGCGACTCCGCAAAGAAGCGAGGCGAAGGCTCCGAGTCACGTGGAAGCCGGATGACTCTCTTACTGAAGTTCGTTTGTTCACGCATGATCCTGACGAGGAGCTGGGACCAGGGGATCATGCGCAGCACGAGGCTGGTGATGTCAAGGGTGAAGGCAGTGTGCTTAAACTTCACAGAGACCTGGACGAGTTCGACGAGGAAGAGGATGGTGGCGTCCGCGAAGAAAGCTTGCGTGATTATTGTGAGCCATCGGGTAAGTCATGGTTTAGACTTCCATCAGAAATACCATACTAACCTAGGTAGAAATTGATTTTGCGGACATCACTCCTGAGGATCGTTCCAGGAACAACATCAAACGCGCCGGCACCCAGCAGCCGATCAGTGCTGAGAAGGAAGCACAGGAGCACCGCGAAGCGACGACGCTTATGGTTTTCTATACCTCCGCTGCAGATGTGCCACCTTCGCCAAAGGAACCTCCCCCGCCCAGTGAAGACGAGTCAACAGCAGAAGCAGTTTCTCTTGGAGAGCTTCCAGATCACGTCAAGGTAAGCATTATCATTGTTTCCCCTTTCATTTGGTGAATCCGACCTAACTGTAGTATGACAGGTTCGACAGGAGCGGTATTTTTCCGCTATTAATCCTCAACCAACTCCAGCTCAACCTCAGCCGAGTGCACAATCCAGCCAGTTTGATATTTCAAACTTGCTCAAAATCATACAAAATGCGCCTCAGCAGCAGCAGTCAACCCCCCCTCCTCCCCCACCTCCGCCTGTGACTCAAGCACCGATGTCGGATCTGGAACGAACCATCAGTATGTTCCGTCAGCAACAGGCGCCACAACCTTCAGCCCAACAACTGCAGGTGCCTCAGTTCCCTGCCGCTACTCAGGCTCCTGCAACACAGGGCCTCGACTTCCAGAAAATCCTGGCTGTCCTCAATGCTCAGAAGCAGATGCAGCAGCCACCACCACCACCTGTCATGCCCCCTGTTCAGCCGTCGCAGCCGGCTATTGCGCCAAATCTAGCTGCGTTCATATCACAGTTTACTGGGGGCAACCAACAATCTGGACCGAACCCATCTCAAATGCCTGGTCAATTCGACGACCCAGAGCGCAAGCGTATGCGTGAGGGTCCGGGCTTCGATGGTTCTGAGGATGACAGATATGGTTATTTCAAACGGAACAAACCGAACGGACCCAATAAGAGTCATGTAAGTCGCCGGATGCCTGCATATTCTATAATGGAATCGGTTACTAACTATACATGATAGCCCAAGGTTGGATTGGTTCCTTGTCGTTACTGGCCCGAAGGGAAATGCAGAAAAGGCAACGACTGCACCTTCCGTCACGATCCACTTAACTAATACTATTCTCCTGCCTCAAACTCTTGATACCCCTATCCTTTCTTTTTCTTGTCGGCATTCCCTACAATAACGGATGTCCATATTGTCATGCTTTCTGTCTCTATATTATTCTTTCCGAATTGTTGCAGATGTATGTTGACACATAAATGTGCATAACGGGCGAGTTCACGGCGTTCTGCTTTGCTGGTGATAGTTTTTTTTTCCCTCGGCATTGGTCACCTCAGCGTTGTCTGTTGAAGCATTCTACCATGATAACGGAGTTCTGTCATTTCCGGTAGGGTTATGCAATTCTGCAAGGACAGAATTTGGCAAGGTTGGTATTGTGTCTTCGGCGTGAGATTCATATTCTCTTCATGGAACGGACGACCCATCATGCATGTACATTAGAGTGATGTCCTGGTGGACAGTGTTCTGATTTGCGACACGATTTGACCTCATCCAGCAGCTCTTTTACCAATTGAATTGTGCACTGTATACTTATTATTCTCGAAGAATCGTAAAACCTGCCCATCACCGGCTTAGGTAATAAATATCTCCCGAGCCTACGTTAATTTAACGAAAAACATTTATCACAATTTACTTATATTCAATCTGGATCCAAGACTTCACCTCTCCGTTAGTGTTCTGTTGAAAAGCATCCAAAAGAATACAGCAATCATGTCAACACCAGCCCACTGCAACCATCTGATCATCGTCTGCTGCCACGCTATATACCTCGGTGGGCCAACACACGGCACCTCAGAGGACGAATGGTAAGTCTTTCCTCTACAGCTCCTGTTCCATACTACAAGGGCCATTCAGCTATACTGTCGTGCTCGTACCTATACTTCCGACTTCATACATATCAGCAAGTACGAGCGCGCAATATATAGCCACACCTAACGGGCAACAAAACCACAATAGGCTCATAGAACCCTTCCAGAAGGGAGAAACATCCACCTTTACAGCTCATGTAAAAGCTGGTCTGGAAGCCTTGGCAAATGATCCGGCTGCGTTGCTTGTTTTTTCGGGGTATATACCGTCCCTCCTTGAACTGCCCGGATTTTATATATATCGCGTAGAACCCCACTAACAATTGCTCAAACTTACTACTACATCAGAGGCGCAACAAAGAGGAATCGTACTAGTTTAACAGAAGGGGAGTCGTACCTGGTACGTAATTCCCCCCCCTCAATAAAAGAGAGAGAGAAATAAAAAAGAACGCAAAAAATAATACTCTCAACCCCAGACCCTCGCCCATGAGAACAACTATTTCAACTACACCGTCCCTTCCGCCCAAATCATCGCCGAAACCCACGCTACGGATTCCTACCAGAACGTACTATTCTCTCTACTCCGGTTTAGGCTCTATACGGGCGCCTACCCATCGCGGGTGACAGTGGTGACGCATGAGTTCAAGCGGAGACGCTTTATGGAGTATCATTTTCCCGCTATAGGATTGGCTCCGCTTCAGAGGGGGCTTGGAAAGGAAGGTAGAGCTGCTGTTGTTGGGATTAATCCGCCTGAGGAGGTGACTTCTGAGGCATCTTTGATCGAGGGGGAGGAGAAAAGGGGGATTGGGTTGTGGATGAGGGATCGGTATGGGGTTTTAGGGGAGTTGAAGGAGAAGAGGGTTAAGAGGGGGTGGGTGGAAGGTATGGAGGAAGGGCTTTTTGTCAATGTGGGGTTGGGGAAGGCGGTTGAGCAGTTGGTGAGATGGGATGGAGGGAAGTGTGGGAATGAGTGGTTTTCGAGGATGGGGGAGTTGCCTTGGTTTTAGTACTGGCGGGATATTATGACATTGGGGTAATGATAAGAAGTTACTACTCGGTAGTTGAGATAAGCTGAATTCTATAGAAGTTTTGAAACCATGCTAGTGATGCATATTCATTAATCGTTACTGATATGCGGCCGATCCTAAAACACGAAACACGAGCACCGAAATATGCAGAATTGAGCCTGTCGTCCTCTGTCCTGAACGCCTTCCAAAAACACCGCAACTAATGGTAGGTTCGCCTAGTCAGCAAGACGATAACTAACCAGTGTCTCTACACGGTGGTTGTTCGTGCTGAAACTCCTGAGCTGGACCTTCTCTGCGTTCTTGATCTCCTTGGCGTCGCTGTCACCCCATTCGACCGGCACCTCGGAATCGGCGTCGGCATACACGAGGACGTTAAATGTGCAGTCTCCGTCGAGAACAGGAAGGAAGGTAACCGAAGCAGTAATTTGACGGAAGATCGCCTGGATTTCTTCTTGGATTTCTTTCTCTGTTTTCTCAACCGGGGTTTGAGGGTCGGCGTTGCTACAAGGGATTAGCTGAAGTATGTATGTTATGGATAAAGGCGGCCTACTCTGGACCGGTGTTTTCCTTGTCACCGGAAGCCTGCGACTTCGTACTCTTGCTTTGTTTCCCGAATATTTGGACCTACAATTATCTGTTAGTCTTTGAAATCCGTACCACATGTGCTAGTCCTTACGTCGAATTGCCATCTCTCCACGTGTTCTCCAGTTTCCTTGTCTGTGATGACTACAACAAGTTTGGAGATCTTGCCTCCCATCATCCACTTGTTCAACTGCGACATGATCTTCTTGATATAGGCCTTGACCTGGTCATCGGAAGTAACTGGGTCCGTCAGCGGATGCACAGAATAAGTAACGGCGGGTCAACTAACTAAGCATGTTGAGGCCATATTTCTTGACACTAGAAGAGTTAGACGCAAAATACCCTAACCACAAAATTTCGAAAAACTCACGTCGTGAAATCTTCAGGGGGATAGACGCCTCGCTGGAAACTGGAGGTCAGGGTCAGTGGAAATGGCCCTATATAGGTCGCCGAAAATGCGGGCTCACAGGATGGAATTGATAGAGTATTCAAACTAGAAACATTAATATTTTGGCGATGGCAAGAAGTGTGTGGGATCCTTACGAATTCTGCGACAAGCTTGGACGACCCTATATAGGGATGAGCTCCTGATCTTTCCGATAAACTGCTCGTGTTTGATTCTCACCTTTCAGGGACAATTTGTGAACCTTAGACTTGTCCTTCGTGGGTGGCATGTTGAATTAATTTGACGGTAATGGATAAATCCGTGAGTTGATTCTGTCGACGTTCCTGATGAGAGAGTTGGTGGGAAAAGACAGGAAGCGTTTGTTTACTCCGATAGTCGCCGCAGCAATTAAATTTAATTCGATACATCGCAATCGACCGCCTGCCAATCGTTTTCTCCGCAGAGCCGCACTTTTTTTGCCCGCAAAACCAGAACTTTCAATTGATTCCCACGGTCAGAGTGCGAAACATTTAATTCGACAAGAGACAATTCCCATGCCATTGCAGACCTCCCGATGCGAGGATGCCTGCAGTTAGCCAGATGGCTGAGCGCAGGGCCGAAATGCCCGGCGGCAAGCCTTCCCAAGGCGCCATCCGGCCTCTATAATACCATCCGTTCTTTCACTAGTTCCGCCCATCTGGCATCGCGAGCCAGAGCAGCAGCGAGCAAACCCGCCTCCGATCTTGAAGCCAGAATCGCGCAGATTCCCATCGACCGCTACCGTAACTTCTGTATCGTCGCTCACGTTGACCATGGGAAGAGTACCCTCTCCGACCGACTGCTCGAACTCACGGGCACTATCCAGCCAGGATCGAATAAACAGGTGTTGGACAAACTCGATGTCGAACGGGAACGAGGTATCACTGTGAAGGCACAAACATGTACCATGATATATAACCATAACGGGGAGGATTATCTGTTGCACCTTGTCGATACACCGGGACATGTGGACTTTCGTGCCGAGGTTTCGCGCAGTTATGCCAGTTGCGGCGGAGCATTGCTTCTGGTGGATGCCAGCCAGGGTATCCAGGCACAGACCGTCGCAAACTTCTATCTCGCATTCGCGCAGGGCTTAGAGTTGATTCCTGTCATCAACAAAGTGGACTTGCCATCGGCCGAACCGGAGAAGGCACTCCAACAGATGAAAACGTCGTTTGAACTGGACACGGAAAATGCGGTGATGGTTTCTGCTAAAACCGGCCTGAATGTTGAGCAATTACTTCCTACTGTGGTTGAGAAGATCCCCGCGTATGTATACCATTCATAACCACTACCGTAACTCATTATTGACTGTACAACAGGCCTGTTGGTGATTGTCAGAAGCCCCTACGGATGTTACTTGTCGATTCCTGGTACGATTCCTACAAAGGTGTTATCTGTCTGGTACGAATCTTCGACGGTGAAGTTCGGGCAGGCGACCAACTCATTTCGTTCGCAACCGGCATCAAGTACTATGTCGGTGAAGTCGGCATCATGTACCCCCTCGAGACCTCACAGACCGTCCTGCGAGCCGGTCAAGTCGGCTATATCTACTTCAACCCCGGTATGAAACGGAGCAAGGAAGCTAAGATCGGGGATACTTACACCAAGGTCGGCTCCGAGAAAGCTGTGGAGCCCCTTCCGGGGTTCGAAGAACCCAAGTCGATGGTTTTCGTAGCCGCCTATCCCGTGGATGCGGATCATTTCGAGCACCTCGAGGATAGCATCAACCAGCTTATGCTCAATGACAGAAGCATCACTGTGCAGAAGGAATCTTCTGAAGCTTTAGGTGCAGGGTTTAGACTGGGATTCCTTGGGACACTCCACTGTTCTGTTTTCGAGGATCGTTTGCGCCAGGAGCACGGTGCCAGCATCATCATCACGCCTCCTTCAGTGCCGGTAAAGGTGATATGGAAGGATGGCCGCGAAGAGATTGTGACCAGTCCCGCTCGCTTCCCCGAGGAGGATGATCTGCGATCTAAGGTCGCAGAGATCCATGAGCCTTACGTGCTTGCTACCCTAACCTTCCCCGATGAGTACCTCGGCAAGGTGATCGAATTGTGCGAAGCGAACCGAGGCGAGCAGAAAACCCTTGAGTATTTTACATCAACTCAGGTCATCCTCAAGTATGAACTGCCTCTGGCACAATTGGTCGACGATTTCTTCGGAAAGCTCAAAGGATCCACCAAAGGTTACGCTACTCTGGACTACGAGGAATCTGCGTGGCAGCCGAGCAACATCGTGAAACTACAGCTGCTGGTTAATAAAGCCCCTGTGGATGCTGTTGCGCGAGTTGTTCACTATAGCCAAATAGAACGACTGGGAAGGAAATGGGTGACAAAGTTCAAGCAGCACGTCGATCGACAGCTCTTCGAGGTCGTCATCCAAGCTGCCGTCGGACGCAAAGTCATTGCAAGAGAAACCGTCAAGCCGTACCGGAAAGATGTCCTGGCCAAGCTTCATGCCAGTGATGTCAGCCGACGGAGGAAGCTCCTGGAAAAACAGAAAGAAGGCCGGAAGAGGCTCAGGGCTGTCGGAAACGTGGTGATTGAACAAAAGGCGTTCCAAAACTTCTTATCGAAATAGACTGTTTCGAGAAAGACTGTAAATTACGATTTATTGTATTATACCTGTTAGAACTTATTTTATCTCTGCCTTGGATAGCAGACCCCGGCATTCAATATGATTACCCGTTTTGGAGTTTTTGAGCATTGAATGTTTAGGTAAGCGGTGTATATCAAGAGTTATTGAATGTGATTGGACGGCGCAGCGGAGGGGCCGCGGGAGCTTTCAATTTGGCCGCAGAAAAGTTCGTCGCCGACCCCGCCGCGGTGATGTCTTGCAGTTTCTCTTTCATCCGTGTCACTGACATTTTCGATTGTGCAACTGGCATTCACACGGATTAGCGGGGTGCTATTGTCCTACATATACCTCGACGAGCCCCTTTTTCGGTTGTGCGCTGACCGCAGCGCCCTACAAAACTTCTCTTTGAGTTATTGCCTCCCTGCCATGTTCAGCTCTTGACAGGCGTGATGCAGCCTCCGGAAGGTGTGCAGGTCGATCTGGGCAAGGCCCAGGTCATTGACCGTGCCCCGAAAGTTATCAAGGAATTGAAATTTGGTGTTCTGTAAGAACCCTGGCCGGGTGTCACTTGTGGGTTGTCTGGGGACCATGGCTGACCTGCTTGCGCGTGACTCATATAGGTCCAACGATGATATTGTCAGCCAAGGCGTAGTCGAGGTTTCCGACCGGAAGTTCTTTGACCTTGACCGTGATCGATCGGTCGTTGCCCATGGCCCCCTCGATTCGCGCATGGGTGTATCGAGCAAAACCGCATCATGTCAAACCTGTGGCGGTGCCCTTCAAGTCTGTAACGGCCATTTCGGCCACGTGAAACTCGTCCTGCCCTCGTTCCATGTAGGGTATTTCAAACGTGTTATCACCATCTTGCAGGAGATTTGCAAAGAATGTTCGCACATTTTGCTTCCGGAAGGAGAGCGTCGTGCTTATCTCCGTGAAATGAGACGCCCGGGCTTGGATAATCTGAGAAGGTTGCAAATAGCGAAGCGCATCAACGAGCGATGCCGGAAGACTCGGAACTGTGATGTGTGTGGTGCCGTCAATGGTGTAGTCAAGAAGGCTGGAACAAGCGCACTCAAAATCACGCACGATAAATTCCGTGCCTTCAATGCCTCTACCTCTATGAAGAAGATCCCCCCACCCAGCAAGATTGTCTTCGACCGATCGTTTGAGGAAGCTAGGAGTCATAATGCGGAAGTTGAAAAACATTACAAAAAAGCGCAGGATGATATGAATGCTTTGCGTGTTTTAAACCTCTTCAAGAGAATCTCCGATACAGACTGCGAACTATTGGGACTGGACCCGAAGGAAGCCAGACCCGAAATGTTTCTCTGGCAGTATATCCCTGCGCCCCCTGTGTGTATCCGTCCTTCTGTAGGCCAGGACGCTTCCTCCACCGAGGATGATCTAACTGCCAAGTTGGGTGACATTGTCCAGAGTAACATCAATCTTAAGAACGCATTGCTCAAGGGTGCCCCCGTTCAGACTATCATGGAATGCTGGGACTATATGCAGCTTCAGATTGCTGTCTATATCAATAGTGACGTACCTGGCTTGAACAAAGCAGACTTGGGAAAGCCCATACGAGGTTTTGTGCAGCGACTGAAAGGAAAGCAGGGACGATTCCGTGGTAATTTATCTGGAAAGCGTGTTGATTTCTCTGGTCGAACTGTCATTTCGCCTGATCCGAATTTGCGAGTCGATGAAGTCGCTGTTCCCGAACTAGTGGCGAAGAATATGACTTATCCTGAGGTGGTCACACGGTACAACAAGGAGAAGCTGCAGCAGAGAGTTCGGAACGGAACCAAAAAGTGGCCAGGAGCGAACTACCTGGTCAAGAAGGGCTCAACCTTCAAGACCTTCCTCAAGTACGGTAGTCTCAACATGATTGCTGATCAGCTGCAGGAGGGAGACGTTGTCGAACGCCATATTGAGGACGGTGATATCGTGCTTTTCAACCGCCAGCCCTCTCTTCACAAGCTCAGTATTCTTTCCCATTTTGCCAAGGTCCGCCCTCACAGAACTTTCCGGTTGAACGAGTGTGTCTGTAACCCATACAATGCCGATTTCGACGGAGACGAGATGAATTTGCACGTACCTCAGACCGAAGAAGCGAGAGCCGAAGCCATGGAGTTGATGGGTGTCAAGAACAATCTGGCAACGCCCAAGAACGGTGAACCCATTATTTCCGCCATCCAAGATTTCATTAGTGCTGCGTACATCTTGAGTAGTAAAGATAATTTCTTTGATCGCCGCTCGTTCACGCAGATATGCCTTTACATGCTTGGCCCGGAAACTCGTTTCGATCTTCCCCCACCCGCAGTGCTCAAGCCACAGATGCTTTGGACCGGCAAGCAGGTTTTCAATATTCTCATGCGTCCCAACAAGGACGACCCTGTGATGGTCAACTTGGATGCTGCATGCAGAGAATACAAGCCCCCCAAGGATGGCCGCCCGAAAGATCTTGACCCGAAGGACGGATGGCTCGTCATTCGTAATTCGGAGGTCATGTGTGGTGTGATGGACAAAGCTACTATCGGTTCAGGAAAGAAGGACAATGTCTTTTATGTTATGCTGAGAGATTTCGGTCCTCCAGCAGCAGCAGAGGGCATGAATCGTTTGTCGAGGTTATCCGCGCGTTGGTTCACGAATATGGGTTTCTCCATCGGTATCACAGACGTCTATCCAAGCGCGAAGCTGCTACAGTCAAAGCACGACTTGGTCGAAACAGCATATGCACAATGTGACCAAGTTATTGCCCAATATAAGGCGGGTACCCTGGAGACGTTCCCTGGATGTGACGAGTTGCAAACTATGGAGAATAAGATCTCCGGTATTCTCAGTAAGGTCCGACAGCAGGCCGGTGACGAATGTATCGCCCAGCTCAGCAAGTACAATTCTCCTTTGATCATGGCTACGTCTGGATCCAAGGGTTCAAGTATCAACGTGTCTCAGATGGTTGCCCTCGTCGGTCAGCAGATTATTGGTGGTCAGCGTGTGCAGGACGGTTTCCAAGATAGAACACTTCCTCATTTCCCGAAAAATGCTCGCCAACCGCCTTCGAAGGGTTTCGTCCGCAATAGTTTCTTCTCTGGGTTAGAGCCTTATGAGTTCATTTTCCACGCCATGTCCGGTCGTGAAGGTCTGGTCGATACGGCCGTCAAAACCGCCGAGACTGGTTACATGTCGCGTCGTTTGATGAAGTCCTTGGAAGATCTCTCTTCCCGGTACGATGATACCGTGCGGAACTCTTCCGGCCATATCGTTCAGTTCCAGTATGGTGATGACAAGCTGGACCCCGTGGATATGGAGGGCAAAGCTAAGCCTGTTCATTTCGATCGAACATTCATTCACTCTGAAGCAACCACCTATGATAATGACGAACGCAGTTTGCAGCCTGCAGAGATCATGGAAGTGTGTGAGGAGATGCTCTCAAAGGAGCGCGCTAAATTGGTCCGGAAAGACTTGCTCGAGGTGGAACTTGGTTACATGGACCGGTCTAACCACGGTGTTGACCAATTCGAAAGTGCACGCGACTTCCTCGAGTCCATTCAGCAATATGTTTCCGGCAAAGCAGACAAATTGATCTCGCGAGGCGGTGATATTGATCCTTCGGATGAGAGGAGTCAGCAGGGCTTGAACCATACAGGCAAATTGACCGAGACGACGCTCAGGACCTTCATCTCTGCATGTTTGATGAAGTACAAGAAGGCCCAGGTTGAGCCCGGTCACGCCGTGGGAGCTGTTGGTGCGCAATCTATCGGTGAACCCGGTACACAGATGACACTGAAGACTTTCCATTTTGCTGGTGTCGCTGGTATGAGTATCACACAGGGTGTTCCTCGTATTAAGGAAATCATCAACGCCTCGAAGGAAATCAGTACGCCGGTCGTGTCTTGCGAGCTGGTAACCAAGGACAATGTCATTGCGGCTCGGATTGTGAAGGGACGTATTGAGAAGACGTATCTCAGGGATATCACCCACTATGTCCGAGAGACCTGGACTGGCAAAGAGGCATACATCACGGTCAAGATTAACTGGAAGACCATCCAAGACCTGGCGCTCGAATTGAAGATCCAGGATATCCTGGCTGCCATCAAGAGCCACAGGCGCTTCAAGTCCGATGACTTGAAGTTCCGTTGCCAACGGTCACATATCCACATCCATATGGATGTGGATCCTGCTAGCAAGCTCGGTCTCTCGAAGACGGAAATTGCTGCGACAAGTGCTGATCCTTTCCTGCGTTTGAAGCATCTCAAGCGTCTACTTCCCGACATCCAGGTTCTCGGCCACCCTCAAGCCTATCGTGCGATTATTCGGACGGATGACACGTCGACTACCAACACCCTCCTTGTCGAAGGTTACGGTCTTCGGGCATGTATGAACACGATTGGTGTTGACGGCCTTCACACATCTACCAATAACGTGATGGAAATGCGCGAGGTCCTTGGTATTGAAGCCGCCCGGACGACCATTGTTCGTGAAATCAGTGAGGTGATGAAGGACATGGATATTGATCCTCGACACATGCAGCTTCTTGCTGATGTCATGACCTACAAGGGTGAAGTCCTGGGTATTACACGATTCGGTCTTGCGAAGATGCGTGACTCTGTCCTTCAGCTGGCCTCCTTCGAGAAGACCGCAGACCATCTGTTCGACGCTGGTGGAGCCGGCCGTACTGACCTTGTCGAGGGTGTCTCGGAGTGTATTATCATGGGTAAAACTGTGTCTCTAGGAACCGGTGCCATGGAAGTGGTCCGTCGGATGAATTTCTTCGAAGGCCAAATCGGAGCCCGGAAGACGACATTTGAAGACACTTGGAACAATGTCTGCGAAGCTCCTCTCAAATCGAAGAAGAGAGCTCGGACGTGATTGTATCATTCATAAGTGCTAATAGGTTTGGCAGTTTGCTACTTATAAAAGTGCATCACCGGGCGTTGGATGTCTTTTTGGCTGTTCATGATATTTTGCGCATTAGCGATATTGAGGTAGTGATGGATGGGATCGCCATCCTTGTACTATTGACTACGTGTTATTGTTACCATATGAATCAAACGATGATATGTACTTCATAATCGAAGTTCTATACTGTATACTACCTAAGTACTGCCTCCGTCCTGTAGATCATCTGTAGGGAATCACTTGCCGAATCGGGTTATATTAACAGATACGCGCCCCACCGCAATGATCTCATACTACCAGTACCCCATCTGTACCTCTTCACTTCCAACCACTCTCCCCGTATATACTCACCCATCCACAGTAAACAGAAATGACATCCCTCCAAAGCCTCCAATCAACCTACCGCCTAAACTCAGGCCATGAGATTCCCATCCTCGGCTACGGCGTAAGTCAACATACCCCATAAACCGTTAACCCCCCTCAAACACAGTCACTAACAAACCCCCAGGTCTACCTAATGTCCGTCTAACCCTCACCACAAAGATACCCTGAAGACTAACCTGAAATAAACGAAAAGCTCCCCATCCAAAACCGAGAGTCCCGTCCTCGAAGCGTTCAACACCGGCTACCGCCATGTACACACCCCCATCTTTACAAATACACATAACTCGAAGGCTAACAGCAGCATAGGTCGACTCAGCAATCATGTACCGAAACGAAAAGGCCTGCGGCCGCGCAATCGCAAACTCCGGCCTAGACCGCTCGCAAGTCTTCTTTACAACCAAGATCCCGCCAGGGTCTATGGGGTATGAGAGGACCAAGCGCGCCGTCGAGGGTAGTCTCCGGGAAGCGGGGGTGGAGTATTTCGATCTGTGGGTTTCCCCTTTCCCCCATATACCATATAACATTGAGCAAGTAGTATAGAATGATAACTAATACAAAAACAGAATCCTGATCCACGCCCCCTACGGCGGCAAAGAAGACCGTCTAGGTTCCTGGCGGGCGCTCGTCGAAGCCCAGAAAGCCGGCAAGACAAAGTCCATTGGGGTCTCCAACTACGGGATCCACCACCTGGGCGAGCTGGAGGAGTACATCCAGCAAGGAGGAGGCGGGGCCATTGATGTCGGCCAATATGAGATCCATCCGTGGTGCGCGCGCGAGGATATCGTGGAGTGGCTTCAGACGCGGAATATTGTTGTCGAGGCGTATTCGCCTCTTGCACATGGGACGCGCATGGGTGAGACGGTGCTGAAGGAGCTGGGGAAGAAGTATAATAAGTCGCCTGCGCAGATTATGATTCGGTGGTGTTTGCAGAGGGTGAGTTTTCCGATCTTTCCATTTGGGTGTTCTGTTATGGTCTTTGATGCAGTGGGCTAATTGAGGGTTGGTTTGTAGGGTCTGGTGCCTTTGCCGAAGTCTGCGACGCCGAGTCGGATCAGGGAGAATGCGGAGGTGTTTGATTTTGAGTTGGATGAGGGTGATATGAAAAGACTTTTTACGGGGGAGTATGACCCTACGGATTGGGATCCTACACTTGATTTTGACTAGGTGGTTTTATAGAGTTGTGGGGGTAGAGGTAGATCTATAGAATATGTGAATTCATACTTTTATGGTAGATTTAATTGTGTATTTCTAAGTAGTATATGGTTTGCTATAGTCTTATTGATTATGAAGACAGTTGAATATGTGATAGATTACCGTAAACGGATTTAATAGGCAAAGGGCACCCGCGGGGCTGCTTATCAATTCAACGGCCACTCTCCGAAAGTTTTCCCTCCTCGCGACAATCCCCTCACTACCTCCCCTAAACCCCCATTTTCCCAACCAGACGATACTCTGTCCCTATCATAGCCTGTCCGCCATTCAACAGCGACCATGAAGCTAATCCTCTCCACCTCGTAAGTGGCGATAACCCTGCGGCAACTGAGATTACCCCTCGGCGAAAAGAACTCAACCCCGCGGCGCGCAAACTCCGTAACATATACTAACAACAATACTGGCCAGAAATCTTATGGAGTCCGGAGGTCACACCGTAATCCGGCAAGCTTCGACGGAAAAATCCAACGTGGAGTTGATCAACTCGCTGCGGTCAAATTTCCAGACGGCGCAACAATTATCTTCGGCCGAGACGACAACGACCCCGCGGTATCGGGCTTGGACCCGGGAGACCGAAGACGGCCTCTACATCCCGGCGATTGACTTCGCGCAGCGCGGGCTGGCAGAGGAGAAGGCGCAGTACGATATTACGGTCAAATTGTTCTATTTGCCGGGGATTCCGGCGTCGCGACGATGTGCGCATACGAGGGAGGCAATTGATTTGGTCTTGAAGGAGCTACATGTGGATTCTATTGATCTATTGATTGTTTCTTTCCCTGGGATTTTGTTCGACGCGGAGGATGATAGTGAAGAGGAGGTGGCGTCGGATACTGGGAGTGAGGAGCCAGATGATTTTGACAGCATGATTCGCACGTGGAGGGTGCTCGAGGATCTCAAGGAGCAGGGTAGGATTTCTCAGCTAGGCGTGGCGGAGTTTGGCAGTGAGAGACTCGCCCGGTTCCTGCCGCATACGAAGGTCAAGCCCTCCGTCGACCAGATCAACCTCAAGGACTGCTGTGTCGTGCCGAAATCGTTGATTCTCTATGCGAAATCTGAGAATATCCAGCTCCTCACCCACAACGACTGCATGGACATCCTGCCCATCGGTACCACACGGGAACTCCTTGGTCCGGGCGAGAAGGGTGCCGGCATTCTTGCTTCCGCTCCAGATGCGGACGACGGAATTCAGGGTGATGTCGAGCCGCAGTGGGTGGTCAAGTATACGGCTGTTGTCAAGGACCGCGGTGTTGTCGAGAACAAGGGCTATTTCGCACTCGCCGATATGGGAACCTGCGTCAAGGCTCGTGAAGAATGATTGATCCTCCTCTCTCCATCCCCCGCCGATTCCCCGTCTGTCTATTCCCAGATTCCCCCCATCCGAGGCGTACCTCGGTCTCCAGCATTGTGACGATAAAGCGTGGCGTTTGTCATTGACGATGAATGAAAGCATGATTCCTCCCGCAAAACTCCTGGATCATAATCCCAACTCCAACCCATAACCCGTAATCCCATAGCACATAAACATAGGGAGACGAAAGTAAATAAAAATTCACCCAATCATGCTCCTCTTGCGGCCTCTCATTCTAACATCCTGCAACTTCTTCAACGTAACCGCGGCCCCCTTATAACTATGCTTATACCCCTCGAGCACCTCCTCAAAGAACTTCTCAGCCCGAGGATGCGTGCTCCCAAAAGCCCTCTCAAGCACATACAAATCGACCGCGCGATCCTCCTCGGAGGAACTCTGGCCAGCTAGCCCAAAATCAATCAGAACCACATCGCCGTGCATGACGGGACTCTCCCCAGCCACAGCATCGACCACCCCTGTCCTGAGGATCAAATTACTCGTTGTCAAATCCCCATGAATAACCCCAGCCTTATGCAGCCCCCCAACAACACACCCAATCCCTCTCATCAACGCTCTAACCTTCTCCTCCTCCCTCCGCAACTCCTCCTCACTCAACAACCCCTCAGAAGCCTTCATAAAAGCCTCCCACCGCTCAACAACAACCCGCACAACCAACCCCTCAATCCACTCCATAAGCAACCACGCGCCTCCATTCCCATTCTCCCCACCCTGTCCCTCCCAGTCCAGCGCCAGCACAGCGGGGACATTGACCCCCTCCCGAACGAGCTTCACTAGACACCGCGCTTCCTGGAGGATGCGCTGGCGAGTCAATCGGCGGTCGAGGATGGGGTGGCGGTAGGGTTTCGAGGGCCGGATTTTCAGCGCCGCGGGCGTGTTGGTGTTGAGGTGGATTGTTTTGTACAGGTGCGCTTCAGCGCCTTGCGTGAGAAGCGTCGGTGGTGGGGTTGTGTTTGTGAAGAGTTTCGGGAGGGGTGGTGGGGTGTAGGGGTCTTGGGCCATCTTGGGTGGTGAGTCTTTTGGATGAGTTGGATTGAATTGATGTGTTGCTTGTTTGTGGATTGCGTTGGTGGTTTGAGGTGTAGTTTGGTTTGGTTGGTTGGTATGGGATTGGTGAGGGGTGTTGGAAAAAAGTTACTGGGTTGGAGGTTGCTTGGTGGGGTGCTTCTTGGTTGCCTGAGCAATGAGGCATCACCATACCGGAGAGGAGTTGGTGAGCTATGTGTGGAAGGGGATTATGAGGATGTGCACTTTTGTTTATTCTTCTAAGCGCTAGGAGTAGATGATAATTCCCAAGTGATACTATAAATATGACCTTTGCCACCTTACATGACGTTTGTACTTTATCCTACCATACCCGGCGGGTAAGTAGATGAAGCCCTAAGTCATAGATGCTGTCAACCATGAGCATGTCAAACTCAACTTGTCAATAGGCAGTGAACAATAAATATAATTCACAATGCAGGCTTTTATTACCAAGCCAAAGAAGTATCACACGCATTTCCAATGGAGTAAGGAGCTGTCCCTTAGAAGTGTCATGGGAAAACACTACCTAGAGCAGACCCTATATAGGTGTGAGTATAACCGTACAATTGATTCCGGTTGGATAGTAAAACGATTTTTTTTTTCTCTTATTCTCTTTTTTCAAAAAAAGAAACTACTGACCAAGTAAAGAGCCTGTCTCATCAGGGTAACATTTGTCTACTTTGCTGAAACCAATTACATCGAGAAACTGAGAGGGGCTAGATGTGCGCGGTTAGCCTGGGCTGTAAGGGCGTTTAGCCTTGTCGTAGATGGGAGACTATTCAATCCACATTAATTCTTTCAACTCCAAAAGATTTACCTACTCAGTATCTTCGACGAGTCATTGTATTCTTGAAGCATAAACCTCAGTGCCTGATCATATATAAAACGGAAAGAACAGGGGATCTACGTTCTTGGAGAACTAGAGTACATTGCATCTGTCATCCACTCGAATATCAAACCAAAAACACCATGGCAGTTCTATCATCTACCAAGAATGAGGCTTTAAGATTGAAGTCTGTGCCCTCTTCACAAAAGCATGAGTGGGCTAGGCTCACTGGCTCAAATGAGCCTATCACGTACTCGATGAATCTCTGCCTCATAAGTCTTGTTTATGCTATCTGGCTAGTACTCAAGCGTTGGGAAGAATACTTTTCTCCCGCTGGCCAGAAAAAAGCTGGTATTATAGATTCCAGAAATTCAATAAGCTCTTCATCACAGGAGAAGCTTGATGAAGATGAAGATGAAGATGGCTTATTTTCAGAGCAAAGGATTGGAGAGCACCATAGGATGGCTATTCGGAAGTTCGGGAAACTTTGGGAGCAGTTAATCCAACCACTTTCATAGGTATCTCTTTCTAAGACCAGAAGGAATGCTAATATTTGCATGCTGAAGAATGGCGGAAGAGAATCCAATAGATCACTAGAGCGCGGCGTTCCTGAATGCTCCAGTCATGCTCACAACAGCCTACGTGAAGAAAAGACAATAAAAGCATTCGAGGACTGGCTAGCTGAGGAAGCCAATACTGCAGATTCACTGCCTAAACTCGGTGTGTACGGCCAGGATTTCTTGAGTGTGTTGATCACGATAGGGACGAAGCGGGAATATACCATCCCTCTCTTCCGCTGGGTGATGAACACGTATCCAAGCATGTATATGAGAGCTGAAAACCGGTCCCAAAAACAGTCTTTACTAGCAGAGGCCCACTCATGGCCCAACTCCAAGGCATTCGTGCCATACTTCCTCAGGAACTATCCCGCGCAAACCGCAAAGATACTCGAATTAGATAACTCTGTACTTCTGGACATCCTCCCTGTCATGATAGAGGAGGATTGTTCAGAGCCTATCTTTGCAAAACTGAACTCGGTAGTGCTCGCTACTACCGATAGCCAGAAGAACTCAATTCTACATCTCTTGTGCGAATATGAGGTGGAAGAATGGGAATCCACGCAAGACGCGGACCATTGGACCGAGAAGCGTGTCAGGTTGATCAAGAACTTCCTTACATACTATCCATACTCCGTCCAGTTGAGAAATTTGAGCAACCAATCTGCGTACCAGCATCGGATTCGCACGTTCGCTGCGTGTAAGGAAGTGGTACCCAAGGAGAAGATTGACCCTTCCCTAGGTTTTGGTCTTGAACCGAGAGAATCGAGAGATGATAAGATCCTCACACTGCTGAAAGAAAGAATAATGAATCTCAACGATAATGAATTGATTGCGGCTCTTTTGTATGGTCAGATACAAAGTAAGTAACCAATAGCCCTTCCAAGTAATGTAGAGTTGATCATCTTCTCTAGGGCGTGTGTTGTATCTAGATTTGACAGAACTTGGACACATGGACAAACCAAAACCCGCCAGCACTGTCAAGGATCTAGTTCGTGGAATCTAGTTTGAGAGTATATTAAAATACGTGCGAATTCCCTCCTTCAAAGTTGCAATGTACCCACGTCAAGACAATAGGGACAATCATCAGGAGCAGCAGCTTGTGAGAAAGGGAAACGTAGAAGATATCTTCAATGTTTTGTGGGAGAAAGGTGTGAAAAAAATTATCAAAATCAGTGTCGATGACGATGAGGATCTGCCCCACAGTGATGAAGTGATTGAGACCTTGGGGAAATTTGGCATTGAAGAATGGGACTGGCGACGGAAGGACCTATGCAGCAGTGTGATCCTCAAAGCGGCGCGAAATTCTCGAAAGGTGTTTCTATACTCAACAGGGAATAAAGCAGTGCTTTGCAGCTGGTCAGCACCAGATGGATTGAACTATCTGAAGAAGGTAACCAGGCAAGTTTCATGAGCCGTTGATATTGACTCACGGATTCTATAGTTGACAGATGTCCATGTACTCGTACAGCCACGAGTTGAGAGCCCTGAACGTATAATTCTATACCTCAATAAGTTTACGAGTAGGTTAGAAGGAAACAGAGACAAGAGCAGACCTCCAATAAACGTTGTTACTCGCATAGAACCGGCTGTTAACAGTCCGTCCTATATCGAAGGCAGGGAGAGATTCGAAACATGAGTATCCATTAGATATCACAGCTGTCTATTTATAGCTAATGAGTAACGCACAGAAATACCTGGCTGGATAATATGGATAGGTTTGTATCTTTTGTTAGGAATATACCTGAACCTGGCCGTGAAGTGAGGATCGCAGTGATTGACGATGGAGTCGATAAATTCCGGGAAGATTTCGAAGATAGCATAGTTGATGGAATATCTTTCTTCTCCCCTCAGAAAGATCAATTCGCTGGTACACGACCATACTACTTTTCAACCAGTGGCCACAGCACCGTAATGGCGAAGACTATTCGACGATTGTGCCCCACGGCCAAGCTCTATGTCGCTCGGTTGGATCAGGGGGTCAACGGAGAGCCTACTATCGAATCAGCAATCAAAGTAAGTCAATAGCTTGAGTGGGCTTTACAGATATGTTGCTGATAACCATGATTGTCTTCCTAGGCAATTTCCTGGGCTACGGCAATCGGTGTGGATATCATCTCAATGAGCTCAACATTTCCTGAACTGCGTGATACAGAGTCAAGAAAGCTAAGTGAGGTAATTGACGAAGCCCACAATAATAAGATCCTCACTTTCGCCCCAGTTACCGATCAAGGATTTAACCGGCCTGATACCCCGTTTCCAGGCAAGATACCAGGTGTCTTCCGCGTCGGCGCGGCAAGAGACAGCGGAGTGCCGGATGACCTTTCCCAAGGATATGAATTTCTCTTCCCTGGCGGGAGCAGCGTAACCAATGTTCGGCAGTGTGAGGAAGGTAGTACCGGTGCAAACTCCGAGGTGATATTGGGAAGCTCCTTTGCAACCGCTGTGGCGTCAGGTCTTGCAGCCTTGATACTCCATTGTGCGGAACTCTGCGATCTGGGGGACGAATACGGCGATGACCTTCGCCAGTACCAAAACATGAAAGACATTTTCCGCGTCATGGCATCGGACTCCCCGCAATCATCATATATACAGGCAGAGAAGTGGTTCCCAGCCAGCTTTGAGAACAAGGATTGGATGGAGGATGAGGACCAAGACGAACTTCGCAGGAGAATCACCGCGATTATCACGTAGGTGGCTTCCAACTACTTCCTTCTCATCACAGTACTAATTCGGGTTTTCAGGCCTTGCATTATTAATAGGCCCTGCTAGTATGCATGAAACAAAGAAAGAAAGGGTGGCCAGTCAGGCTATGTAGTTGGCAAGGAGATTGTCCGTTAGAGGCTTTGGATTTCCATTGTCTTTGGTGTGCCCTGGAAAAGTCTATACATGATAAGGCTTTGACACAATAAATGACCAGGACAAAGAGATAATCGGCTGTGTCCGGAAGTATTCAAGACACTACCTACCAATATAAACTATTGCCCTTCGTGTATCCTCGACTACAATAGGCCCGCCCCACAGTATCTAAATGGCAGAGTTTGCATCCTACCCTTATTACCAACCGTCCTTTAGGCCAAGTCATTCTCTCTAATAGTACTCTTGTATCTCAGTCAGATCAACTAAGGACATAATAGGTTCTCCAATCGGTAAAATGACCCAACCTCACAGAAAATGGGGCAAAAGCGCAAGTAGACCACACCCTCATAAACGAAGTATCGCAACTGACAAACAAGGTCTAACTTGATCGCAGACCCCCCTACTCGTTGGTGACAAAGAGGAAAGTGCAAAACATATGGTAAGAGAGGTACTTGAGACACTCGAATGCAATGGCTCATTACGCGCCAATGGCTGCTTGTGGCGTTATCACGTCAGACTCGAGACTGAGACTCCGGACTACCACAATCTGAGTCTAGAAGAAGTTGTAAGTATAAGCACCTCCAACTTGGTATACATGACTGTATTGACATAAGCCAGGGCAAGTGAAGGATATAGAGAGTGTCCCGGGTGTGCTTACCAAGTTTGTTGAGGCTAACTTCGAAGGGATCCTTATCGAAAGAAACATGGCGAAGCTCACTCTTGAGATTGAAACGGTGAAAGCTGAAAAGAACCACGAGAAGGATCTCGATCTCATTTTACTGATAGGTCTTTGGTCTGTAGGGTTGCTGGTGATTATGTTGCTCTTGTATCGTGCATCTTTCTTGAATACTCCCTGGGGTCTTTGATTCTGTGCACTGCTCATCGAGTCATCATATTAAGGTTACGTTCCCTAACATGGCAAATAGCATCGGCTATATATCATCTTCGTGTGAGCTCGTTGAAAAAGTGAGTCAATAGACCTGTCGTGACTCAAACCTCCAGGCACAATGAAACAACAAAGTTGCGGTGTCCTTGTATCACCTTTTCTCACTTCGAACCCTATCAACATAGAAGATAAATTTAATAGTGGAGCTGTACTCCTTTCCAGTTTTAATCTTGTGAACTGAGGACGAATTTTTCGTGTGCTATATCCCTAGGTTTATGTTCTAATTAGTAACTGCTTCTTGAAAAAGAAAATACGTTGAGAAACTCAACAGTTTAGTACCATAGTTCCTTGTATAGTCTAGTCTTCAAGCTGAGGATTGCAGACTCTAGACACGAAATGTATGATACTATTAACCTTCTTATGTAGATGCCTACGGTCTAACAAACTTGGACAGGAAGTTTACTTTGAAAGAAAATTTTGATCCTTTCAATGTTGATGTTGATTGGGTGAAGGAACGATGTCCAAAAATTAATATATACATGTGAACGAGTATTACCATGCAAAAGTCTATGCAACGCAATAGAGAATATGCAAGACGAGTTGGAGTAAAGCAAGCGACTATGAAACATAAGAATTGCAAGCGGGGAGATCATGCTACACCGCAAACTCCTGCTACACTAAAACGACATTCGCAAGAACGAGATTAGAAGCGATATATAGCGTGGAAGGAGGATCGGATCAACTGAATTGAACATAGTTTGCTTTGGTAATGGTTAGTCGCGGCATAAAGCCAGTAATGCAGAATAAAGAGCTTACCAGGGAATTGTCCTTCCCGTCCATCGACGCGACCAGTCCACCATTCGTTCTGGTTGTCTGTCCGTTGCACAATCTCGATGACATCTCCCGCGGAAAAACTGAGATCGCCATGTGCTTGCGCCTCATAATCATACAGTGCTGTGACCGTTTCCACCGGTGCGGCGAACCTTGCTGGCTTCGGCTTCGGGGGTGGAGGAGCTGGCTTCGCTTTCGATTTGGCTGCCGCAACAAAGCTGCTGCCGCTTGTTGCAGCAGAATAAGGAGGGGGAGGGTTTTCAACGACGTCGGGATCCTTTTGCCGAGGGGAAAACTTATTTTCCTTTTCCAACTTGTCCTTGCCAAATTTCGAGTTCTGTTGGCGGATACCCTTTGTCTTGAAGTGAACGATGGTCAATTCTTCAGCACGTTCCTTGACATCCCCGCGCTTATTTTCGTACGCTTCCTCAACGTCCAACGTGAGGTCGAAATAGCCAATGTTCATCCCCTGCATTTTTTCATGAAGAGTGTAAAAGACGTTCAGTTGCATGTAGTAGAACGACTGGAATAGTGGTCGAATGAATTCCGCCTCGAGAGCAAACAACTTCGGCAGCTCGTCCTTGAGCAAGTCGTTATAGTAGTTATATTCCTGAGTGGCTTGCTCCACATCGTTTTCAGCCTTATAGAGAGCCTTTTCATCCTTGAGAGACTTGTCTTTCTTATCTTGAAGTTTCTTGAGGGAGGCCCTATGCCGATCATAATCCAACTTCTTATGGTCTCGTTTTACTGCAACTTTGCGGATCACTTTAATGACCTCCAGCAACTGATCCGCAGGACTGATGATGCGGCTTTCAATCATTTCCAGCTCGGGCGCGAGAGATTCCTGGAGTTCGCGTACAATCGCTTCGTATTCTTCACAAGCCCGGATGCCTTCGGGGTTGCCTTCGATCGTATACGAGCTTGGATCCGATGCGCGGCCGGAGATCGGCTTGTATAGTTCTGTCATGGCCTTAGAGAATTCGATTTGATGGTTGAGCATGCCTTATAGAGTCCATTAGCGAGACAAATTAGGCCAACGAAGGCGCTAGAGAGGGATGAAGGATTGTACCATTAATGGCATCAAAGTACTTCTTTGATTCATCGTGCAATTTCTTAGTCTCCTTCTCGAGTTCTTGAAAACGCCGCTCCGCATCACTATAAACTACGTCCTTCGTGTGTTCGCCAATGTTGAATTTGGCCTTGAACTGTTGCGGCGCTCGGACAATGCTCTTCTGAAAGCCCTTCAAACTCATGTTTGATTCTGTCGCAGGCAGCGAAGCACTCCAGAAGAAATCGGGACAAGGAAGAGGAAAATAAGAGACGCTGGCAAGTCAGCCACAAGTGAACAGGTAAGAGGTATGATCCAAAGCAGTTAATAGGGAAGGAGAAGGAAGAAACGCGGCGGAGGTGGGGGAAGTAATCTTTCGCTCGGCGCAGTGCATTGGGGCTTGTAGGGCGGCGGAGAGCCGGTGACGGTTAGACTTCAGTTCGTTTGGCTCGGCGCTGTGGCTGTGCTATGACATAATACCTCGTTCTCGGAGAATAGGCAGCTGGCTGCACTTTCCTTAGTGCAGCTTTGCCAGATTTATACCTAACGGGAGAAAATATAAGATCGGTAGTTTCGAATAAAAACAACTTTGAACCTATTTATTGTTCTTGTTCTTGTGAGAATGGTATATTGGAGGGCCTCAAAGGTGTGGCACAAGCGTCGGGTCAGCAATGCCGAGTGAACAAATACAGGCGGATCTCGGGGGTTCATCCCTAGGTGCTAATGAATTAGGCACCAGAGTATCCAAAAGCTGGCACAACAGGGCTGAGTGATCCTCGGGGTGAACTGTTTTTCCTTGCCCTCCCTGGTCCTCCCGTGGTTTGCATCATTTGCATTATACTCCGGGTCAACTTTAACTGCTTTGAGAATTCCCCACAATAAAGTTGACACTGGAAATCTTACAACTCGTCTTGAACGGAGGTATGTTATCATCAATGGATACAATTGCCAGACTAGTGCAGACGAGACTTTTCCGCGGAGAGCTGCAGATTTATTTCGGTTATTGTACCCCACGTGATCCTTCGCGTCATTATCTGTGCCTTGGTCGCATATATTTGTCAGACCATGTTACCATTGAGGAAAACCATATTGAGCGTTACTCCAAGATAAATAGTACCATCTCCATACTTCACCAAAGGTGTTACCGGTTATACAGTATATCGTATCGTTTATCTCAAAAACCCGATGCCGGTTCCTAAAGGGGAAAGCACCTTCGGACTATCTGATAAATCCGATCGGGCTTAGTGGGCTCGGCAATGATATAACCGTACCCAAAGTTTTTCCCGTCTCTCGCTCTCCCTTTCCCTCCGTCTCCTCTTATCACCAACTGTCTATCGTATATGGCACAGTTGCGGATCCATCTCAATGATGTCTAATGTTACCCAATCAGCCCTGAGACAGGCAACTCGCGCCTACGCTCGTCGACTGCCATCGATGCAGCATGGCTCCTTCACTTCCGCCCTACCCAGACGGGTGCTCGCCACTCCATCCAGACGGTTCTATGTCTCCGAAACCAAAGCTGGAAATGCTCAGGTTTCGGTAGATACCGCCATTAAGCAGGAGCAGAAGGATTTCATGAAACAAACTGGGGTGCAGTCGCAGAAGGTGGAGCTCCCTAGTTCTGGTGTTTCCGGCGATGCCTCGATGAGCCCGTCTGCCGGCATCCTCAAGCAGGCCACTGTCATGGATCAAGGAGCGCGACCGATATATCTCGATATGCAGGCAACAACTCCAACGGATCCCCGTGTCCTAGACGCCATGCTCCCCTTTTTGACCGGAATTTACGGCAACCCTCACTCAAGAACCCATGCATACGGTTGGGAGTCGGAAAAGGCGGTCGAGCAATCCCGAGAGCATATCGCCAAGCTGATCGGCGCGGACTCAAAAGAGATCATCTTCACTAGCGGTGCTACCGAGAGTAACAACATGAGCATTAAGGGTGTGGCGAGGTTTTTCGGGCGCTCCGGCAAAAAGAACCACATCATCACAACGCAGACCGAGCACAAGTGTGTTCTTGACAGCTGTCGGCATCTTCAGGATGAGGGCTACGAAGTTACTTATCTCCCCGTGCAGAACAACGGTCTGATTCGAATGGAAGACCTCGAGGCGGCCATTCGCCCTGAAACGGCCCTGGTCAGCATCATGGCCGTCAACAATGAGATCGGTGTCATCCAGCCCCTGGAACAGATTGGAAAGCTGTGCCGCTCCAAGAAGATTTTCTTCCACACGGATGCTGCACAAGCTGTGGGAAAGATCCCGTTGGATGTGAATAAGTTGAATATTGATTTGATGTCTATTTCGAGCCACAAAATTTACGGCCCCAAGGGTATTGGGGCTTGCTATGTCAGACGTCGTCCCAGAGTCCGTCTTGATCCCCTCATTACTGGAGGCGGGCAGGAGCGAGGCCTGCGCAGTGGTACTCTTGCTCCTCATCAGGTGGTTGGGTTCGGTGAGGCCTGCCGTCTCGCCGCCCAGGACATGGAGGTACGTTGTATTTCTTTCTTTTCGTCTTACGCGTACAATTTCTTTTCGGTCTTCCGATGATTATATACTGCAAATATAGGTTTCTGAGGCCGGTGGGGGTAGCTGCACGCCTAACGCGTGACCCATGGGCCTATGACGTCTCAGCAGGGGTGATGAGTTGACTGTTGCTTTGTTTATTTTGTTTGCCTCATACGACTATGCATCAGTGAACATCGCTAATTGAATTGGCAGTATGATACTAAGCACATTGATCGTTTGTCGAAGCGCCTGACCGACAGCCTCCTATCCATGGAACACACACACCTTAACGGAGATCCTGAACATCACTACCCAGGATGTGTCAATATTTCCTTTGCCTACATCGAAGGAGAATCTCTTCTGATGGCCTTGAAAGACATTGCTCTGTCATCGGGTAGTGCCTGTACCTCTGCGTCATTGGAGCCCAGCTACGTCCTTCGTGCCTTGGGTAGCAGTGACGAGAGCGCCCATAGCAGTATCCGCTTTGGAATTGGACGATTCACTACGGATAGCGAAATCGACTACGTACTCAAGGCGGTACAGGATCGCGTTCATTTCCTACGCGAGCTGAGCCCCCTGTGGGAGCTGGTGCAGGAAGGTATCGATCTGAACACGATCGAATGGAGTCAACATTAAACTGTAATATACCTCGGGCGGGGTTCCCTAATCCTCCGAGTGGCCGTCTAAATAGGTCTTTTGGTTGCTCGAAGATCGGTCTGGATCTCTTCTTCTCTCTCTCTGTTTTATACTTTCTGTCTTGAAATTTCCCGTTATTTCCCATGGGATGGCGTTAGCTGGGATAGCACTACGGATGGATGACGATCTCTGAGTAATTTGTATAAAGAATGAATCTTATTCGGACGACGGTTGGCTTCCTAAGCGTGGTTTATCTGTAAGTTGAACTAGTCAGCCCAAGTCCAGAGGCAATATGACGCCATTGCACATGGTATAAGATCATCGAGACCGTAGAATGCATCATATCGGACAAACCGGCCTTCCAGTGGTAGTATCACGAAGCAACAAATCCGAGTAGGGATCGAAAAGCAAACCTGCAGTAGCATGCCAGTGCACAGAGATCAGTTCAGATAGTTTTACAGTTTGAATACTCTTCCTGTATTTCAAAGTTTGTTCTTTGCAGCTCGCTGGTAGATGAACCAACATGACGATAACTCACGAAGTCCTATTCTTCACCCGCCTTTGTGTGAAATTTTAGGTGATCTGTTTTGCTATGTACCAGAATACTGCAAGAAAACTTGCCGCAGAAGACTGGATGCGGCCAAAGTGAGTAATGACTTCAAGTTCATTTGCGTCGGAGTTACTCCGGGGTTAACAGCCACGGTCACCGAGGTTTGAATAAGCTGATTGATAACGGGGCGGGAAGTCCGGCCCCTTGGATTCACCGCAGACCTCAATGGGGTGGCGTGGGTGCGAGCGAGCATGCGTAGACTCTCGCTTAATTGCAGCCGGCGGGTCCGAAATCGCACTCAACCGCCCATGGAAGGGGCTTCCGGTTCATTCTCTAGCACTCAGACTAGTGCACGTGATGGGACACCCCTTTCGCTTGCACCCAATGCTCTCCGCTGGTCTGGGATCAAGATAGAGTATATACTTATATAGATCAAGCTCTTGAAGCTCTAGTTGGTACCTCGATGGTACACTATTCTTCCCTCAAAAGTCGATCTTGATCCTTCCATTTTGCTGCTCAACTTTCCGGAAGCCCAGCGCCACCTCACCCTCCTGAAACCAATGAAGACCATATCGATACTACACCCCCGTCCGGGTCGGCGGCAACAATATGCCTGCCCATTTATTCCGTGCTCTGTAGTCGCAGTTGGCCCACTCCCTCCCATGCCCTTTATTGCGCATCCAACAGGCCTCTAGGCCACACCTCTCCGTCGAGCAACGGTAACGGAGGGGATTATTTCCCCCGTGCCTATTGTCCCGGTCTCAGGAGTCCGGTGGCACCCTCGCCATTAACCGCTGATTAATTCTCGTCATTTCCCGTCGATCTCCCACGGGTCTTCGTCGGTCTTTTCGTGAGGCTTTTTCTCTGGCTGGCTCATTTAAGGTTCCTCATCACGTCTTCACCGTGGAACATTTGTCTTCCTTCCTTCTTTTCCCTGTTCCTCTTCCATTTCTTGCCACACCCACTGGTTTGGCTGGTGCTTCACTGACAACTACCGGGAGAAACCCGGAACCCTCGGCCTTCTTTCGTGACCATCCATTGCCATCTTTTCGATGGGATCTGAGATATTCTTCTGATCTTACATCAGCCTTCCTTCGTTCTGGAGACTCTTTATACCCGTGGCTCGGCCTTGATCTTACGGATTGTTAATCCAAGGGGTCACGCGACCACAATCTTTAACGCACTAGACTTTGACAATGTATGTCCTCTACTCTCTGGCCATATAGGCTGTTTTCATAAGACTAATTTGACGTCAGTGCTTCCTTGGCCATCTTGCTCTTTGGTGTCTGTGTTAAGACGTCAGCACCGTTGAATTCGTTACTGTGATTTGTCCCCATCATAGTCATCATGCTTCCACCGGTTCCAGCACTAGCAGACTACGGCATTTCGCCAGACCATGGATTTCTTCCTCCCGAGCCACCTCTTGACGTCTTACCAGACCCCTATTATGCTCGGTGGGAGTGGATGGTTTCGAATTTACAATCGCTCTTGCTGAGTAGGAGGATCCGGAATGTTGTGGACCAGATGCCTACCTTATCCACGTCTTACCTTCAGTCAGAAGGTGAATGGAGAAGGGCCTATGTTGTCCTAGGATTCATCCTCCACGGATACGTCTGGGGAGGCAGCAAGCCGTCTGAAGTAAGTCACGCGTATGGTTTCTTCTGTACGGTTCATACTAACTCTCGCCAGAGAGTACCCCCTCAACTCACCGCACCCCTGCTCGAGGTTTGCCAACATTTGGAACTCCCTCCAGTTGCTACATATGCGGGGGTGTGTCTATGGAACTACAAGTCTATATTCCCCGAGGAAGCTGCAGACGACCTCAGTAACTTGAGTTGTCTGAACACATTCACGGGTTCATTGGATGAACAATGGTTCTACCTCATTTCTGTTGCCATTGAGGCTCGGGGTGCGCCATCTCTGGCGCTGGCGCTGCAAGCAATTGCCGCAGCCCGAGCTGGAAATAGCCTGGTGGTGACAGAATCCCTCCAAAGGCTCGCAGAAGTCATAGATGAAGTAGGAACGCTGCTAGAACGTATGTACGAGAATTGTGATCCGTATGTGTTCTACCACCGGATCCGACCCTATCTTGCTGGCAGCAAAAACATGGCTGATGCCGGGCTTCCTCGTGGTCTGCTATATGACGACGGGAGCGCAAAGCCCGAGTATCGTCAATACGGAGGTGGCAGTAATGCTCAGAGCTCCTTGATTCAGTTTTGGGATATTGCTCTGGGAGTGGAACACCGACCTACTGGTGAAACCCGTTCTGAAAACAATACGGACGACAAAGAAGGAGTTACAGGGGCACCCCGCCACGGGTTCATCCACGAGATGAGGTCATATATGCCAGGGCCTCACCGTCGTTTCCTAGAGCATGTATCCACAGTGGCCAATATTCGGGAGTATGTGGAGGCACGTCGTTCAGACAAAGCATTGTGCATTGCATACGACGCTTGTCTTTCTATGCTCCGGACCTTGCGGGACAAACACATCCAGATGGTATCCCGCTACATCATCATTCCATCCCGCGATGCCAAGGGCCGGGCACCTCGGTCTTCCAGTCCACGTAGGCATGCCTCTACCACAAACTTAGCGAACACTCGCAACGGTGATGGAAAGAATAGAAAGCTACGAGGAACGGGGGGTACCGCTCTAATTCCATTCCTTAAACAAGCACGAGATGAGACTGGCGAGCCGGCCATCGATGCGTGGGCTCGACGTCTTCTGAGTAATGCACCCGCCGAAGCCAGCTTTGCAGCCCTAAGCAAAGTCGGCGAGCATCCTGACGGTCATCTGCAGGTTGTCGGGTTGTCGGGAACATGGGCAGCAGACGACAGTGAAGGAGGCATTTGCCACTGGTGATCAACGATGACAGTATTTTTTTCGGCAGGGACTTGTGTGACTTTAGCGAATTGCGTGTTTGATATTTCAGCGTTTCGACCATTACTGCAGATGCAGTTTTCCTAGTTTAAAAGCTCTCGGGGACCATCATTCAACAGCTACCTGACGAGCCAATTACATCAATCCGCCCTGTACAGATGTGATGATACCATTGTGAATAGAGATTATTGCTTGTGATCTACCTCGCTTTCAGTTGTATGATTATCCGTATCTCAGCTCTCAGCGCTGTTACTATCAAAAATTGACTGTGGTTGATGCGATGTAATCCCGTTCTACCGTTACATATATACCTTAACCTGACGCTGTCAGGGTTCGAATTTGAGAAATCCAATTTCTCGAACAAACTCACCACCGTATCTAACAATGCGTTAAAGCCTGTCCTTATCAGGTGATGCGCGACGAATATTGGCCAAGTTTATATAGTTGGATGACCTAATACTCGGCCCGAGGTATTGCGACACTGGACCTAAGTCTTCCCACTCAACCGTATGGGTGAGTCGAAACTCTTGCTGTGCCTTGTCTTTATGATGGATACCGACGAAGTCCGGGACTCGATGGAGAGGATCAAGATAATGGTGTAAGCCAGTTTGGCTCTAAAGCCTTAGCCCAGCTAGGTTTGTCAGAGTTAGCTTCAGTATCTCAGATTGGAGACCAGCTTCGCTCTTGACTGTGTTTTGTGAATATTCGTTTCTACATACTTCATCTAATATGAATCCTTAAATAGTTCTTAATATATTGATTTACGAGCTAGCTGCTTTTAATCTTACTATTATCTTTGAACTCTATAGAAGTAGACTAGGCGTGATTGACTCGATAAATGAGAATAATTTTCTCCTGATATATGTGGTTATCGTGTTACTATCATATTACACATATCCATGGGAATATTCAAGGTAGTAGAGGTCAACTCTGCCCTTACAATAGAGCTCAATTACCATGTAGCGAAGAGGAACGATCTTCTACCCTAGATAGTAAAACATACGAAAATGTGTCTTTTCTTGAGTCCTATGTTTGATATATTTACATAATTGATTTAAGTTAGTTGTCCAGAGTAGTGATTTGCAGACTACCTGTAGTCAAGGGTGCCAACATGGACTATTAGCTTTGATCACATCCTATTGAACTTTGATTGCATGATCGGCGTAGCTTGATCGGCGTATAAGTCCTAGAAATGTCATATGGTCACCAACTACGGGGTACCAATTGGCGAAATACATCTCAAAAGCTATTCCGACAATAGAGCTGTCTCTTGTGTCGCTCGAACAGGCCCATCACACAACCTATATAGAGCCCGAAGTGCTTGGGGATTTGGTCTCCAAGCTATTCGTTCTGTTTCCAATCCAATATCTTCATAGAACTGATACCACTTCTGATTGTCCTCGTACTGCATATCCTGCACTGGTTGGTCACCTTTGCTCAAACAAAAAGTTATTTCAAGGTTGCTTGCCGAAGTATTTAGTTCTGTGGAAAAAAGTATTTTTTGTTCTATATTTATGTTAAATACTTAGACACTCTCTACTGCAAATCCTGTTTCATGATCAAGTTCTTACAGTTACTGAATGCTTATTACCGGTCAATAAGTGGTAGACTGTAGAACACGGAACTTTGCCATCTATTCTGCTTCATTCCATGTTATATCTGGAATGAGAAAGTTTTCTTTCTCGGTCTCTTTTTTGTCTCTTTGTTGCCCGGTAGACTCTTTGTAGAGTCTTTGATTTCCCCCAAATTGCCCACAGAAAAGAATGCACTGAGGTAGAATTGTCACATATAAAACCATCATGTCTGTATCCAGGCTGCTACCTTCTTAGTTTTATCAAAGTTAATAATCTTTTGCTGCGTTTCTAATTCACCTGCAAGGAGTATACCATACGAGGCAGGTAGTGTGTGTATCTCATTATTTTATTCAGACCTGGATCTATCCCAGGTTCTTTCCTTCAGAGACGATCTTCAACAACGCACATAGAGCCATAGTCCCTAAAAATGTACTAACACTTCACAATAGATCAACCCTCTACGGGACGCGACATCGAGATCCTTTCTCAACCTTCGCCCAGGGCCGTTATGTGTGTCTATTCTCTTCTGCGTAAGTTCTGTGGAGAATGCAGGTCTGGGGTTGGGCGCCCTCTGAGAAAGAGAATCACGGAGAAGACACCAGATATGCCCGAAGAGGTCGCAAGTAAGAGCAACTGTCCGCGGGAAAAGGGCAAGGACGGCATTTGCAAGGGAGCTAAGTTATGGAATACGACTCAACTCAGTCCAGACGGACTCTGTTACGATTGTGAGGTGATACGATCCCGAAGATGAGTTCTGGTTATAGTTTGTCAAATACATAGTCTGTGACATTTTGGCATGATTCTGACTGTCACATTCCATATTCAAGTACATTTCTTCAGGATGGGTAGAGTCCTCGAAGAGACTTTGGTGACGTGAAAAGAAGTGAAACACCATGTATACAACGGGGAGGAACTGTGCCAGGACAAGACAAAATCTCTCTCAACATGGGAAATTATGCTCATATGTGCAACTGTCTAAGTTCAAGACTATAGACTTGTAATTCCTTTTAGTTTGAAGCTTCTCTTAACCGTAAAAATCACCATTACCATTGCTCTTAAAAAGGCTACTTCATCACCAATTCTCAGATTAATCTCTTTTGATGACTTTCTCGCCTAAGTGGGACACATCATTCAGTATATCCTGGACTAGCTTTCAACGCATTGAAATGCGACACCTCCAATACTATATTCGCTTGCTTTGTCTATGACAGGCTCCAAAACTACTCCCAAATACGACCCCAACTAGCACTCATTGAAACCTCTGGCCAAAGCTTCCAGGAATAGCTCATAATTTTTCATCACATGAAACCTATTGCCCGTTGGTACAGGAGATTCCGGTTTCTCAAGCTCAAACTCTATGACCATCGAGGGTGTAAGCAACTTGCAGGGACCCAGCTATACATATCGACCCGACATGATTCTATACTTGTTACGAATTACCTACTTGCTTTGAACAAGTGATTGCATAATACCTCCTAACCCGTATATTCCCTGAATTAATGAGACAAATATTAATGTGCAACGCAGAAGACTAGCATATCAGAACTTGAAGCCATTAACGAGCTTCTTTGCTTCGTTGACAATAACAAGGCACACTGGCTCTGGACCGGCCATATCACATAGCGATTGGTACGTTGACGGACAGTCAGGGGCGGGAGGTATCTGATGCCAGCCCCTCTGACGCTCTTGTAAAGTGTCGATGAAAGACATGAAACAGTTCTCCTTACTAGGCCCACTACCGAAGATCTCCACTTTTACAGTTCTGCGCATGATATTCGCCCATTCCGAAGCGGCGATCTCCACTGAGAAAGACGGTATCACATTCCCTAATGAAGAAGGATCGTGTAATGCTTCAGGACTCGAGGCTGAGATGCAGAGTTGCTTCTGCTCATTGGCATCAGACGCCTGTTTCGCTTCTGCATCAATTGCCTCGAGGGCTCGTGCATAGCATGCCGCGATGCACATACATAACACGCCGAGCATGGTGCCGTTTTGAACGATGGACAAGTAACGGCGGGGGCACTCTTGGCAATACAAGACTTGCTTTGAGGAACTGACGCAGTTTCTGAGCAGGACCAAGTCACCTGGCACGGCGATTCGATCTTTGGCCCGGAGTTGTTCCATCATAAGATAAAGCAAGGAGAGACATGCACAGCTGCTGGGCTCGGCTTGGTTCTGAAGAAACAATGGATATGTCACTTGTGATTCGTGCTCGTAAATTCTGAAACGTGCATTAGCACCCGTCTTCTTTCCATGTTCTCCTCAGTTAATTTGAGTAAGCATGTACCGAGCATGATTCTCAAGGTTCAGCAGATATGGAGGCTCCACCGTATTGCTACTATCAGCAACCGGATTTTGACCAGCTCCCGGGGGCTCTGCTGGATTCGTACTAGCCTGTTCATCCCTGGCTATATCTGGTGTTCTTTTTGATGCTTTTAATGTAGGGCAATAGTGACAATCATACTCGAGCTGTACACATGTCCCGCAGGGCTCCTGGCCATCGCATTTCCGCTTGCGTGTACGGCATGACTCGCAGGCAACCTTTGCGCGGCGGCGCTTGCGTAAAAGCCCGGGATTTGAGGATGGCGAAGATTGCTCTAGATCCACCATGGCGTATATAATCGTGCGCTGTACTCGGTCTGTGTTATGCACAAGGACAAGCGACTCTCGGGAACTGCGGGAAAGGCGGGAGCCCGTAGGAACTGTTAATCCGCCCAATTTACCGAAGGACTAAACCATGTACATAGAAGTGAATAAAGTACCTAACAGCATAGATCTACGCCCTTATCGGGGCAGTCCACTTAACAGGCCACTCCACTAGCACAAGGAGCGTTCTATTCAAACTTGACCGAAAGGAAAGAATTAGTTTGAAAGAACAAATCGCGGTTGTGCCACTGCGTCCTGGTCATTTCTGCTCACTTAAGAATCCGACACGATTGGGAGCTCTCTCAGAATACCTATTTGAAGGAAATACCATTGCGGTTGCAGTGAATACAGCCTATCAAACAGTTAACGTTACGTATCACTTATACTCTCTCTGTGGCCATTTCATCCGTCCTGCAACAACTGACCGGAAGCTCTTCTGTCACATTGAGAGTATACGGGATTCTAAAAGCTTTCAAACTCGCTAGATCAGCGTATCCCAAGCGGCTGACGATGGTTCTACTAGGCTATGCTTGATAGCTTTAGCAGATTTTCACATCGAAGAACCTTACTCGGCCGTGACCTATTCTATCCCTCCTGAGATCGAATCATCATCTAGCACATTAAGCGGAAGATACTCGACTGATCCACCAGATATCTCCAAGAATCCTGATCATTATAGGTATATCGAGCGTTTTGTCGACATGCGGCCTATTCTTGACAACAGCAACATCGAGAAATGCCCAAAGCAGAATAATAGAATCGACAGCCTTCCACCTGCCCCATCAACAATTACCAAAGAGATGTTCCGTGTACCAGTGCCCCTCTACAACGAAGCAGAACAAATATCGGCTCTGGCATTCTACGCAGACAAGGGTTTGGCATATGTTCCGGCACTCCATAGCGGATACGATTCATGGCAAGCTAGCGCCTGCGCGACATTGGAGTTTTCTCTTCGGATATTTGTTCATGGTCTGAATCTTTGGAACTGGCATATGGCAGAACAAAAAGCCCCTGTTGCAGAAAATACTAGGGCTTGTAGCGAGGGGCGGATTTGGAATGAGAACGGTCATTTGGTTGCAAGCATGACCCAACAGACTATTTTACGGCCTAATGCCGATCTAGGGGCTCGCTCATGACGTCGTGGTTATGAGAGAGACAGAGAATGGATTCAGACTGGAATGAGTCTGTATATATGAATATGTGATTGATTTAGGTTCTTTGGTCAATTTTCTGATTATTTTAGGAAAGCATATATAGAGAACTTAATATTTGTCTTCTTCTTGTCTAGTCGAAACTTCACAATAAGAGGGATATATAGAGGAGTTTAAGACAAGCTGCCTAATCAAGCTTCCAATAAGATTATTTCAGACCATCCTCGCCTTCGCTTCCATCACATATGAAGCACAGTGGTTGTATTTCAGGACCACGCTGAGCCTGTCAAAAGCCACTTGTAAAATGACGACCAATGCACGTACGCATACCATGCAATCCACAACGCCATAGTATGCATCCCCAGTCTTAGACCTTCACATCGACTTTAAGTCCAACATGACACCATCGATAGAGCCACAAAAATATCATCCCCAAGACGATAGAACTAGCAGAAAAAGCTTGCGCTCCAATATAATCTCCCTCACAGGCCTGAATAAGCGCACCTTGAATAGCCGGCGCCGTTAGACATGAGAAGCTAACTATCGTCAAAACCATCCCTGTCCTCGTACCGACTTTGGTAATGTCTTTCGTTTGCCGAGTCGCCATCGCCGGGAGCAGGGCTTGTGTAGCCCCGGCAAAGATGCCGTACACAACCGCCCATGCATATAGCCCCGTTAAATCACCAATAGCCACCCAGCAGTAGACGCAAATAGCACTAATGGCGGAGCAGAAGATGGTTATGTTGACAATGCCTGTAAAGCGCTCGCCAATGAAACAGGGAGAACTCCGCCCGATGACCCCGACACCGTTTAAGACGACAAGGAGGTTAATTGACTCTTTGAGGTGAATTTGCTCACGGGCAAATATCCCCAGATAATAGAAAGCCATGTATAGACCCCAGAAATTGAGGAACATGCTAGCCGTGAAGAACACAAACGGCCACTCACGGAATGCACTCCATTCAACCACGGGCCCTGTTGAGCGCGGTGGTAAATACGGCCGATACCCTACCACGGAAGGGATGTGCGTGACCAGCATTATCAGTGCTAGAATGCGCATTGTCCACGGGAATCCAACGCTTGAATGATTGAGCAGTGCGTTTGTTGTTGCTGGGTAGACCATTCCTCCTGTTGCGCCACCGGCAGCCGACAAGCCTACTGCGATAGAGCGGTACTTCTGAAAGTACGAGCCCATGATTGAGAGACCAGGGGTAAATACCAGACCACTACCTATCCCAACACATACGGCTTGGCTGAGTAGAATCTCATAGTATCTGGTAGACAAAGAAGCCATGCACATCCCGAAGACTTGCATGATAACGCCAGTCACGAAGCAGTGTCGAAAGTAGCCGGCATCAGACGCACGGCCCGAGAAGACGCCCCCAAAGAGCATCAAAAACATTTGAATGCCTCCGATCCATCCAATGTCACTTGCAGAATGTCCGAGGGTCTCCGTATAGTGTTGCTGGAACACACCATAGCTGTTGGCAAGACCCCAGGTATTGAAAAACACCATGTGGCATAAGAAGACGTGCCACCAGGCCATAAAGCCGCCGTCAGGGGGCTTTATTATGCTAGGCTGTTGCGAAACTGTGCTCGACTTGGATTCTGAGGGCATGGCTGAAGTGATATTGTTCTCGTACGGAATGGAAGGATAGTATAAAAGAGTGACTCTTCGGCATTTGAAAGATCAAAGCTCGGTAAGGCAGTACCAGTATTTTCCCCTGATCTGGGAAAAAAATGTAGTACAAGTATAGTTCCGCAACAACTGTTGTATTGTCTGTCTAGGTGACAAGCTTCGCGTGTTGTGGTTTGATTCTATTGTCGTGCCCTATGCCCTTCTCAACTCAGCAAAGATAATGCATTGAACTTGCGCGTATGCCTTCTAGGCTATTAGACGAAGGTTTAAACTGAGTTTTCAAGAGAAATTACAATTCCACGTACACAAGTCATCTAATCATTCTTGAGGGTCACGCATCTGATGTCTAGTATTGGAATAGTTTGGTCCGCAAATCCCGCCGTTGCCGCCTATCTCCCCGTGCCGCGGCTACTTGAGTGACTTCAACCAGAACCCATAGATTTTCACATAAAATACGAACGTCCGGTAACTAGACCATTGCAATTAAGTAATTGCCGAGGGGATTGCCCCAGTAGCCTATTACTTTCCTCTTGTAAGTCTCCTTATCGGACCAGCTCCGTATATCCAGGAAGATATCCGACATTATAAGAATGATCTACAGCGGGGGAAGGTAGGAATTGTGTTCCACGGGAGGTGAATAAGTCTAATATCTTTGAACGCAAGCCATGGTACTACTCCGATGAATTATGATTACAAGAAGAGAAGTTCCTGGCATTCGACACGCTTGCTTCCAGTTTTCCCTGGTTCCTATCCAAGATGTATTCAGATATCCTTCCCGGAGGAGCGTTGCCATTTTGTGTTTATTAAGATTTTATTCACGTTGAATAATGGAAGACGGCATGTCGCTCAACGTATATCCATACATTGGGTTGTCTTGCTTCTACTGCGGATGTTTCTAATTTTCAATGTTGTTCCCTAGTTTCCCTACACGAAACCAATAGGGTACGCCAACAGGCAACGCCGCTGCGATTGTGCCTACACAAACTATACAATGTGCTAAAACATGGCTTAATAAATGGCCAAGTGCCTTCACATTGTCTTGGCCTCCAATTTTTATTATGATAACAGACAAAAGAAGACCACCTCGATAAGGTATGAAATGACACTTGAATCAACATATCATAAAAACACATATACAACCAATGTTCGAATATGCCTGGCATTGGGCGTCGGCTCGGGCTGAGAGGGTGCTTGCTTCCACCATGATAGCCTTGAGTAATGATTATAATCCCAGTTGAGCATACCAGATAGAGTGGTGGATAGGCGGAGCAGGATCCGCAATGCACCAAGGACAACTTCTACAACTACTAGTATATGTGCGCAGGCGGGGATCGGGAACAGCGGGATTTATTTCGTCTTCCCCCGAACAGGCTCTAAGGGAACTACATCCTATACAAGTGGACAACAGGCTTCCTTTGTATCTCCACACTACAGCTATAATCTGCCATTTAGTTAACTCAGTAAACCTTTTCTACTAGGTAAAACAGAGAGGATAAAAAAAAAAAAAGAAAAACATACAACAGCACAAGTGTGGTGGTGCTCACCAGGCGCTGCGTGGGCGGCTTGCTGCCTTATTCAGTCTTCCTTCAGGGCAATTCAGGCTCATGTTCACCCAGCCGAATACTATACACCCGAGCTAGTAGGAAGTCACATTTGCGCAAATAAGACCAAGAAGTAGCACTAACCCCCTTCCCCCGTAAACGTAAAGGTTTTTTTTTGCTCTAGGTAGTTGGTCTTCTATCTTTAAAATAATATTACTCTTAAGCTATAACTGCTACATAGGGTGGTCAACCCGCACCGCAATCCGCGCGGGCTGCGGGTTCTAACAGTAGCAGACTTACAGAAGAATCTATTAAGAACAGCTTTGCAGCTACCGGCCTAGTTCTATTTAATCCAGATAGGGTGCTTAGCAAGTTAGACATTTAACTAAAGTCTTTTACACTGCTAGGAAGTCGAGTAACTAATGCAGCGCCTAAAATACCTTATACAACTAGATAGTTAGAGAAGGAAGTATCTGCAGCAAAGAAACTGCTTAGGGAACGCACATACAGCTCTCTATTTTTGCTAGAAGCGCGGTTAGACGAGATTGTTAAAGGTCATAAATACTTAATCAGCTAGTTTTTACATTGGATAAATTACGCAAACACCGCGCTAATAATAAATAGAAAAGCGAAAAACGGAAGAAGTCTACTAGATAGCTAGCTATAGAAGTGAAGCTTAAGATACGCTTCCTAAAGATTCAGCGCCTTCTATAGTTAGGCTGCGCATACGAGCGCCACCGCGCTGCAGTAATTGTCATCATCTAGGACATAAGCGATTTCAATGTTCTAATCGAGTTCCTAACTAATTTTTAGATAGGAATGCATTTGTTTGTTTGGTAGAGGCTCTAGTATTTTACCTGCAGGCAGGAATCGGCGGGCAGTGACATGCTCGGGGGTTTGACACTTTCGGTACTGAATATACGTTAATGTTTATCGCAGTGCTGCTACCGTTGAGCTCGCCTTTATCTTAGATATGACTGTATCTGGGCGTGATATGGTGCGTTAACTAGATAATGCTATTCGCACGAAGCTCCTAGGCGTGTTAGCTATTATCATTCAGGACTGTCTTCGTGTTATTAAAGCGCTCAAGATTGACATGTCGCGGATTAGCCTCCAACATCTAAATATTTTTATTGGCCTTCTGGGCGAGCAACAAGACTATTACACTCTTACTTAGCTTCTGAATAAACTTTGGAACAGCTAAGATGCTCAGCATTTCTGGAAGTTAGATATTACGCTTGCGCTGGGCCGCCGTCTTTATTTGGCCCGCTACCTTGTCGGCGACTCAATTGCTGCGCTGCGCTTAGCTGAGGATATTGTGTATAACTGCCGCCGTGTGTATGGTGCCTTTCACCCCGCTACACTGGATACCTCTGTTCTTTTGTCGCAGCCGTACATTAGCGTGGGCTTGCGGTATCAGTCCCACAGGAACGGACAGGAGATGGCTAACCGATACTATAAAAAGAGCGCAGCGCTGCATGAGAGCCTGCTGCGCATCTTCAGCGACCCTTTTTTTTTTTTGCCGATCTGGAGTGCGGTCTCGAAAACAGCATGAGTCTGGAAGGCTCCACGTACGACCTTGATTTAGGGGAGCCAGTCGCCCACGTCCCAGACGGCCAGCGTGTTCGTCGGCACTTGTACCTGCTGAAACTTGCTATGGAGCGGCTAGGAGGTTGGCCCAAGAACTACAGAGAGTATGAGCGGCTCAATGCAGACATCTTCCGGGAGTTTGCTTCTGATCTAAAGAGAGCGGAGGGCAACAAGTATATGTATCATTTTCTAGCTAGCCTCACGATTCAGAGAGAACATGAAATTCAACAAAGCCAGGAGCCATCGCCTCCTCATTCTCGTCAGTAGACTCGTCTAGAAAGACCGCCACCATTTCGGAATGCTCATCAGCAGCACTTCGGTTGTCGGATGCCATAGTCCAGTGGCTGTGCTTGGCTAGGTGCGCATCATTGACATCATGCGGATACCAAGCACGATATTTCACCTTTTTCAGTCGAATTGCAAATATCTGCTCGCCTGGCGCGGTGCAACGATGGGTTGTACCCCGAGCCCCTTCGTGACCCGCAGAAACCCCGATGTTTGCAGGGTGGGACAGCGGTAAACCGGCGATAGCGCTGATGGGGGCTGATATCGTTCCGCTGTGGTTTGATGACCGCTCCAGGTCATCAGACGCAGCGGCGTCAAACAAAGTGTAGAGCCCGATAACAAAATGTACCTCATTCTCATATTCAATCTGTTCCTGCAACCATCGTCGGACCTCCTCCCTCTCACAAAGACGTCTGAACCACTGAGTTGGCTTTTTCAAGGTATAAACGCGACCCTTCTGCGCCGTCAGGTCAAGGTTTGCATGGGCAGAGCGCTGAGAATCCCAGCTAGCAACTCGGGAAAGAAATGCTTGAAACTTGCTACTATTTGTAGCTCTGATAGCGGTAGTGACATCCTCAAGCTTCCTAACTGTGTAGTCCGTCGTCTGCACTGGTAACACGCTTTCTAGCGTGTCCAGGTCGATATCGTTGATGTTTGGGATCAAGCTGGCGAGCTGAACGTCCTCCTGTGAGAAGAAACAATGCCCTAGAATAATCTGTGGTGACATGGTCGAGATAACAACTGCTGCTGTACGAAGGCGAATGGTACCGTCGGTTCGCTGATGATCTGAGGACTTCGATGCTTTTTCGATCTTTAAGGTGCGCGTCAAAGACAGTACAACGGAAGCCAGTCGCAGGAAAGGACTCCGTGTTCCGTGTCAGGGGTATAGGCGCTGAGGGGCAGTCAGCGCGCTATACCGTCTTTTGCTGTTCAGCTCCTGCGCCGCAATCTGCGACTCCACACCAACATCTCCTCCCCGGCCAGAGTTGGGATAAGCATTGGAATCTTCTAAGCTCCCTTTCCCTCGACGCATTTCGATAGCAATGAACGTCGGCGCATGCGACAACTCCTCGTTGGCCTTCCTCTTGTCCAGGCGAGGAAGAGAATCACTACTTCAATACCGTGAAAGCGGGGATCCAGCCCATCTCGACGAGTCGATCGACTTTGCGCGTCAGGCTTTGCACGCCTCGCTTCCAGCTGAACGCGCAACCTACCTAAACAGTCTAGGATGTCGCCTTCGTGAAAGATTCGAAGCCCTGGGTAAAATCCAGGACATTTCGGAGGCCATCCAGGTAACCGAAGATGCATCCCTGGCAATACACGACCCCACGGAGCAAATGTTAGTTTTGGCCAACCTGGCTACTTACTTAGGTGACCGGTTTGAAAGCAGGGAAGACATGGGGGATTTGGAACGAGCCATAATGGCTGGCCAGGACGCACTTCGTATAAGCAGCTCGGATCAAGGGTCGCAAGCGATCTGCCTGACCACGTTGAGCATCCTTCACGGCTACCGTTTCTCCATACTCGGGGCCTTGGACGATTTGGAGACCGCAACGCGCATGGGTGAACAGGCGGTAGAACTCATATCCCCAAATCACCCTGACAGGGCTATGTACCTAAACGACCTATCGGCCTGCTACGAGCGCCGATTTGAGAGACTAGGAGATCCCACCGATATTGACAAAGCTATCAACTGCTCAAGCGAAGCGGTTGGTTTGAGTCGCGATGATTTTGACCGCGGCCTTCACCTCAAGAACCTCAGCAACGCACTCGGAAGTCGATTCTTGATTAAAGGGGACGCGCAGGATCTCTCTGATGCGATTACCTATGTAAACGAGGCAATACAGTGCACCCCAGAAAACCACCAGAGATACCCGTTCTTGCTCCATGATCTCAGCTTTCATCTGGAAGACCGGTTCCGGCGGTATAACAACATTACCGACCTCGAGAAGGCAATCAGTCTTGAAGAAGATGCTATTTCCAGAGTCGATCCAGAGGACCCTAGATTGCTCATGCTCTGGGATGAGCTTGCCGTACTCTTATCCCTGCGGTGTGATCTCAACGATGATATCGGTCTGTTGGATAGAGCGATAGAATTGGCAGAAAAAGCACTGGACTCCACAACCGATGACAACCGAGACCGAGCGCAGTATTTGGCTCATATGGCCGCTTTCCTGGCCAGCCGTTTTGAGCGTACGGGAAGCTTAAATGACCTGGAACAATCTATCCTTCTGGGAAGACAGGCTGTTGACATTATTCCAAACGATGACCCGCACAGGGTTGATCTTCTATTAGATCTGAGCGATTATCTTCACAACAGGTACATCAGGTTAGGATCACCAGAAGATAACAGACAGGCGGTTGAAATCATACAAACAGCAATGCAGTCCCAGACAAAGTATGCCTCGCTTCGACCAAGTCAACTGTGCACTCTCAGTCACCGTTTCCAAGACCGATATGAAAGTACAAAGGAGAAAGCTGATATCGATCAATCTATTCAACTTGCTCAGGAAGCGCTCAATCGTGTTCCTCTGGACCACCCTCAGCGCGCGTACTGCCTTCATTCCCTGAGCAGCGCTCTAGAAAAGCGATTTCTAGTTCTTGGGACCATGTCCGATCTGGAAAAGTCTATCGAGTACAGCGAAAAAGCTCTCGAATCTACCTCACCTGATCGCTCTGATAGAATCGATTACTTATATGCGTTAAGCATTAAGTTGACATCTCGATACGAACTGCTCGGTGGCCTAATCGATCTAGAAGAAGCCATCCACTTGATGCAGAGCTGCATAGAAAGTGCGCCACCGAACTATTTGAACCGTGTTTCCCATCTGAAAACCCTAAGTGACCAACTTGGGTATCTGTTCGAGAGGAACATGCATACGGGGACGTTAGATCGGGCGATTGATACAGCAACTGAAGCAATGAAGCTTATCCCCAAGGACGACATGATGGGATCCAGCATTCTGAATAGCCTTCATCTGCTTTTCATATCGCGGTTTAAGACAACAAATAACCTATCCGACCTGAAATCAGCCATCGAGGCCCAGCGTGAGGCCATAAAACGCGATTCCCATTACCGCGGAGATCGTTCCATTTTGATCCACAATCTCAGCGTGGGCTTGGCTCTTTACCAGCACACTGGTGAACCAACAGATCCAACGGAAGCGATCAAGCTAAGCTGGGAAGCAGTCGAGACAGCATCCGAGTATCACCCCAATCGCGCCATGTATCTCAACACGTGTGGCACGTTCCTGAAGGAGAACTACGAACTCACCAGGCAGATAATTCCTGGGGATAAAAAGCCGAAGGATTTGTTCCTTGAGGCCTTCCGCCATGAGAGCTCTCCTCCGCTAGATCGTATCAAAGCTGGGGAAAATGCCTTTGACTGCTATATTTCCAATGGAGAGTGGACTCAGGCGAATTCGGTGGCGAGAGATGTTGTGAAGCTCTTCCCCTTGTTGGTTCCGCGGTGGTTAAGTCAAGATGACCAGCAACATCTGCTTAAAAACATATCGCACTTCACATCTCGTGCAGCATCTGCCGTGCTACAGGCAAATGGACCTCCCCTTGACGCTCTCAAGATATTGGAGACCGGGAGGGGGGTGATAGCCCGCTGCAGTATCGGTTTGAAGACCGACATCTCCAAACTTGAGAAATCGCATCCCTCATTGCACGATGAGTATACTATGCTCCGTCGGCAACTTTCCCTTCCCTCTTTCTCAACATTCTCAAGTGCAGCGGGACCTTCCCAGCCAACATTGATATGCCGACGACGGAAAGCTCCAGGATTACTCCCACCCCATATCACTACCACCGGACCCGAAAGGGCTGAAATTTTGCGAAGAATTGAGCATTTGGAGGAAAAGATCCGTACATTTCCGGGATTTGAGGACTTCAACCAGGCTCCTTCACACGCGTCCTACGCTGAGTTTGCCATGTTTGGCCCAGTAGTAGTCTTCAACGTCACAGAGCAGCGGAGTGATGCGATAATTGTCGCCGAAAATGATATATACGGTCTGCATCTGGAGCAGCTTCGATTTCAAGACCTCAAAGCCAATGTCGCGAGAGTGATAGGATATAAACGACTGTCGAAGGGAGTTCCAACCACGAGACCGCAGCGCAACCGGGAGCTTCAAGACATACTGCACTGGCTATGGGCGACAGCCGTCCACCCTGTATTAACTCGAATAGGCTTATACAGCGACAAACCGCGACCTGTACTGCCGCGTGTCTGGTGGGTTGCAAGCGGCTACATGGGCCTTCTCCCACTGCACGCAGCCGGGGATGCAACTCGCAGGACGATGGACTACGTCATTTCCAGTTATATTCCCACGTTTCAGGTGCTCCAATTTTGCCGGGAAAGACATCGCATGTCATTCCGCGAGCATGAGCCGAAGATGCTCCTTGTGTCTGCGCCAGAAAAGCTCAATCGACAGACGTTGAAGACAAACGTCGAGCTCGAATCCATCAGAGAGGGCCTTCAGGGTCATCAAGTGTCCTACACGATGCTTGATAGGCCCTCGCGCGATGACGTATTGCGAGAGCTCCCCGAGCACCATCTGCTCCATTTCTCATGCCATGGCTACTCAAACGCTACTGATCCATCGAAGAGCGCTTTGGAGCTTGCTTGCACAGCTGAAGATGGAGCAACCTCGCAGCTCACAGTAAGGGATCTGTCACTCATTGGTCACGAAAAAGCTCAGATTGCGTATCTCTCTGCGTGCTCGACAGCCGAGAACTCGTCCGACGAACTCCTAGACGAGGTCATGCATATCGCCAGTGCTTTTCAGCTCATTGGGTTCCCTCATGTCGTCGGGACACTCTGGGAGGTCAGCGACAGAGCTGCCGTTGAAGTAAGCAGACTCTTTTACGAACAGTTGGGCCGGCAGATGTGTAATGGTGACGAGTCAAACATCGCATGCTGTCTCCACGAAGCTCTCCAGACATACCGAAAAAGCAGGAAAGTTTCAAGAACGAATGATGTCCTTTCATGGGCCCCATTTATCTACATGGGTGCATAATGGAGGCCCTCGTTGCAATTACTTGTCATCGCAGACTAATGTATTATTGACTTTTTGTTTTCTTACATTTGTTCAAAATCGCGCCAAAACAAAATCTACTGCATGCTGGCTCACCTCTCGTCTAGGCACGACCAGCAGACAGGACTCAGTCCCAAGTTGCACAGTTAACTTAGATTTTAAAAGTTTGCTATCGTACTGCTTACCGCGATTTTAGCCTGCTAATCTTATGTCATACGCCAAACTAGCGCGATCTTCCCGTATAATCTATAATATATGTCCCGCTTTTCTAATCTTATATTAGAAGTGTTGCTTATTATAGCTGTAGTATAAACTCTTAGAGTAAGCCGTCTGTACAATCTTACGATGATATCGGACTCTGTTTAGTTCTTCTCTAGTTAGCCTAAGTTAATATAGCGTGAAAGAATAGCAGAGTAAGAGAAGAGGTAGGCGGGCAAGAAGACCATCTATAGACCACGCATCTTGATGCTAAGCGACAACGATGCGCTTTCTCTAATTAGGCGCGCTATACCGGATGTAAGTAATTCGCTGTCACCGCAGAATACAGAGTTGATGGCTGACTTCCAAAGAATATTCTATACTAGATTCTTAGCGTTCTGTGGTTCGTTGCCAGCATAACTAATCACGCTTGTTCGACATACCAAGTTAAATATCAAGTGGATTGAATTTCTGCTTCAAAGAACGGGCTTAGACGCACATCGTTGTAATGCACTAAACAGTCACGCGTATTGACCCAAGGCGGCGATGACGAAAAATGGACTAAGTTAAGCCACCTAATAAAATATTATCTCTTCTTTGAATTGTAGTGAGACATAGCACGGAGGTCAAGGTATGCGAAGGAGATCCCCTTTTCAAAGAATTAAAATACCTGGTAGCGGCAGTGGCTTATTGTAAATCCGATCCTTTGGGACACATTAGCAGGCGGGGCAGTGGGTGAGTTTTAGACAGGCTTCAGGTTACATTCAGGCAGCGGGCTGAAGGGGCTCAAGGTATAAGAGCGCTGAACCGAACAAAAAAGAAAACAGAAGTAATGAACAAAAACATACAACAGGAGGGATTCGCTGGTGGTCACCCACCCAACTACTAACCTCCCGGCGTGTGGCTTAAACGCGGCCAGAAGTCGGGTGGGTGCTGCCCGGGTGAGCTAGCGGGTGAGCCGCTTTAACGTCGCGCGACTTTGGGTGAGCTTGGGTGAGTGCACAATAGATGGGGTGAGCAGCTGGCTGACGCTCACCCGAGAACGCGCGATCTCGCGAAAACTTACCCAAGAGCGAACCTTATTACCCACTTTGCTTCCCTTCTACCCTGTCTATTGGATAACACCTTTACGCTTTAAAAAGCAGGTGTTCCTGGCCGCCTTGCATAGCCACAATGGCATTTACGCCCAAATTTTGGACTTCATCAGAGTAAACAGGCGGCAAACAGACGACCAGTAGGGCTTCTATTTCCCTTTTACAGTACTAGGAATAAGGCGGCCTAGATCTATATTCATTTATATTTTAAATACATCGTTATCCACGAACAACAATCCAGGAAATTAGAAATATTCATGCTCAGGAAATTGATAGTTATGTTGACTGGTTATTTACTCGTAAAGCACGTGACAATAAATTTTAGCCTCAGGCAACGTATCCTGACGATAAGAATGGAGACAGAACAGCTTTCGTTCCCTCTTCCACTGTTGACTCAATTGGGCACATCTGTGCCGCATGGCTATCTTTCCAGTAAAGCTATAGTGCCCTTAATCCTGCCTATTGTTTTAAACACCACTAATCGGAAGTCCCTACTGAATATTACGGAATGGCCCGCACTGAGAGACCTGATGTCCGCAAGGCAGCATCCATTGCTGGCAAACTGGACGTATTTCGAGATGGCTTCAGAACAATTTGCCAGGAATCAGGTTTACCTCCGACTTTAGATTCCCTCAGTCAGTTCGATAATGAAGGTGCAGATCCTGTCCCTTAGACTGCTATGCTACTTTCTAATCACTTCCAGACCTCCAGAACCTAGCGTTGGACCTAGTTTCAGCGTTGCGATCATTTCCAGATATGCGAAAGCTTCCTTCTGCCAATAGTCGAAAAAATATCTTAAGTGATCTTTTAAGACTTACCGCCGTGATTAGTTCCGACGATTTCGATTTCGATAATCTTATGCCACTACTGAGAGCAGTCTTGAACCAAGAACCCGAAGATGTCATCTGGGATAGAATATATTCTACTGTTATTGAATCAACGCCACCTCCGAAGCTGCTGCCTTTTTTCAACCAAACTCCATATTTACATACTACGAGCAGTTTCGTTAATTCTTCCGGACATCGAAAACACGTGGATGCCGTGTTGAAGGAGGAATTGGGTCCAATATATATCGGTATACCTCAATTTTATGAAAGTTTCTTTAGGAATATCGACGGCCTTGAAGCGGCAGGCAATGCGGTTTTTCAGGAACTCAGGGAGGGAGATACTCCTCTTTACTGTGATGGAAGTGGCTGGCAAGACTGGCCCAAGAGTACACAAGAGAAGGAAGTCCTGGAGTGGCTCAACCAGAAATTCAACCTGCTTCGGAATCTTGCTGGGGAGAAACGTCCATCCGTAGCAGCGCAGCGAAAGATTTTAACTCGACCCTCACAGCCCTTGCAAGGGTCTAGTACGAAACGAAAATTGGATGTTGCCATTGTCAAGGACATAGATCAACAAATAGAAGAGGGCGGACCGTTCGATTGGTCGCGTGTCCTTGTTCCAGGAGAATTAAAAAGCAGCCCAGACCTTGATACTGCCTCGAACACGTGGCGGGATCTAGGTAGATATGCGAGGGAAGTATTCAGTTCTCAAGAGACCCGCCGGTTTGTTCTAGGCTTCACTCTCTGCGGCCCAATTATGCGACTGTGGGAGTTTGATCGCCTAGGAGCCATAGCATCTTCCCCCTTCGATGTCAACAAAGATGGGTTGCAGTTTGTTTTAGCTATATTAGGTTACTTTTGGATGAATGACGAACAACTTGGGTTTGATCCCAGCATCATGACCTCTGCTGATGGTCGAAGGTTCATTGAAATTTCGCGTAATGGACGGAAAGAGCGCTTGGTTTTTGACGAGCTTGTTAAAATGTCGTCTTGTGTGGCCGGTCGAGCTACGACATGCTGGAAGGCTCACATGGAGGACGGATCAAATACCCCAGTTGTTATTAAAGATTCATGGCAATACCCAGAGCGCGAAGAGGAGGGAAAATTACTACAGGAAGTTACTGAAAAGGGTATTATTAACGTGGCAAGGTATTTTTACCATGAAACGGTGTGTGTGAATGGTGAAATTGATGATGTACGGGAAAATGTCCGCAAAGGTATCGATGTGACAAAGGCGTCAAACTACAAACCAGCATCTAACAAACAGGAGGAGGCAAAAGATACTGCTCGCCTAGGCCGCTCTAAGAATAGGAGCAGAACCGGGCATAAGAGGTCTTCTAGCTGTGCTGAAGTCCCACTACCTCCTAGCAAAAGGACTTGCTCGAGCTCCTCGAATAGGAAACAAGACCTGACACCTCAAAATCGCATACATCGTCGTGTCTGTATCCGTGACTATGGAAAGTCGATTTGCAGAGCAACCTCCCGAGTTGCTTTGCTCAATGCTCTACAAAGCTGCTTAGAAGGTAAGGCCTTGTATCAATGTGACTCTTAAACTCCGAGATTTTGACTTTATAAAGGCTATGAGTCTCTACATGCTCATACGGGGATTCTCCAAGGCGATATATCTACTGGTAATCTAATGATAAACGAAGATAAGAAGAACGGCTCGTGGCCGGCCTTTTTGATTGATCTCGATCTTGCTATCAAGGAGCAGCGAGAGCAGCCGTCCGGAGCCAGAGGAAAGACAGGTACAAGGGCCTTTATGGCTATTGGACTTCTGTTAGGAGAGAAGCATTGTTTCCACCACGACCTGGAGTCCTTTTTTTGGGTGCTATTTTGGATATGTATTCACTATGATGGCCCGGGCAAGGATGTTGGACCAACAGATTTTGACTGCTGGAATTATGACGATGACCAGAAACTAGCAAACTCAAAGAAAGGCGTCGTTGATGACGAGGCGGATTTTGAACAGACAGCGGAAAAGTATTTTACATCATACTACAAGGTATTAGTACCCTGGGTCAACGAGTTACGTCGAGTTGTATTTCCCGGGGGTACGCGGAGAAAGAAACCTGACAAAGGCCTCTATATCCAGATGAAAAATGTTTTGGAGAAGGCAGCTGAGGAGCTCAAGATGCTGGGCATATAGCTTTGGCCAAAATATTACATTCCTAATGAAGAGCTGTATACTACATGATGACATAGTAAAAGTAGAGCAGTTTCCCCTAGAAGATCATAAACAAGGTGTTCCGTATATTATTTTTTCTCGTTCCGAAGAGCTAAGTGAGAGTAAGGATCGAACCAGAACAGTTAAAAAGGTCACTATACAGATAGTCTAACAAACCCGGCAGGAAATAGCCATTCCAATTTCTTCCTAGTGAACAGGCCGAGTAAATGTATTGTTGGATTTTTCTTTTTTCCTTTTGATTGAAGTCTATGTCCGTAGTATCTATCTATCGTCAGATCTTCGGGCATCGACGGCCGGATTTGCCCCTCTTTACCCCACGGAGGCCGCTGACAAAAAGGAAGGCGGTCTGTGTTGTTGAGCTACTACTTTTTCACTTTGCTCGAGGCAAAAAGACGCCTGACAGACAGAAGAAATCTGTCAACTACTGGTACGGTCGAGAGATTTTCCTGGTACGGCCGTCGGTTCTTCAAGTTCACTATACCATTGCGCACAAGACATCACGACCGATCTTACTCCATGAGACGCTTAGGCATTCCCTGGCGGAGTTATACTACACGTAAATAAGTTTAGCATCACTTCTCCTTACCCTTCCATAGAATGGAGATGCTGATTTACAATGGAGTTCAGGTCCATTGTATATGACACTTATTGTTTACAATGTCCGAGCAAAAAGCAAATTCCAATGCCGTTGAATCATTGGCCATTTCAGAAGAATGCAAGATAGATGTTCGGAAACTGGTGTTGTCTAACATATCCAAAGAATTATTCACAGAAAAACCCCGGTATGCTGCAGTACTCGATATTTTGAATAGGGTAGCTTGCAAGGAGGTTAGGCCATGCGAAAGACACGTATATCTAAGAAAGTGTAATCGTACATAAGCTTGGAATCTGTCAACACCGCCCAACTACCACCTATGCTAAACCTGTTTGATTGCTCATTAATTAGCGTCGTATAGCATTTATATGACGATGGTGCGGCAAATATCATGTGTTCTGTCCCACTACATTGTTTCCATATTGCGTATCTTCCACAGAGCAGGATTTTGTTATCTGTCGTAGAAAGGTAATCCACAGAATCCGTCATGAATAATGGTAGTAATAACCCCACGCATGAACGAGCTGTCCAAGATTCACATCTTTTGCCTAAAGCCTAATCAGCGGGTTAGGGCAAGAGGCCAGGTTCCTTACCAGAAGGTCTAGTAGCTCAGAGGTCATTAACGTATCATCTTCCATCCAGCTGCGTTGTCTATTGGTAATAGAGCTGTCAGAAACAGTTTGAGCGCGATCAAAATCTATCCAGAGCACTCTGCCTGTCTCTGGCTGAACCACCATATTCCGAGGATATGGGTCGCCATGGCAAACTCCAGCGTCATGGATTTTGTCAAGAATTTCCAAAAGAGCAGCAGCGCGGTCTTCTGTGTATGTAGCAAGATCTATTTGCTTTATATTTGGAATAAATTCCAACAAGATAGCGTTTGGACGAAGTTTGTCCTTCAGGAAACGATTTAAATGAGGTCGCCATTGAATGGGGTCTATTTGCTCGATCACCCCGTAGAAATCCGGGACAACCCCTTCCTGGCACAACCCTCGCTCTTTCAAACGAGCATATGCGGCGCTCTCACAGAGGAATGGGTCAATTTCTCTGTAATTAGGATGCCACGGCTGCTTCTCTATGGTATGATACTGAATTTGTTAAGGACAGGTTCCATAAGTATTGTGGTGAGGTTTCGGAGTATACATACAACCTTCATGAGACATAGTCGTCCTTGCAGGGATACTTGAAAAACGCTAGATGTTTCGGATTCCTTTTCACAACTGATGAAAGCAAAATCGTTTGAATCCAGCCTCATTGTTGACGATGATGATGATAGCGTTCGACGAGTTCGAGGAGGCGGAGCCACTGGAGTAGGAAGAGCTCTGGCGCCCAGTAGTGGTTGTGTTAGTGGTTGGGAAGCCTAATCCGGCTCGGATTATGTAAGGAAGCTTGGTCCATCAGGACGATAACAAATGTGCGCTTTCTCGACCGTCACAATTACCAAGCCTAGTTAGAACATGGCAGTTTGCCGCCAACCTTGAGTGGGAAATCATTCCTTTTTTTGTCAATAATACAACAATTTTCAGTGCGGGGAAACAAAATGGAAGCTGTACATTGCCCACAAGTGGTCATAGGAGATGCAGATAATGCACCGAGTCAACCTTCTTATTTCGTAGGATTCAAAATCATGGCGGCTTCACCTAATCACGCTCTGCCACGAGCCCTCTTTACAAAAAATATTCGTTTCTCTGAATTTGACTTGTCAGGCCAAGTGGGGATGATGCCAGTGACACTCGGGCCTAATGCATGTAGCGACACCGTATCACGCAAAGAATGTAGCTATGCTATGCTGTATCACGCAAGATGGCCCTGATTGTTATTTCTTTGGATGAATCACTGGTGTGGACCGCGCCACGACCAACTGCTACTTCTGCAATGTTTGACTGGGAACAAATCATATGAATGGACCGTGTTCCCCGCGATGGCCGTATAAGAATGTGACCCAGTGTCTACTTTTCAACCCATCCCTCTTTCCAATATCTTGATTTCCTGCTCTTGACGAAATATACCTCTATTACTTCTCCCATTTTGAACTTCATCATACGGGAATCATAGCCATGGCCAATGCCATAAGCCTGCTGGAATATTTGCAGTGGGCACCTCCTGCGCTTCCAATTGGGGCTATTGGGACCTCCCGGGAGAACACAACAAACACAAACTATAGTCCTGCAGATATCAACGAAGTTGGTCGTTGGGCCGACTTCAATTTGAACAACATCATGGCTGAATTTCGACCATTTTTGATCGAGGCGATGATAGACCGTGAAGTAATGCCAACTCCACCTCGTGAAGTGCGCAACGAGGAACAGGTCAGGACACAATTTAAGTGTTATCTGGATGGAAGAGTTAGACATGCGCTTCGCGTTTCTTTTCCAGAATTGATAAAGCGAAATCAACTTGGAAACCGGGTTATTATATCGTTTGATGAAGGTACCCGGGCCAAAATCCCAGATCAATTCATACCCGATACCGCGTACTTTGAACCTCGTCTCCCAGAGCCAACTCGATCAAATCGCGCACCTGGTGATATCAAAACGTCCTGGAAATGGAAACACACTCTCGGCTCAAGTTCTAATCGTAAGGACCGGACTGAGTTTAAGAAGGTCCTAGCGCAAGTCAATTACTACATGAGACAGCATAAAACTCGCTACGGATTCATACTCACTAATGTTGAGCTCGTCGCCATTCGCAGACGCGATAGCAATGGAAACCTGGAACTCTCCGAGCCTATACCTTGGACCACTCGCGGTGATACCACCCAGCCGCAGTTAACCGTTTTGCTTGGGTTGTGGTATCTCGGAATGCTCGCTTCTGATAATATGGGCTGGGAGCTGGCCTAGGTAGAATTTGGAACTACCACCCTACTTAATAGTGTTTTATTAACGTGTGAGTGGGAGCTGTTAGTCGTCTATGCAAGGCGCATTTCTTAAGGTTTCAACACATAGTGCCTTGATGCTCAGTCCGCCCCTTTGAGATATATGTAAAAAGCATGACTCTGCTTCAACAGCAGTAAAATAGTTCGCAATCCCATATGATGTGCTCTTGCCTATCTTAAAAGCGAATGGTACTAAACTTCAATGTGTGCCTCGCAGATAGAGGGAAATGAATGATACCCAGCTATCTGAGTTAGATATTGTCTTAAATGACAACGCGCAGAGCAAAGAAAAAACAAGCATCTAGGTGTATTGCCTTTGTATTAGTTATTGCTAGGGATGGCCAATCTACCTGGTTAGCTCATAGGCTAGCTTAGCTAACGTAGTCGGTAAGCGATTTGCGATGTGAGTGGATTGCGTAGCTCTGTACGCTGCACAAATTGGATTGCAATGTCCTAATCGGGTTCCGAACTATATTTCATATAAAAATACAATTGTTTTATTGATAAAGGCCCTGGTATTTTGCCCGGGGCAGCAACCGGCCGTGTGAATCACTCGCCCGTGGAATACGTTAGGGACATTATAACTGACAAAAGCACATATGCAACAAAAGTTATAGCACGTGATACATTAATCACGTGAAGCTTCGATCACAATCAACAAGCGCCATCAGAATACCCCACGCAAACCGATGTCTTGACTGACTTCACTGCCATATTTCGTAACATAGAAGACCTCTCCATCATCCACGCTATATTTCATAGTATGTGCAGTCGTTCTGAAACAAATCTCTGAAACAGATACCACTCCTCCAACAGGCAACTTCATAGCTAGTATGGCTGTGACAGCAGATCTCTGCTCCGCACTTACCATCATAAGCGCTGCAGCAGACGCAGATTTTCAGCCTTATCGTTATCAAACCCAACATGCATTCCTTAGGCTTGGAAGACTTCTCGGCATAAATGTGGATTTAAATGGACCCGGAAGTCTATCACACCAAGTATTCCCTCTGGATCACAATACGGAGCAACCAAATGCGGCTGATGATGGCCTACTCTTGCAGTACTATGGCGGAGGCTATTGCGATGGTATGCTCGGAAACTCTGGGACGAGGCCTGCAGCTAACAATACCTCCAACTTCCTGGCCGACGAACATCCTGATTCCAGAAGCCAAAAATCCGACTTAGTTCGTGCCCACAGCGATTCCTGTGACAAGAACGCTGTGAAAATCCTTGATATCCTGAAGGATAGGATTTTTTCTATCAAGAAATGTCTTCGGCTCCCTATGAATCAACTGCTGGTCACCCCTGAAGTTGAAAACGAAGACCCTAGGGTCGTTGACATACAGCTAGGCGAGGGCATTTCCAACAAAACCCCAACTACCAGGTTTCGCATTTCGTTGGCTATTCGGTCCTTGACATTAGAATACGTACACTTCCAGTATCAAACTCTTGGGTATTCTAGAGTTGACGAGCAGGCCAACACTCTTTCAAGCGTTGCAGATAACCAGCATGGTTCTATAGAAGAATTCCTCAAGGCATGCCCACATATTCTCGATCGCGGCACAGCTAAGAAAATGATAATTACTGGCACTAAGATGCTTGTTTTGGAGCGTTTATATGGGCACGCTGGGATATCTGCGCTTCTGGCCTTTGTTCCAAGCTGGACGAGGCTTAGGTATCCCGAACTTACAATCTTTATTGAGCTGTTTCTTTTTCGCCACGCTGACATTGCTACAATGGCAGAAGATGTCTCCAATAAGTACTGGAAGTGTCAGCATTTATATAACCGCCAGGTTCGTTCGAGGGACAGGCGGAGTAGGAAAATTCAACACAATGGCAAGCAAAGCTGGGCATCGGCCCCACATAACGAATCGATGGCAGTGATGCCAATATCCGATTCGGTGACCAGTTGGGATGCAGAAAAGGGCTTTCATGGTATGCTGGAGACGCCTAAATCGGCATTATTATCTAGTAACAGGCATGAATCAGATGAACCTTCCCGACCGAATGTCCCTGAGCCACAGTCACCTGGCTTATCTGCCTGCTCCGATTACATGGCTCAAGTACGTGTCGGAAATATGCCGACCACTTTCGACCCTACACACCTTATGCAAAGGTCCACTCAAACCGTGACTAATGGACAAGACGACACTGGGGTCATACCCTTGGATTGTACGCCGTGGGTCCGTCTCGGACTGGAATCTACTTCCTTTGATCCTCCCCACGATGCTTTCTATACAGGACAAACGGACCCTGAGTACATGCAGAGTTTCTCTACTCCTTTCGACGCAACAAACATGGCACATATGGGTACTATGCCTGAGGTATTTACACCAAATTATTCGATACAGAAAGAGACGGCCCCTACAATTCCAAGCAGTCTCATCAGCAACGTACATCAGAGCGCTGCGGTGATAGGCGGGATGGAGACACAGCACTTACCCCCAGCTCCTTTTTTCCGTGCTGATGACACCCTCATTTCACCCACAAATGATGGTAGAACGTTACCAACATTCTACCAGACACAGGGTTTGGTGAACAGTCATTGCAGCATGGTTAACGTGGAAAATCGCCTATCAAATGATGCATTGCATACGCCTATACCGGTGCCGTAACACCAATAATCATCCCACTATGTGATTGTACACCCAAATAACAACAGTACTAATAAAAGAAATACATAGCTATTATCTTGGTGCCCTTTAATTAGTATGTATGATGACATCGTTGGACTTCGGCAAGGCTATGATAGCGACGAACTCTGGGCTGATGTCAAGACTCTCCGATAAGCTTTCCGGCTTACCTGGGTGCAACTCACTGCCAGGGAAGCGTCGGGGCTCAGCCGAGATAATATGTAAAGGAATAAGGTAGCCGCCGTCTTTCTTAGCAAGGGGAGTAGGCACTTTGAACCAGAGAACTGTATATGGAAGATGCTGTCCCTGGTCAGCTGCTTGGAAAGAAAGACATGCGATACAACTTACTGCCAGTCTTAATTCACCAAGTAGGGGCATTATATAAGCATCCAGTATTTTTGGATTTTCCACACATGTCTTATTTCCTCGATCGTCTGTTTCGAATTTCCAATTACTATAACCAAGTTGTATCGTCTTCAGGTAAAACGCCGCTCTTCCCGACAGGTCTGATTGTGTCATCTCGGCAGAAAAAAAAGCTGTTGTGGGAGTGCCCAACGGCTAATAAGATCAATGACATTCACCATCAGTTAAGAACATACAAATGGCTTCATAATGCCTGAGTATACCTCGATGTGAAATGAGTACTTACTTAAACAAGAATATCTGTATGTGCCTCTCTCTGAAGGTGGACGATGGTGGGGTTTTGTAGTGGGGGGCTTTAGGAACAACATATGTCCGATAGCTTCGAAATGCCCAAGCCTGCCCAAGGACAGAATGTAAAGGAAAAGATCGTTGTAGGTACAAGTACCAAGAGCAACAGAACGGTGTCGATGATGCTACACCCTGATATTGACAGATTTAAGATTATATCATGGCTGGCCAATCAATATTCCTTCACATTTACCAACTCTATGAAATACTTCCCAGGTGCGTTTCTGGCCTTGGCATCGTCACCTGACTGTGATCTAATCTAATTGAGGAAAGGGGCTCAAGTTCAGCTACTGGACATATAAGTAGTGGGATTAGCGATTCTACTCTCCGAACCTAAGCTGCATCGACAGTTCTTTTTATCGCTAAAACTATCGTCACCCCATTGAATGATGTATTACTACTTGGAAGGTGTATATTCTGCGCTTACAAAGTTTTTCTCTTCTGGCCTTACTTGGACAGAAACCCCTCAACCACGGACGGTAAGGGCGTGCGCCTCCATACGAGAAGGTCTTGAGTGTCTGAATATTTTATCTACAGAATGACGTAGACACTGTCCAATATTTTACGGCAAGCTTCGTTGCCGAACGGCCACATGATCATAACCTGTTAAGTATAGGAATTTTTGCGAAAGTACATCTTTTAGATGGGAAGGTCGTGAGAAAGATACCTCGCAGTGGAAGCCCCCAAGACAAACTACCGATATCTCGCGAGTCGCACATATATAAGTTGCTCGGTGATCATCCTCGTATCGCACAGTGCCTCTTCGGTTCCGATGATTTGGTTGATATTCAATATTATCCCAACGGGAATCTCATGGACTACATACGGGAGCACCACAACTCAGTTTCATTACCTGTTCGATTAAATTGGTTCCGACAGATAATAGAAGCCGTGGTCAAAATCCATGCACATGGTGTGATCCATTCGGACTTAGCTCTCCGTCAATTTTTCCTCGATGACAATATGGACGTGCGGTTGGGTGATTTCAATTCATCACAATGGCCTGGGGAGATGGCATTGGGCTACGAAAAAGCATCGCACTGCTTGCCTAGGGATTATGAGCAACCTAATACTGTTGCATCTGATCTGTTCGCTCTTGGATCTACCCTTTACGAGCTCATGACCGGTACTGTACCACACTGTGACCTACTTCCGGTTGAGTCGGAAGATATCTTGAAATCAAACGATCTGTCCGTTATACAAGGCCGGATTCTACGCGAGGAAAAGGCGGATTTAGCAATTGAAGAGTTATTCGTGAAACAGGTGTTTCCAGATGTTTCCAACCTGCCTGGAGGTGACATTATCCTGAAATGTTGGAGATGTCAGTTCAGTACTGCGCAAGATGTTCTTGAGCAGTACCAAAAGCTACAGATAATATTCGACAGTCAAGCGTGACAAATATTTATTCGTTCCGCATTTGGTAATCACGACTTAATAGTAGTACTTGCCGTTAAGCTGTTGCAATATAGCTACGTTTTCATCGAATTGCTGGTGCAGCAAAAGTGGTAAAACCATTAAATTTCTGTTATGGAAACACTATATCCCGTAGCTGGCTTGGCGTGCGGGGATACTAATTGGAGCCATTCAGTTCCGGAGCCTTTAGATAGTAGAGCACCTAGAGGGCTATAGAACGATATAGCTAGGAATGCAATAGGCTCAGTTGATTGAGATACATTGATTCCTGGTGTTCCCACCGATGACATCTAATTCCTATTAGGCGCCCGATCAGCCTGTAGCCGATACGATAGCTCCCTGCGCCCCATTCCCACTGAAAATTCACCAAGTCCTTCATAGTACTTTCGGATACCGAGGCATACAAGAATGGTTTAGCTATCGGTCAAACTCCAGACGCCTCTGCTATATTGGAATTTCCACCACCTCCATTTCCACCTTGTTCACTGGATGCCCACGACGGCAAGCCCTTCTTTTTACGGCTGGACCCGGCTGGTTTGAACTTATAATGCGGGCAGTCTTCGGGACATTTATCGGCAGGTTTTTCGTTGCATTCGACCGGGATTTTTTCTTTGGTAGTCTGTCCATTGATAGTGGTAGTCGTTTCGTAAACAATACACATATTGGAAACTCATCATTGTCAGCTTATCGCCGTTCTCCTTGGTTTTCAAACTCACTCCGTGCGGTCCGTACTTTTTGGTTGGATGTTTTTGTGATGAAGCCTCGAGAGAGAACACTTTGAAAATAGTCCAAATTGACATGGATAGCTTAGGGAAAGTATATATGTTGTGTTAACACCGCACCGGATTCATGGGTGCTGTTGCTTGCATGTATGTAGACATCGAGTGGGGCGTTTCGGATGTCATCTATACCTGGCCAAAGGATTCTTGGCTGCATTTAATCCCTGCTAGTTGATTGCATGCAATCAACGAGCAGGAGATACCCACTCGCATTGCTCAACTTTGCAACAGCCATTTATAGGGAAAGATTCGCTCAAGCAGGTCCACCTAGTTACCCTGGTGGCACCCCGTTCTGCTTCGTAAAGTCTTTAGCTGCCGTCTTGTTCTGGCCTCCCACGTACAGAGAATGGAATGTAGACTACTCTTGCTAGCTCACTTTGCGGGACCCTTTTGTATTACTTGAATCTGTTTTATTGGGACACTATAATCCTCATCCCTGACGTCAATTGGAAGTGCTACATTATAGACAATATCAATCACTGGCTATATCACTAGCCCAAGCTGTATGTTGCATGATGGCGTATTTAATTGCACTGTGCTGCCTCGCCAGTGAACAGTTTCACTTTCTATGCGTCCCAGCCTGCATCAACACTTTTATTACCATCTATAGCTATGCACCCCCTTCTTGCCTCTATCTTGCCTTATTTTGATTGCCTCGGCTGGCAACGGAAAGCCACCAATT